TATAAAGATTTTTAATTCCTGAACAATTGAAAATATTTTTAAGAAACGTTTAAAGTGCCCTATCCTTGAAAAAATGTTAAAATGCGAAAGGATGGGTGATGTCAATTACTATTATTTTCAGCATAACGTTAGAAACATGTATCATTTTATATGGTACACGTTTCATAATGTAATCCAATGGAATCATACAGAAGAAAGGTTGGCACACAACAGTTAAAAGCGTTTGTTCTTACCATTAACTCAGAGACATATAAAATGTCTCTGCTTCCTCATAATGGCGGTAAATGTATAGTATGTATAGTCATGACAAAATGTTCTTTGTGATATAATATTGTATAGTATCATTCTGATACGTATTACATCACGGGTAACTAGAGTATCCGCGTATATTGAGTATGACCGGTTCTAAGCTTACGAGTGTGACCGTATTTCTGTTCCTATAAACAGACGAGGTGAGTACTTGCTTTTTATGAACACTTTCGAACGTTTTCTTTTTATCCTACTTGGTCAATGAATGATACTTGGTATACTTATAATGCCAGGCATATCACAAGGGGCCTTAATCAAGAGAAAACGTATTAATATTAGATTGAAGCCGTAAAATCCTAGTTTCCAGCATCTTTGATCAGTTTTTGTGTAACACAACGCAACTCCGAAGAGGATGACACATCTTATGTATAATATATAGCTAGATCTACGAATTAGTCATGAATACTTTAAATAATTTAGCCTGCTCTGTCCAAATATGATACATCTTTGAATTTTTGAGAATACGAATGTCACTGGTGCCCCATTATTGGAGAATACGGTTGTGAAATGTCTTGGATCGGCATTTAACCGGTGTTTGGATACGACTTTTAGCGGTGACAGATGCAAAAGGTAATTCGAAATACCAGAATGTTGAGGCTCTTCAGACGCTTGCAGTAGGTCTCAATATAAAGTGGGAAGAACTAAATAAGAGTAGATGACTTATAATGTCAAGAGCCTATTTTTTCCAAAAGAATTCAGTTAAACGTAGACCGAAAACAATAGCCTTGTTTGAATATAATTATGTTGTCCCATTTCAGACCTTTTGTAGATTTGTGGTTAAATCAGTTGACCCGATTTCAGAATGTTGGCGAAAGTAATGGCAAAATATGCTTTTAGAACATTTTTTATCGAATTTCAGTAATATAATAAGACAGGTTTTATACCAATACATTACAATGTATGGAAATAAAAGTTTATCATGTATTTGAAAATATAACATATTACTCTGTAACCAAATTGCTGAAACTACACATTTAACTTAAAATACAACATTTTTCAGATGGCAGCATCAGTAACACCTCTTATTGAGGAGCATACACTCGTATTCTACACCGGTAACATTCCGATCACATCAATCAGTGGGCCGTGTTACACTCGTTTCCATGACATTTCACAAGCGTATCCTCTGGGAAAAGATAAATCCTTCTCTTGCTCACTCTACGGGGGATCATATAAACTGAGATTTGGAGATCTTGTTCAGGTTAGCCATAAAAAGGTTTGGGATTTGTTTTTTTCTACTGTGATATTAATGATTTGGCTCTAAGGCGAGAAATCTGTACTTTCTGATTGATATTCCATTATGAACAGTTACATTGCTAAAATAGCTCATGTTTAACATTTTTTTGTTACATTACTATTAAATACAGCATAAACTATATTCAACAAACACAATTTCAAATAGGATAATATAGAAGTTAACCTTTATTTTTCATTTTTAAGCAGCTGTGCCTCTCATGACTTTCCAAAACAGGTCATATTCGTAGCCTAAGAACCGGTCATACTCAATATACGCGGATACTCTAGTATCCCGTGTTACATGTTTATGTTTAGTGCATAAAATTCATAGCCAGATCAATAATTCGGAGAGAATACGCTGGACGATAGAATATTAAAAACTATAAAAACATTCTTCATAGAATTAAGCAAATAGTGTTATTATCATTTAAGTAGTAACTGCATATGTTTAAAACCACTCTGTTTAAATACAGGTAAATAAATAAATATGATGCAATGAAAATTGAAGCTTTCTGTCGAGAGCAATAGTCATCACAATAGTATAGCGTTTTTTCTTTTACATGTTACTTTTTTGTACATCATTGATTGATCCGCTCTAATGTGCCCTCGGCCGATAATTTAGAAATTATTTATGTTGAACATTAGCAAAACAAGATTCCAGATTTTATTGTGTTTCAAACCAGACACTTGGTTTCCTCACAAAATCAAATACAGGACAATTACATATAATTAAAGTTAAAAAGCAACATCTTCACAAACATCCAAATTATCAATTTCATGCAATCAGTTATAGTTATACTCCGTATGTATGCTAAATTAAGACTGGTGTTAAGAATCGACCAAGGCAAACCTATGTAAAATTACACAACGATGAACAAAATGTTTTAGAATACAACTCCACGTTTGTAGTCATAGACTCGGCGGGGCGTAGTGGAAGGTGACGGGACGTATTAGTCAAATTTTAAGAGATGTGTGGATGATTTAGAAACTGCTGCGTTTGATGCCCAAAAATCAAAACGTAGCGATGGAAGGTTGTAATGGGAGTCCATTCTGAAATTATGAGCGAGAATGGGTAAAAGACTGGCGAGAAAACTTGACTTACAGTTGAAAGTTATGAAAATTTGCTTTATCTCACAGCTGGGGACCAAAACGCCGCTAAAACGAGGTACTTTGTACACGAAAACAATGTATCGACCGAAAGGTATTTCTGTGAAGCTTTATACGGAACAAGTTTGAAGAAAAACGGTGAAGTGTGAGACTCACAATCCTTGATTTTCAAACACTGGGGTAGGTTTTAAATTCAAATTAACGGTTTTTTCGGGACGGAGTGGTTTCGATACGTCCCGAAGAGATACTACCGCGTGAATACATGTCGTAATTATCTGAATTTGAAAGCAGATTTTCAAGATTCTGTTTGCTGTGCTTCTACCCTTCCTGTCTCACTTATCTCATTCAAAATGCACAATATTTAAATGATATTCTGGGTGAATATGATTTTTATACAATGAGGATATCAGAGTGATATCATTGCATGTTATGACATCCTATACATTGATCAAAATCAGATCTACATTTCAGGACCTTCACTTTGATATTTTTTGATTTATGTTACAATATCCAATATTACATATACATGTACAATGTATATATTTTTATATATGTATATGATGAATTGTCACTCATCACATGCTGACAAGCTATTACCCTGGATTTCCCTGGTTTTATACCCCCTCATTTTGCTATTTGCTTGTTCACTTTCACTTGTTTTGGGATTTTGATTTTCTTTTGAGTATTTGATTATCTTGTTTTTTATTTATACTTTACTTTTGTTTCAGGACTTTGATAACTTGACAAGGTGTTACAAATTTGTGACACTGATCAGCATCCTGGTTCTTCAGTTCAGTTATCAAATATATTTCTTTTTTTGCATTCCAACTATTTTAGACCTAGTACACTTGTATTATTGGAATAAAATAATGATGATTAAAAATAAAAAAAGACCCAGTTGAAAATGATGATGAAAGACGAGCATATCAGTCACTCAAGCGCTTGTGTCTCCCGCTCTCTTTCAGAAAAAAGTGTACACTTTGGAATCTTTTAAGACATGGACTCATTTTTAATGCATTTTTGTCAATTTGTACTTTCATCAAGATTTTTCATACCTGACCTATTTTTATATTTCCTGTAAGTAGGAAGTACGATGAATTCGGGATATTCATAAGTACGGGATGGCAGACTTTGACAAATGATGATATCTTAAATAAAATGTAAATGTTATTTTGATGTCTCCTTTTTGATCTTTGCCAACCTTCCTATTTTCATATTTTAAACATTTTAATTAAAGGCCTGACTTAATAAGGAAGTGCTTTAATGTATCAATATAACAAGACATTTATATTATTTAGTATCCATCCATAAAGATTGTTTTTCATCCAAAAGTTGGACTTTGTGATGTCTTTGCCAAGAAGTTAAGGTGACAATACTCATTTTTACTCTGCCACCCATCTTTATTGATCTGGCGTCTTAACTTGTTATCTTATAATTGTTCATATTGGTGTAAACTTAATCTTAGTATTTTCAATTTGGTTCCATTCCAGTAAACTTTTAACATAGTTTTGACCAGACACATTTTGATTGTTTAGAGGGAGGGGGGGGGGGGGGGGTGAACAAGACGGCTAAGCTGTATTATTTGTAACTTAATTGTTATAATATATCCTGGTTTCACGAGCAAATTAACAGATGAAGTAATTTTTTTAGTATGGTTTGAAACAAGAAAAGGTTAAATATTTATGTACTCGTAGATCATGCCAAAATATCTATGTGCATAATCATTTAGAATATGGAAATCATGAAGATATATGAGGTCCAGTAGGGGGCAGATGTTCGAAATCTGCCCCAATTTATAAACTAAGCCCTTTCTCTAAAAAAATAAAATGCAATTGCTGACTTACTGTCATAAGATAGTTAAATTGTTATCTTTTTAACATATGAATTCCTTATTTTTTTTCAGTTGTATGCGCTAAAAAAGATTGGCACACTTGTTCGGTCAATGTTTCCTTAATTTTCTATAATAACACATTATATTGTTGAGAAAGATAAATTATGGACATTAGGTGTTAAGTCTTGGCTTTATAACTAGAAAAATAAATTGGACAAAAAATATTATTATAACCTAAGTTATGGATTTGTGATGCCCTGGGGGTCCTCTTTGCCAAATATTCTCTGATGGACCTCAAATAAATAAAATATTAAAAATCGGAAACCAAAGTATTGTTATCCACTTCTAAAAACGTAATTGTGGATCTTGTGGATCTTGTGGATTGATATTAACATTGGGAGATTCCACTTTTCAGGTTTACTTCTCACAGTGATACCCAAACTAAAAGGCAGAAATATTCAATTGCGTATTTTTTAGTTTAACATATATTCAGTTGCTTTTCTCTTTTTAATTTCAGGATAACTTAAACATGTTCATCAAGGCTTGCAAAGACCATCTCAGCATCAGTAAAGGACATTTGTTAGATAGCAGTGACTTGGAGGATCTTTCAAACAGAGCAATAGCAGAGTAAGTACAGTAACTTTGGGAGAAGGGGATGTATGTGAGTGTGTGGGGGATGGGTGGGCGGTAGAAGAAAGGTGTTTGATCTTGAATGAGTTCATCAAGGTAAGACTGGCAGTTATAATCTAGGCTAAGGCCTTAGTAAAGTAATGTTCAGGGTTTTGAAGAAGTACATCCTACGATAACAGGGCTTCAAAATCCAGAATATATTCTTTCTTTTTATCCCCTGCGATAAGCAGTTAGCATTTCCCCGATTAAGAACTCGCAATCAGATTGGGTGTCGAAATCATGTATAAGTCATTGTGCATAATTAGATCACATGATTCAGTTTAATCGGGCGCTTCGAAATTGGTTATAGCAGGGGGAAGAAGGAGGTACGGATTCTGGACACCTGCTTAGGAGGATGGTAGAAGTGTAGATTTAGGAATAGATGATTTCTTAATTTGCTAGGATGTTGCTGCTAATTGCTCACATCAAACAGACAAAAATAATGGAAAACAGAACTTCAAATGTATATATATAGTACATGGCTAAAATTGATCAATCTTATATATCAAACAACAGTAAAATTGTGCATGGTGTTGGAAATAGGCTTAAGTTAAGAATTAGGCTAGGTACCATCAGATGGGCTTAGCCTTAAGATCAAAAGGGCATAGCCCAGAAGGGCTTAACATTAGAAGGGCATCAGAAGGCCATATCATCTAAATTCCTGTCAAAGAGACTTCTCCCTCAAGAGATAATGGGATACAATGATGTCACAATCTAAAACATGCAGTTAAGATATAAGGCATCATAAGGCCTCACTATTACCCTGCAAGCAGAGTAGATTGTTATAAACTACTCTCTGCCTAGTATAGAGTACAGTTAAGTAGCCCCACCCCCACAACCTTTGCCTGTGACAGATCGGGTCATGAATCATTTCATATCTACCAGGTTGATCATTTCCGGGATCATTTCTCAACCAATCAGCAGAACACATGCTAAATGCGTGCTCATTAATAACCAAGCGATACCATCAGAGGAAGTTTTCATATATAGAAAGTCGTCCGTATTTCAACAACGAACTCTGAATGGCTCGGTGAGTTCAGAGACTTGTAGTAAACTGAAAGAGTAAAGATGAAGCTCTCTTTTAAGAAGCAAAGTTGAACGAATGCAAAGGATACCTCACTATACAACAAACAAACAAAGTTAATATTCATGTTTACTGATTACAATCATGTAGCATCTGGGGATGATAAATAGATTGAAATAATTGCATATGTTCAGAAGATCAAAGATGTATATTTTCCCTATCACCTGTGAGGTTAAAGTTGCAATTAATTTCAGTGTGAAATTATTCTGTTTCCTGTAGATAAAGTAGCTGTGTGTAGCTCATATTTGATTTGTGGGGGTGGGGGGGGGGGTAGGGTTATGCGAAGGGGTTTGGGGTGCTTTGGAGGATGAGAGCCAGAGATGTGACTTCTATATGGATAAGACTGTGTTCATCTAATATTCAAACAACAGAAATGAGTATTTCTACATAAATCAGAACGACATTTTAAAGGCATGATCACATTGACTATAAAACACATGCATTGAATACCACAGTATCGTGATATGTTTTTGAAATTATGATATATATAAGAAAAGATGTGAATAGGAAGGAATGAAGTAAACAAACATGTAATCAGCATTCCAAAGTATTATCTATGTTTGTAAGGAAATAATATAGAGTTAAATAAATGTTTAAGGTAGTTCTGCAGTCTGCAGGAAAATGGGAAAATGACATTTATGACTAAATATTTTGAAATTGAGCTGTATTTCCTACCGATAAATAATATTATATCAAATATAAGTTAGAAAAATATCACATTTTCCATTGTTATTTGGTTATTGTACACTTTGAAGTAAAGCTGTGAAACTCTTACTCTATCAAACTTTAAAAAGCAATCAGAACACCACATTGCAATGTGATATGGAAAAATACATTTATATTTAAGATACACCATGTTTGTATGTCTTGTTTTGATTGTTGTTTGGCTTATAAAATGTATGGTCTATCATATTTTGATGTTTCTCTGACAGGTTATTTTTAAAAATATTATTATTGCTGAAACTTCCTAAATTGCAAGAGACTGTCACTTTACAACAACATATCAAACTAATTTATCTGAAATTGTAAACATTTTATGTCTAAAATATGAATGCATTTTTCTCTATGATATCATACTGTGGTCATTTTACTTATTTTTTAGTTTTGATAGGCTTCCATTTTCTTGCCTTGCACTATAATCATGACATTCTCAATGTGCCGATTATACATTAACATTGGTTGGTTGTGAGCTGGTCAGAATCCAAGTTTTCCTTTACAAAATGTTATGATGACCTTGTATATCACTTACAAATAACAAAAAACAAAAACAAAAAACACATGAACTCTTGGTTTGTTTAAGCTATTTTTTCTCAAAATGAGGGAAATCTTTCAAAAATGAAAGCAGATTTGTAAATGGGATTCCTAAGGACGCTTAACCCTACCATGTATATGTGACTAGTTAAGTGTAAAATTGAAATATTAACCTACTTTCATGCATTAGATTTATATGTGGATTTGTATACATATTGAAAATGTGGATTCAAGCAACAAGAAAAGGGAACAATATCGCAACATTTAGTTTTGATCCCCAGTGCACAAGTAAACATACTATAAAGCCATTTAAATGTTAAAATTCAACTCAAAAGTTCTTTTCTTTGTCTAACAGTTCCAGGCAAGTTTTTGGCCTTTGTTCTTTAGTTGTATGGACTTTTTTTATTATTAAGTCCCTGCAAATAGATTTTAAACTTAGTACAATATCATTTTCAGATTTATATAACATAATGCTGAGGATTCCCTGTATACTTTCATTTCATGATACTATTAAAAAATTTGGCTATCTTGATATACAAAGGAATGTTCTAATTAATTAATACAAGTATATCCCATCAATAAAATTCCAAAGTGGTCAAGAATATAAATGCACTACAGATTCCACTACAGAGGAATAAGGAAGGAATAAAATGAACAGCCATGAAGTCAGTACCCCAAATTGTAAAAAAATGTCAGAAAGTGAGATACTTCATTCAAATTTTAGAGAGAAATAGAGAGAATTAAGCATGAGCAGACGTACATTTTGACATGTAATCATACAGGGTGCTATAAATAAGGCATCAACTGCTCTCTATTGTGCATCTATAATTCAGAGTTCATACTTCCGTTTTGGGTTTTGGTCGTACCATCCAGATAAAATGATTTGATTTATGAGACCTTTTATGAAATACTTCTTTTTATTATTTATTTTTAGGCCATAAAACTAAGATCTCCGATACTTGAAAATATTCATATTTTATGAATGGGGGAATGGGGACATAATACAAATGCTGTATTCTCAATGCTAATGTCATTCTGTTGAGTTAAATAATATTGCATGATCTAAGAATGACATATGGAAATATTAATTTGTAAAGTCTACAAATGTAGTTGTAGTTTAATCATTTGTTTGTATCTTAAGGGAATTTAAAAACCCTAAGTGTCTCTAACCATATTGATATATTCTTTTTCAAATGAAATGGCGAAATGAAAGACTATTTACTATCATTGACTACATTTGCTGTACATGTCTAGATTGGCAGGTTTTCACATTTTGAAATTTTTGACATCAAAATCTTTGGCAGATCACAAAATTGGGATCAGAAAAAAATGTTCACATTACAAGGTATTCAGATTAGAGAGGTGTTCAGACATACAGGTTTTATTTTAGTTTTCATTTCAAACTTCAGATCTCTTCACCCCCATGTTGACTTCACCTCCAGACGAGGTGAGGTGGTTAAGAGAGAGAGAGAGAGAGAGAGGAGGGGGGGGGGGTTCACAAGGGCCTGAAGCAAGACTATTTTCTGATCCATGGGAATTTTGAAAATTCTCTTTATTTCCTGTTTATAGTTTAAGTAAGATCTCACATCTGTTTTTTAATTTACTTTTTCAACCTAGAATTATACCTACTACCTAATAAAACCTCGTAATGGAGCTAAATTCAATTCCAATTAGGATGTTTAGAATTTACAGATTTGTGAAGTAGATATTGAACCTAGACCTTTGAATGAGATAAAATATGAAATATTTCAAATGTGAATGCCATCCCTATGAGACCACTTTAGAATGAATGGTGTCTAACATCATGAAACACTCAGAAAAATTCTATGAAGTCCTTGAAATTCTTTAATTTCTTTATTGTTTATATAGTTTAAATGTTTATAAATATGTAATGAATAAATGTTATTATGAGTATGTTGGTAAGGAAGGCAATGCGTTTTCTTGTTTTTTCCCCTTTTCTACAAAATACTAGTAGTTCACTTTCCAAGTGAGTATTCATATCAGCAAAAAAGACCATGCTTAAATCATGAGAATTCTTCGTGAATATCTACATTGAATATATTCATAAAGACACAAAAAATATTTCAGAAAATCAAATTCAACTTGGATCTGTGAACCCTTGTACCAAAATTTTCATGTAGATGCTTATGCCACACTGCCATCTTTCAATAGAAGATAAGCTAAATGGTAATAAAAGTATGCATTATAATTATGCAAGGTGACTTTTGCCAACATTTGTCTAAAAAGAAATGTAAGTTACCAATACTTCTCACTTAGTTATAATGATTATTTTTTCCTTTGTGACTTATAGATGTCACTGTGATTGTTGAATAAAAACCAAGTGAATTTAGGCTTCAGAGTGAAAAATTCGAAATATGTGATTTTGTTTACTTTTCTGACGTTTTTATTGATTTTTTATTGAACAAGTGTGTATGAGTAAAGTCTGAAGTTCTGACACCCTGGGACTAAACAATTGGTAGCATAATACATAATGTTGGCATTATTGTTGTAATGTTATGCTTTATATATCAAAATCAGTTAACAATCTGACATTCTAGAATCTTTGTAAAATTCTCTCTAATTCTTTTCGTTATGCCAAATATGTGTCAATAATTTAAATGAAGTGCAGAACATTTGCATTTCTGTATATTTAATAGTGCTGTCTCGTGCCTGTTTGCTTTATTCTTGATGAATTATACTCTTTGACACTGTATTTTCTGTTTTAAAACTTGACCTGGACATGTAATTTTTTATTCCCAGGTTATGTGAAATGTTCTTTGACCCTCCTTTGTTTGAACAAGAAGTCGTCTGCAAACATCCCCAAAGTAAAAAACATCATTATATCACATATTAAAAGTTAAGTTTCGTTCTAATTTCAATTACTGTAATTATCAAGGTATGAAAGAAACAGTCCTGAAATATGCATATACAATTATATAGAAATTCGAAATAATGTGCCATGTCAGTCTCTAGTCAGAGAATAGAATACAGTGAACAGACCAATTTTTTTGCGGGACGTGTAAACAGTAAAGTCATTCTATTATAACATTGAAATTGCATCGTTAACCTACTTAGTGGGGGGAATTTGCTGGAAAATATTTCAATTGGTGATACAAGCAAATTTAATGGCTTAATCTGTTATTTATGTTATTAGGAAAAATTCCATCCCTGTGATCAATAAAACCGAACACTATTTCGAGAAAAATTCAAGATGGCCGCCATATAGGCATAATTTGGTACAAATAACACTCTAGATTCATATATAGAGATAGATATGGTTTAAAATAATATTGGAACAGGAGCAAAGCATGTTGTTTACATCTAGAAATACAGTCACATTCATTAACGATTTGAATTTGGACAAAATGATTTTATATAGGGATTCTACAAGGTTCTATTTTGGGAGGGCTCTTATTTTTCAACAACTGAAGTCTGTATTTGTAAGTCCTGACTTTTTACATCTCTTATTATGCTATTAGAAAAAATTCCATCCCTGTGATCTATAAATCGAACACTATTTCAAGAAAAATCCAAAATGGGGGCCATATATGCATAATTTGGTACAAATAACACTATAGATTCATATATAGAGATAAATGTGGTTTAAAAATAATACTGTTTCAGTAGTAAAGCATGTTGTTTACATCTAGAAATACAGACACATTCATTAATGATTTGAATTTGGACAAAATTACTTTATATAGGGAGTTTACAAGGTTCTATTTTGGGAGGGCTCTTATTTTGCAACAATTGAAGTGAATGAACCTGTTTTCTTGAATAAGATAATATTTCACACATCTTTTCAATCTAATATTTCAAGTTCAAGTTAAATTATTGTCTTACAAGTATAAAATAGCCTTTAAAGGAGTTCCACATGGTTCCTTTTTACTCTGTTATAATCACAATCTCATATATACTGTCATAAAATGTTAATGACTTATACAGAATTGCATGTGCAATTGCACAAGTCTGTATTTGTAAGTCCTGACTTTTTACATCTGTTATTATGCTATTAGGAAAAATTCCATCCCTGTAATCGATAAAACCGAACAGTATTTTAAGAAAAATTCAAAATGGCCGCCATATACGCATAATTTGGTACAAATAACACTGTAGATTCATATATAGAGATAAATGTGGTTTAAAAATAATACTGTTTCAGTAGTAAAGCATGTTGTTTACATCTAGTGTTTTGGGAGGGCTCTTATTTTGCAACAACTTAAGTGAATGAACCTGTTTTCTTGAATAAAGATAATATTTCAAACATAATTTTATCTTATATTTCAGGTTCAAATTAAATTATTGTCTTCCAAATACAAAATAGCCTTTGAAGGAGTTCCACATGGATCTTTTTTACTCTGTTATAATTTCAATCTCATAAATACTGTCACAAAATGTAAGTCCTGGCTTTTTACAAGTGCATACAGAACATAGCTTTTTGTATGAACATTGTACAAGAGCTTGGCAGGCTTTGGAGGACTGTGTCTGGGTTGTCCACAGTGGGGTAACAGTTTCATTATTGTCCCATCCCCAGTTGATGTAGTCATAAAGGCCAGTAACCTACAGGTGGTGAAGCATTTAGCATTTGTCCCCAAACTACACCAGCCTGGTAAGCTGTTCCTTTAATGTGCTATTCCAAGGCATGTGAGTAGGTGGAATTCTCTCAATTGGTCTTTCTTTTTTAGCAAAATAAGCACTTTCTGGGTGTATTTTATCAATTGTTTCACTTGTTCTGTATATGGAAAACACCCACATATGAGTTGGGCTGTTGCCCTAGTACATGTAGTTGTTGCAGATGTGTCATGTTTGCAAAATGTTAGAATAGATTTTTTACCATATTTTATATTCATTTTGGTTATTCTTAAAAAACCATCCATGGCCTTAGCCAAAATTAATTGTTCATTAAATATTATTTAGAAATTGTGATAATTTAGTAATTCAAAATAATTGTAGAATATTGGAAGATTTAATTTCTAATTAGCAAATTCCTACCCAAATTTTAAATTATCTTCCCTCCAATCGTTTCCTTCCTCTTTACTGAGGAGTCATAACATACCACATATTTGATTTTCACAATTAAAGGACACGGTGTCCAACACAAACGCTCTTACATGCAAGATTGAGCGTTTCATTACTGAAACTAACCAAAGAAACGCTCTGGAGTATGGCGAACGGAAATGATGAGTCATCTGACAATTTCCCCAATGATGGGAATAAGAAGTATGTGTTACTTATTTCAAGTATACCATTTGATGGGTGTGATATATTGTACTTGGATGGCTGTTGACGTTTGAAGCAATTAGGAAGAACTGTCTTAAGCAGTATAGTTATCTAAATTCATAAACGTATTTGTCATTCTTCCGGTCAAAACCCTGTTTGTCGAGACATGCGACTAGTTGAGTTGAGCATCAGAGTATATTTTGGTCAAATTCCAAACCTTGATCACACCATACATTTTCGTCATCGTGATTTGATAACAAAAAATCAAGTCTTAAAAATGATGACATTCTCATATTCAAGAAATGCTGCGATCTGGTTAACACAGTGAACTGGAAACACTGCGGTACTAGGCTCAACTTTCCTTTTCAAGGAGAGAAAGAAAAGATCTACTGTATCCTTTGGCATCAAAAGAAGAAAGATTAATTCACATATAAACTTTTTGTTCAATAGTTTTATGTTTTAGAGCAAATTTCATATAAATACTAATTTAATTCGTAATTTGTGGTCAATTCGTCAACTTCAGATTTGTTTGATCTACACTACGGAGCTTTGATCAGGGTATTGTTCATCGAATGGTACATAATATGTCACCATAACGCGTGATATGTAAGAGAAACTAGTGAAACAATACTTACAGTCATAGTGGGATCTTCATTAGCCCGGTTTCCGCATGGATGAAACATTCCGTTGTGCATGTAAGAGCGTTTGGGTTGGACACCGTGAAAGAATGCATAAGATATATTTATGGGATGAATTAATATTTTACATTTAATCAAAATTCTACAAATAATGGTAGATTTTTGTTAGATTTAAATTTTGCAAATTCTTACTCAAATTTCACATCACCTTCCTGCTTGGTATTTCATTCCTCCTTACTAAAGACTCATGGAAAACCACATATTTCATATTCATACTCAATAATGCATAGAATACATTGATGGACTGTATTAATGTTTTTAACCTCAACCAAAATTTAATGAATGATTGAATTTGCTTTTAGTGGTCCTGATGTCGCTGTAATAGTCTGTAATTGTGAATGCATGGTAAATGTCTGTACTCGATAAACCGTTTATTTGTGAAAATCCTTCAATTCTTTAAGCTACGGTCATTTATACAAACTAATTTGATATGTAGCAGAGCATAAAAATCTAAAATTTAAGAACAGTCTTACTAATTATGTTTAATTCATAGGAGTAGGGTTATACAAACTTATAAATGAACAAAATAAGAGGGGGGCCAGAAATGATCCTTGCTTAACTCCCATATAATTATTTATTTTGACTTAAGCTCATGACACGTATTATGTGGTGTCCCTATTAGTGCATTTAGTCCTGAAAACACAATTTAAACTTTACATTTCAGCTGTATTTGCCAAATCAGAGCTAAATATATTTTCCGAGCTATAGTGTGTCGGCCATCTTGGATTTTGGGGGGAAAAAGTAAAAAAATCCATTGATCACAGGGACAGATTTTTTTTAAAAGGTTTGAAGTAGTAGAAAAGCAAAACTTTATGCTTGTATCACGATCTGAAATATTCTGCCAAATATAGGGGTAAATTCCCCCCACTAACTAACTTTAAGAAGTATACGACTTGGTAAGTAAAAATCATTACTTTAAGATTGAATTGCTTCCTGTTATAAGCTTTGAATGATAAAAGACTGAAGAATAAAGTGTTTTTACATTTACTCCATTTGATACAGATAAGGTAAGGATATAGACATGTTTAGTCATATTTAGATATCATTAGCATGATATCGTAATTTTAAGAGGACTCCAGAGGGAAAGAACGGATTAACATGCATATAGACATGTCAAGTACAGTAATATGTAGATATCAAGAGCACGACTTTTTATGTTAAGAGGACGGTAGAGGGAAACAAGGTATTGACATGCAAAATGTCACAACCTGCCATTTGTTACAGATGCCAACTGCAGAACACATAACACCAATCACCAACCACGGAACACTGAACTCTATCTACACAAAAGTTGGAGACTATAATGATATGTCACCACTTGTGGTGATGACATAATAAAAATGGAATATGTCAAATATTGAATAAACATGAAATATATACTTAATAAATAGTTCAATAAAATATGTTTGGAATGTTTCAAGTAGACTATGTTGTATCTAAAGAAAATATAAGTATCTTTTATCAAGCTCAAACAAAAGAGGTGCTAAGATTTTAGTTATCTTAGAAAATATACATTATTAAAGACCAATATTACTAATTCATATTTTACGGCGCTGTTAGATCTTTCATTTCATCTACAAGTTGTTTGTTTATTATTTTCATTTAAATTGATTTGTTTTTGTGTTTTCAGAAGTGAATTTGAGTTTCGAGAGGAGAATGACAGAAGAATAAGAAATGTAAGTACATATTATGATATTCTATATATTTGTATTTCCTAATATGCAATTTTGTTTTATGATAAATGTTAGAAGAAAAAGAAGTTGGGTGACAAACAACATAGCGTTGAAGGTTTAATATGTGGAAATTCACAATATCCTGGTATATATACAGATATATGATGGTCATTTGAGAGAGGTTTTCACTTGAGAGAGGTTTTCACTGGAGTGAGGTTTTCACTTGAGAGAAGTTTTACTTGAGAGAAGTTTCACTTGCAAGAGGTGTCCCTTTGAGAGACGTATTTATTTGAAACAAGTTTTCACTTGAGAGAGACTTTCTTAGAGAGATTTTTACTTGAGAGAGGCCTTCACTTGAGGTAAGTTTTCTTGAGAGAGGTCGTCAATTGAGAGATTTTCATTTGAATTTGAGTTTTCACTTGAATGAGGTGTTCATTTGAAAAGAAGTGTCAACGTGAGAGAGGTGAACGTTTGAGAGATTTTCACTTGAAAGAGGTGTTCCCATACGTAGTTTCATAGTAAGAAGTGTTTTTGAATAGTACAAATAAGTTTATCAGAAAAGGCCATCCCGTTGATCTAAACATACTATTATTTTTCAATCAAAGTCTCAGCCTACACATTTCTTTTATGTTTCAACTTTACTAGTATAAAGAGTCATCCTGTTTACTTCATACATTTATTACTACATGAAAATCAAAGATTACATGTTTTACTATATCATCATTTGGTCTTTTGTGTCTTGTAAATCCACCTTAAATAAATAAACATTTCCCAAAGTTGGTTTGATACCGGTGATCAATGGATTTATGAGTTAAAAAATCTCACGATGAAACCAAATTTATCTTTTTAATTTAGTACTGCAGATAAACTTTCAAGAACTTTTGATAATTTATTCAAGATGGAGTTGTTTAACAAGTGTCATATATCATGCTGGTTTTAATGATTATTAGCCTTGTTGTACGTCTTTAGTCTTAACCCCACCCCTCCCAAAGCCCTCTATTTTTCTCTACCCTATCTCCATTCTCTGTTTCAGTATTGTTTTGTCACCACCACAAGTGATGACTTATGTCACCACCATAAGTGACCAAAAATGATGACTTATGTCACCACCACAAGTGATGACTTATGTCACCACCACAAGTGATGACTTGTGTCACCGTCACAAGTGATGACTTATGTCACCACCACAAGTGATGACTTATGTCACCACCACAAGTGATGACTTATGTCAACACCACAAGTGATGACGTGTTTTTATAGTCTCCATCATTTTTGGACAGTGTTTGGCATTCTGAGTTTGGCGATCAGAGATTCGGAGTTTGGTCTTTGGTGTCTGTAACAAATAGCAGGCTGTGACATTTTGCATGTTGATGCCTTGTTTCTATGATGTATTGTTATGTAACATTTTTATTTGTTAATACCTAGTAGCCTTGCCATAAGTTCCTAGTCATCAACCCAACCTATCGTCAGCCCCTCTCTATTTCCCCAAAGTAAATTGTATCCAGAGCATCGTCTAGTGGAATTTGATGATTTGAGTCTTTTTATCTTCATTTGATCCATTTGGATGAAGTAATACAAAGAGGATATAATGAATTTATTCTCATTCAGATTATTTACATTTGAAATGTAATATAATATAATGTTCACATATTTCAAATACTGTACATGATCATATTCTTTACATTTTTATCAGTTTCATAATTATACATTCATATGATTTGTATACTTGCTTAAAATATGTTTTTGTTACTGAACTACAAATACTTTAGCACAAAGGTAGTATGCTATTTTAACACAAGCTATCAACAGAAGTAAATTAACATACATTTTGAGTCCATTATTTTCACAAAAGAGAAATATTGGACTGTTAAATTAGAGTATCATTTTAGCATTATTTCATTGAACCTTGTACAAAAAATACTGGAATTCTCTTTTTCATTTATTTCTCTACTGAAATTGAAAAGTCTCTGATTACGAAGCATGTCTATACAATTATGTTTATTTACTTAATTTTTGGTGATTTCACTTTTCTGCAATTTTTGAGTAGCAAAAACACCATCGTCCTGATTAGTTTTACATTTTTTCAATTGATTGGCTAAACTGAAGTAGTTGTATAGACGTTTACTTAGCTCAGGAGTGAAATTTCATGGTGGCTGTATTTGAAAATGCAAAATAGAGAAAAAAGCATGATTATAGCAAGGAATAACGTACACAGGTGTGTAGTCAGCACTTAAAATTGTATGAAAATACCCCAAATATAGATACTTCTTTCAAATTTTAGAGAGAAATCAAGTGAAATGTGTTTTGGCAGACGGACATTTTGTTGAATATACAGACTTCAAGAGGTTGTCAGCTACTAATGTTTGAACAACTACAGGACAAAATGATCGATTTTTAGCATTGTGTGATATTCATGTACAATCTAATACGAGTTCTATCTAATGAAAAGAACAAGAAAAACAAAGGACCTGTAAATCAGTGCCTTTTATAAGCAGAAACTGTAATTTGTGAAATAAGAGTGAATCGGATAAATGAGCAATCAGATTTATTGATGAATGATTAGATATTATTAGAGACATTATTGGATATTTAATTTATAGTTGAAGTAGCAAAAACGAAGAGGCGTTTAGATTGTTAAGGTAATGTACATGTTTTTAGGTATAATAGTAGAAGTCTAATGTTATTGGAACACATCACTTAAGGTAATGTAGTCATGTTTTTAATTAACACCACTAAATATTTTTATCCCATCGAACAAAGTTCGGAGGGATATAGGGAACGCCTCCGTCCGTCCGTCCGTACGTCCGTACGTACGTCCGTCCGTACATCCATCCGTCCATCCGTCCGTCTGTCCGTCCGTCCGTCCGGGCAATAACTCAAATACCGTTGGCCCGATTTTGTTCATATTTCGTACACATATACCCTATGGGGTTAGAAGTTCTGCTCGAAAGCCGATTTTCAAAATGGCCGCTCATTTCAAAATGGCAGCCATTTTAGTGACGATTTTACAGTAATTTAGATGCAATATGTAAAACTGTAATAGCAATATGTTTTAAATGTAAAAAAATTATAAAGGACATTAATAATGCTAAAAATGTAGATATTAAAAAGCACATGGCAGCCATCTTGAAAAATGGTGGCCTTTACTCGTCATTTTACGATTTTTGCTGTAACTCAAAAAATAGTGGAGCGATTTTGTTCATATTTGGTGTGTGAATACTATAAGCATTGCACACTGTCTAAAGACACTTTTGGTAGAAGGCGGCCATTTTGAAAAATGGCCGCCATTTTAACGTATTTTACTATAACTCGAAAAGTAGTGGAGCGATTTTGTTCATATTTGGTATGTGAATACTATACGCATGGCACACTGTCCTATGACACTTTTGGTAGAAGGCGGCCATTTTGAAAAATATTTTGAAAAATGGCCGCCATTTTAATGTATTTTACTATAACTCGAAAAGTAGTGGAGCGATTTTGTTCATATTTGGTATGTGAATACTATAAGCATGGCACACTGTCCTATGACACTTTTGGTAGAAGGCGGCCATCTTGAAAACAATTTTGAAAAATGGCCGCCATTTTAACGTATTTTACTAATACTCGAAAAGTAGTGGAGCGATTTTGTTCATATTTGGTATGTAAATACTATAAGCATGGAACACCGTCTATTTCTAATGACGCTTTTGGTAGAAGGTGGCCATTTTGAAAAATGGCTGCCATTTTAACGTATTTTACTATAACTCGAAAAGTAGTGGAGCGATTTTGTTCATATTTGATATGTGAATACTTTAAGCATGGCACATTGTCTAATAAAACTTTGGGGAGTAGTCGGCCATTTTTCGGCCATTTTGAAAAATGGCCACCATTTTTACGTGTGTTATTTTACAAGTACGTGTGCGATTTTTCAAAAAATTTCAGAGGTGGCTACTTAAAAGCATATTATTTCTTCTGATGACAACTTGGCTAGTGAGCAACCATTTTGAAAATGGTGGCCTTTCTGGTGTGTTGTTTTATGATATTTGCGCTTCGTTTGTAAAAATGCCAGCCATTTCTGTTCGATGGGATTCGCTACCCTTTGGCGTTGCCGTTGTTCTGGTTTCTCTTGTAACAAGATATTTATATTTTTGCATAGATCCCACTTTATTTTTTGGAGTTGGGTAGGCATCTGTCTACATCCCTCTGTCTACCCTTCAATCTACTCATTTGTCCATCTATCTATCAACATTGGTAGTGCAGGTAGTACATATTCAAACTGCTTTATGTATGCACTCTCTATTACATAATATCAGACTTTTCAGTTTTTAGAGAAATGGGCAATTTGACATAAAAAAGTCATATCAAAAAGGCTTATAGGTGGCATAAAAATATCCCTAAAATTTTAATTACTTCATGTATAAGATCTTTTGATCTTTTGACTCCTGAAATTTGGGCAAAAAGTGAGATTTTTCCTGTGTTATAAATGTGATAACATTTTACTGTATGAGACAGGGGCCACATGTCCTTTCTTAATAAACATGATGGCCATTATTGCTATTGACAAGGGGTCCAGTTATCCAATGATTGGAATGTTGTACATGAAGCTTGGACATCGAGATTGTATGTTCACCTCTTCAAAATTATACAGTCAGGCCTTATATTGTGAAATATATGTTTAGTGGCCCTTTTCTGTCTTAAAATAAGTTTAAAAAACAAATAACTTTCGGGTAAAGACAAGATGAGATACTTGATTGAAAGTTCCAATTGGGTACTTGCTATGGATGGATGAATAGATGGCAATAGGGGTTTTGCTCAGATCTCATTATATGTGCAATTTCGATAAGATTTCAAAGTAATGCAGAAAGACCAGTCTATTAAAAATATTGTCACAAATAGTCTCCAGATGTCTTAACTTGGAGGTCTTCCATGGGGTTGTCAGACTTTTGGTGTCTTTGATAATTTTCGACATGTGCATGGTTGTGACGTATTGTTATTATGTACAGTACATGTAGTTTCCATTTTTTGTATGGTGTTTGGGTTGGTGTACAATACAGCATCTGGTGTTTGTTAGTTGGTGTTTTGCATTCGGCGGTCTGGTGGTCAGCATCTGTAGCAAATGGCAGGCGGTGACATTTTGCATGTTAATGCCTTGTTGTGAATCGTTACTGAAACATATTTTTGTTTCTTGGCCTTACTTACATTATTTGGCTTGTTTTGTTGACAGTGAATTCTTTAAAATAAGGCCTATAGCTATTATGCATATATACCTTTGCTTGTAAAACCTCTGATAGATGACAAGGTCCCTTTTTATGAGAGACAAATTGGTAATATGTAAATTTAAATAGACTTAACAAAACAGTTAGTGAGAAAGAGAAAGTAAAGAAATGTAAGCATAGAAAATCATGTGTTATTTTATCGTCTCTAAACCTGGATTGATTTTCATTGTGTTTTGTTAATACGACTTTCATATTAGAATGCCAGGCAATAAATGGAAAAGAGCATTCAACATGTAAATGACATCTAGGGGTAAGTGCTTTGGATTAAAATTATGGAGTATACCTGAAGAAGGGGTGTTGTAAGGTAAATGTTTTTTTTCATCATATTGTGCCAAGTTTCCAAAGTGTCACATCCAGTTCATGGTTGTTGACAGGGTTCATGTTTATACAATTATAGTACTATCAATGTTGAATTTATAATATGGTTTGCCATGCTCAATGAGCTGGGCTCTGAAAGATGAAAGGGAATTAGAGGAGGGTGGGGGGGGGGTGTTATGATAGGTTCTTGCTCATATTCTTGGCTTCAATCATGATATGTCACACTTTTATAAAAAGAGCCTTTTTGGAATCAAGAGTAGATAGCATCTTTGCACACTATGGTCTTCAATGGAGCCGCAGCGAACAAAGATGAGTGTATTGTCATTCCTTTGTCATAGATTTCAATTATGGAGTATACCTGAAGAAGGGGTGTTATAAGGTAAATGTTTTTTTTATCATATTGTGCCAATTTTCCAGTGTCACATCCAAATCATGGTTGTTAACAGGGTTCATATTTACATAATTATAGTACTATCAATTAAGGAATAAATAATGATAGGCCATTCAATATGGTGAAATTCAGCACGAGTTGGACAGAATGTTGTACAAAGCACGAACCGAAGGTGAGTGCATTTGTACTAACATTCTGTCCAACGATTCTTGACTTAACTGTGATGGGAGCCGCTGCTAAGTGAACAAAGATGAGTGTATTAGTGTCATTCCTTTGTCATAGATTTCAACAATGAAAAGTAGCAACACGTCAACATTAGTGATAATGTTTCATATATTCTTCACCTCAAAGACATAAAACTTTTACTTTGAATTTTAATGAGGTAAAAATTTCAGTGTCACATTTAAGTGTAACTCTAGCACATGTTAAACACTAGTTAGCTCCCAACATCGCCAAAATCAATAAATGACAGGTTAAAATATGTTAAAATGTTTGCCCAAGACACCAGAGAAAATATTAGGCAGAAGAGGGGGATAGTTCGTTGAAATAAAATATCACATAAGTCATGTTTAAAAATGCAAAATATAGTAGAAAAAAGTGAAATTAGCGAGGAATAAAGTAAAAAGATATGAGATGACATTCACGGTTGTATAAAATTCCAGAAAATCTGACACCTCAATCAAATTTTAGAGAAAATACTGAAAAATGTGTGAGACTGGCGTGGGAATTTTTTATGTGGGTAGTTTATGTGTTTACGGTATTTTCATAAGATTTTTTGTAAACTTCATCTCTAAGTTAGGATGTGATTTGAATTTATGATCACCTTAATCATGTTTGAAATTTTCTTTGTCCTTACGCTTAATTCTCTTATCTAATGCTCTGGTATTTCAAAACAATTTGAAGAGCTCTGCACTTTTAGAGAGCTTATTTCGCGCTTGTTTTCCAACTTCTTGTTCCAAGCTATAAATTCTCTATTTTGAATTAGAAACAATAACTCAATGATATTTCATATACTGGTAGAATTCAAAGTCAATTGAACAATTAAGATGTCTGCTATCATATAGTAAAAAACCTGACTACAAATTTAGAATTTGTATCAAGCTCACACCTTGTAATGTGAAAGTCATTGACATAAATCTCTGTTGAGTATATAGGGGCCCACACAGGTGTAATAAAATGGACTATAAGGTAGTAAGATCTGATAAAATCATCTGGATGTCAACTGCTACTAACAGATGACATATACCAGGGATCTGTTCACTTAAAGGGATATTCCAGGCTTGTATCATCTACAAGTTCAGTTAAAGGGATATTTCAGGCTTAAACTGTAAACATGTTCAGTTAAAGGGATATTCCTGGCTTATATTTCTCCCACTGTTTTTGTTATTTTACTCCTTTGGTTTTTAATGTTATCTGGCATAAAATTTCTAAAATGTACTCTAATAAATATTGACATTTCTCCGTCTTAAATCTTCAATGAGGAATTGCTAGCATACTTTTTGAAAAGATTCCTTATAATACTCTATACTCTTTGGTCTTTATTGCCCCTTTAAGCAATCTACAACATATCAACATTCCAAATCTTGGGGTGAAAGACTCCTTCAATATTACCATGCATATTTCTGAACATTCCTGTTAAGTCTTGCTATTGATATAATATTTTGAGCGGAATTAAATCATTAAATAATTTTGTTGAAATAATATTGATTCTGCCAGCTATATTAGCACTGTGTCGGGTAAGCTAGAAACCAAATATTTTCACCTTAGGGTGTTTGGATTTGTATATTTAGGACATTTTACTCCTTTAACTCCCATTATCAAGAAATCTCATGGCTCTCGTTCTGTTTGCTTTGGTATAATACAAGTACAAGGTCAATGTGATCTTGTTATTAATGGAAAATAATGTGCAAGATTTGAATCTACAATAAACGAGTGAAACAGACATTGATGTGGCAATCACTGCAGATTGTGTCTTATTCTGACTACTTATGCTGGCATAAAAAAGTTATTGAAGTTCATGTTATCACGCACTTCATGTCATGAAGGATTTGGTTCAATTTTTGGAAAATATGTAGGAATATTTTGACTGATTGCACTGAGACTTTGGGTAAGTGGAATATTAGTTGTACCACTGAAACTGATATCTTTTACATTAGCATAAGGACGATAATTGACACTGATGTAAAACTCTTATATATTTTTCTGAAAAAATCAATTGTATTTTTTATATAACATAAAAAGGCTAGTTTTACTTTTTGGCAATGAATGCATGCTGGTCTTTCATATAACTTCTTTGAGAGGAAAAAATAAAATATGTTTTATCTCTAAGCTGGTGAAATAGCACTTAGGAAACCTGATTGCGATAGCATACCCTACTCTATTGATAGACCAAAGAGTCAATGTGTCATTTAGATTCTAACTTATCTCCCGTTTTTACCTGAGCTGAGTAAATGAACTGTCAGCGATAAGAAATGAATTATGGGGGAAATTAGTGAACATGATTGCAAAATCAATGAGGCGAGCTATTCTTGCAATATTAATGTTAACCTGAAACTTTGTTCCATTGTTTACATACTTATGTAAAATGGAGTACATGTGTATATAGATACTAAAAGGAGGTTTCTTTTATTAAGATGTGTATTATACCATAACATAATACCATGGTAAAGTACATGTATTATATACCATTTAGGGTAATGTTAAGGTAATGGTGAATAAACATATCTCTACATTAGGTATGTACCCATAGAAGGAGTCTCTTCAAGCTCAGAATGTCACCATAGATAAGTATGATTAGGTGAAAAACATAGCCACATGTACCCAAATTGAACTAAATTTTATAAAATTGAGTATGAGAGAATTACAATTTACTATATATTTGGAGACAGCTTTGTTGAGCTACCTGCTTTATCAAGGTCAACATGACCCAGAGTATAATCCATTCAATTGCATATTAAAACATCAAACGTATTTACATTTTCAAGAGTGTTTTCAAGAGTTAAACAAAAAAAGTATGATTTATCCACCGTAACTTACTAAATTTTCCGATATCCTAAAATCTGATTGGTTCATTTAGTCATGTGATACAAATGACGTCATCTGAGAATGTACCTCCTCTGAGGAATACTAGAATGTCATTATGAAGGTAGCTATTTGGGATGTGATGTCATTTTAAAAGAGGGCGAAAGGTTTATGTTGTTGAGATTATCTGGGGAACGTGATTGCGGAAGAAATCATTTTCACAGAATTTAATGTCAATTTCTCAGTGATTTTCAGATCAGCAACGATAGGACTGTGAGTCAGAATGAGATTTGATACAAGACGTTTACAACAGAATATAATTTATAGAAAATAGAGTATAGAGAAAGAACCAGAAGGGAGGATTAAAAATCATTAATCTACCAGAAATTTCAGATTTTCGTAAAATAAAATACTATATGCTCCTCAATAGGAGTGAACCGACAGTAGATCAAGGGGCAGACAGAATAAAGAGGTTTTGCAATGAGTTATATTTCATAGTGGTTTTAAATCAGAGATTAGTGTAAAAAGTGTAAAATCAACAAGGAATAACAGGCATATACTCAACACTCTAAATTATACAAAGCTACTGGAAATCAAGCATTTTGTTCAAAAATCAGTGAGAAAAGGTGTTGATCGTAACAAGATTAGTGAGGTTTGTTATATGTGTTGAGAGTTGGTGGGATAAAATCGACTGGGAATTGACCATGATAAGTGCTCACATATTGTTTTCCAACTTTTTGTGGACTGTGTTTGGCAGTCAAAGTTCTTCAGTCAGCATTTGGCGGTCAACGTTGGGCATCTGTAACAAATGGCAGGTGGTGACATTTTGCACCTTAATGCCTTGTTGTAATTGTTATACATTACAGTTTTCTTACAGTTTTACTATACTCAAAAACCAACTTATTGTACCTTTTCATGTTAATGTTATTTCAGGTTGCAATAGCTATTTTCTGGATCGGCAAAGCAGCTCCAGACAGAGGATACTCAGGCCCCAAGCTAGACACTAGCGCTTTCTCAGGTTTAATAACAGACACCAACACACACAGAGAGAAACAACTGCATAACAATGAGTCCATAGACTCCGCATTTAGCTCATTTACAAAAACTGCAGAATCACCATATACCCCAGATCCATATCACATTCGGGATCACTCTTATGACTCTCACGGATCTTATGATGCAAATTATTCCGAGAGCTCTGGTGATATTGAAAATATGCCGTCACGGAAATTAGGCGCAACTGTGCCACATGACTTTAAGTATGAATATAATGGGCCACGTAGTCCTGGGAGTTCTTCAATGGGGGAAGATTACCATGATGGGCACAAGCGATCCCCTGGGTCAAGTGTTTCAGATGATATGGTACGAACGATGCCCTTGCGTCGCGATAGTGCTGCCAAGCCTCCAACAAACCCTCTACAGTTTATAGCAGGTATGTCCCATGTGTTAGACTACCCAGCTTATTTCACTTTCATTAAAAGAATAATGAAATCATTGATTATGGAATGAACTTTTTAACATAAAATTATATAGTATTACACTTTACCGTAACTGAATTTTGAGGCCTCTGGGTGTACAACTACCTCAGTACAAGACTAAACATGCAAAATGTTGTATTATTGTACTATTGTATTATACTATTTCTATTATATTATATTATCTTGCAGGTCATGCTGCCCAAGAGATGGCAGCACAAGCTCAATTAATGGTTAAACAGGCAGAGATACAAAAACAAAAGAAAACTGAGTTAGTCACGACAGAAGGAGATTGGCAAAATGTAAGTTTATCCGGTGTCATGGTGTATACTAAAACCTGGATGTGAACAGTTTTAGCCGCTCCCAATTTAAGATATCTCTGAGTCCTGATCAGGACCCCTAATCTCAAGTTGAAGTTCTACTCACAGAAACAGAAATTGCTAATGTCAAATAAATGTTTCTTTGAAAATAAAGTACATTTTCGGTTCAGTTTAGATCACGTATTAGCATTTCTTTTTCATACCCTGGCCTGCTTGACCAGGAACAATGTTTTTAGCATAATTGTTGGTGTTATGCAATTGTTACCTCACTTGCCCTTTTTATATGGAACACTCAATATTTTGATTGGATTTTCACTTTATGATCACTCAGTTGTGTATCTAATATACTTTATGGCTACCCAGTAGGTTACCCAAGACATATATGGCTACCCAGTAGGTTAACTAAGGTACTTTATGGTTACTCAGTAGGTTACCTAAGGCACATATCCTTAGCCAAGTGAGAGTTGTTACATGACAGGAAGTTATCGTTCTACTTATCATATGTAATTGTTTCCTTATATTTTGTTGAATAACATTGTACATGTGTATTTATTCATTTTTGTAAACAGTGTACATTGGTTTATACAATTACATATTACATTGCCTCAGTCTGAAATTGATTAAAGTCTAATGAATACATTAGTTGAATTTATTTGATAACATAAGAATTAAGGTCTTCTGAATTATTGCAATAGTTATTGTACTCAGGTGAAATATGGATGATTCAGTTGAAAAGGTTTGTAAAATACAAGTTGTGTTGGAGTTACTAAGGGAATGATTTTGTTGTGTGATATATTTAGTATTTACAGTGCTCTCTTAAGGATTTTTTTCTCAATAGTTGCTTAATCCTAATTGTACCAGTTTTGGTCAAAATATATCAATATTTCAACCCTTTGCCAGGATACAGACAGATTTTTAACAGGGTGGCATGTAGTTTTCAAATTTTCAACATGGTGCATCACCAGGTTACTTTCATGCTATGGAGATCACTGATTCAAATATGAATTGAATAATTCCAAAGATTAATTTTGATTTCTCTGTTTCAGAATCTATCAAGTTGGAAGGACAAGAGGCGACGCAAATCCTCAGCGACCTTACAGCGCGTGGAAGATACAGAAGTCTACAAAGAGGAGAAATCGATGAGAGAATTAGCAGATCTCCCCCGGCGAAAATCTAAAACTTTTGCTGAAATGGTGGAAGACAGGTACACATTCTAATCTTTCATGAAAATGGTTTATTCTTCGTTTTAAGATGTGTATTTAAACCAGTCCTCAGGTGTTTAAAAAAGTTTCGTTGTTGATTTAACAAGAACAAAAAATGTATTTTTGACAAGAGGATCAAAGAAGCCATAGTTGATACTGATTACACACAAACTAACATTTTGTTATTTGAAGTGTATTTACAAAGAATAAATAGGAGGTCATGGGAGGTTATTCCCTTAAAAATGAAAATGGTTGCAAACAAAACTTTTCGGAAAAAGAACCATAGAAAATCGGAGTTAATGAATTCCCTGTTTCATTTATTCATCAACAGGGAGCGAAGGCGCAGTGGCCTACCATCATACCCTTTAGAAGAAGAAGAGGAAAACCCAATAACAATCAGGAAATCAAAACTGCGCAATATGAATATTTACCCATCTGAAGATGATGACATCTTTAAAAAACCAGCTGTCCCCGCAATACCAGATCCAGAACCAGTAAGTTCATAAAGCATATGCTTTAATATTTTTATCTCAGGATTTTTCTCGAAACTTAAATAAACTGTCAGAACTGTCGACTTCTTTGGTAATCCATGTCTGTTCAGTCTCGATTCTTCTTTATTTTCCAGTGATTTATGAAACTTAAATCACTACCTTTTGATAATGCATGGTTTGTTTCATTATTTGATTCAAACAATATTCATATGCAGTCATTGTCTGTTTATTTGAAAACTGCCTATTTTCCAGTCAATAGCTATTTTTGGCCGTGAGTTATGACTGTTTTACTCAATCAATGTCTTTGTTGTGTTCAATTGACAATTCTTAATATTTAATCAATGACTAACAATTGTCTTGTTTTAGCTTTAAAATAAAAATGTAAATGTTTGATTTTTGTTTGTTTCAGTCACAAGTGAAGCCAGTACCCAAGGTTGAGGCTCCTAGAAAAACTTATTCACAGAGAAAGGTAGACACATGGAACTGTTTTAGACTCATTACTTGATAAAAGCACTGGATTAGATATTGAGGTGTCATTTTTCTCAAAAGTAATTTCCTTCTGGGTGAAGGATTAAGGATTGATTTTGTTTTTCGGCAGACATTTCTTAAAATGTAAAAATGTAAATAGGCGAATTGAGAGAGATACTAATATAATTTTGAACAGATGAGGTCCGATTCACAGTTTTGAAAGAAAATTAACAAAAGTATGTTGTATTTTTCATAAATTTCAAGTCTCAATTAACTTGTTTCCAGGCAGGAGAAGGGAGAGATATGACCATTAATATGAGCCAACGACCAAACAATAATCGAGGTTTTGGGTTTACCGTCAGTGGAGGCAGGGATAAAGGTGGCGCTGTTCTGGTTGAGAAAGTCACTCTAGGTAGGATACTGTTAATATATTAAAAAACATGATAAATGACATCTATCTTTTAAAACAGAGCTATTTTTTATTTTGTCATCACCTTTTGCTGATTAGTACCTTGGCCCTTTGGGACTAAAATCTTGTCTAGTAACACTGCTTATTCATTCAGCTTACAGATGTAAGAGCAGACTAATGCCAAGATCTGATAAGATTTTGAGCATGTTGGGTAAATTACATGGTGGCCATTTTGAATTCTTGGATAAAAAAGGTGTGATATTTATCAATGGGTGTCTTGTTATTTATAGGTAGTGCTGCTGATGTCTGTGAACTCCAAGAAGGCGATGAGATTATATCCATAAATGGACGTGATATTTATCAATTGGTATCTTGTTATTTATAGGGAGTGCTGCTGATGTCTGTGAACTCCAAGAAGGCGATGAGATTATATCCATAAATGGACGTGATATTTATCAATTGGTATCTTGTTATTTATAGGGAGTGCTGCTGATGTCTGTGAACTCCAAGAAGGCGATGAAATTATATCCATAAATGGGCGTGATGTTGATAATCAGTTCCTCGGACCAATCAATTTCTGGATTAAAGAATCGGTGAAATCAGGCCAGCTGGAGCTCAAGATTAAACGTTTCCCTCAAACAGGTATGCTATTTTGCTCTCAAAATAATATTACACAAAATGTCATGGTGGTTATGTTTTAAATGCAAAATGGAGTGGAATTTGCAAGGAATAAAGTCAACAGACAACAGTGATCAAATGGGATGGAAATGCCAGAAACCTTGGGTGCTCCATATTCAAATTGTTAAGAAAATATAGTGAAATAACCTGGCCAGTGTGACATTTTAGTGTGGCATTATATATTGACCTGCTTGGATAGAATTAGTCTTGTTCCAAAACTCTTCCCCCCTAGATGTACGTCATCTTTGCCTTCCCAATACTGGTGAAGTAGAAAAGGAGGAGGGGAGGGGTTCAGGGACTAGGGTAGAATGCTTGACTCATACTAGGAAGGAATCATACAAATATTTCGTTCTATTGAAGTGAATATCTGTACATTTTCTGAAATGATATTCCACCATTAGCGCTCAAAGCCTATCCATGAAGAATGGAATGAAATATTTCTTTCACATTGATTTATCACATGTAGATTCATTTTGTCACGCTTAATATGCATGTCCAGTAGTGAATACCACATATTCTTTCATGTCATGTGATCTAGATCATGAAATGACAAGCTTGACTGTGCTATAATAATGCCTAATAAGGGTTGTTTTGGTTTTGCGAGGATTTTGTTATGGGATTGAATAACTTTAACATCCTCAATCACATTTGCTCAATGGTGACCATACGGCTACTGTAGCTTCACAAAATCGATATATGAAAATCTACATCTTACTGCTTATCCCTATATTCTCTGCTGCATCTTTCTCTTGACTTTGGGAAGCTTAATGGCTGCCATAGGGTTGCCATCAAATGTGACCGAGGCATTAGATGGCACTGTAAAATGTGTTGAGGGAATATCCAAAATTGAACTGAATGCATGTTGAGTCATACACAAGTCTTACTTAATTGTAGTTGTAGGGGCATTAACACATCTACAGAGCTATATACTCTTTTGATTTTTTACATCTTATTCAGAATTTAATTTAAGCTTCTAGGTTTGCACATAGGATATTTGGAGCTATTGAATTAACATGTCAAATTTATTTTCGTGTTTAATTGCCTAAGATTGAAATTGTTGAATACAGAACATTGGTCCACTTTATGGTTGGTGATAGATCAGGTCAAATTGGGGCAAGGTATACAAATTCTATTAAGCTATGACGTGTATTAGGGGAGGCATCAAAAGATCAATGTCTGATAGAAAACTAAATAAATCTAGTTTGGGGGGGAGGGGGTCAAAGCTATTTCAGTTTGCTATCCGACAAATTTCAACATTTGAATTTTTGGGAATTTCGACTCGAAATGCCTTGGAATGGTTTAAAAATAAAGACTTTACCAGATGCCTTCTTCACAAATATGCATGCAACATGGAATATTATGCCTATTGTTGTTGTTTTAAGAATCATGAATAAGTTCTAGTACTACCCCCATAAAAGTCCAAATTGAGTCGCAAAAACATGTGAAAGTCCGCGATCAACTTTCATTGTATTAAGTTTTGAGGGGGAGGGGGGGGGGGGTCCAACTCAAAACTAGATTTATTTAGTTTCCTATCAGACATTGAACTTTTGATGCCTCCCCTTAATACATTTAACAGCGTTACATACACCCAATAGCTGCATGGTAGGTTTGCTTTTAGATAAATAGCCCTATGCTTGCTTATAGATAAAACTAACGATGTAGTAGATGAATTTAGTGAAGAAGATACAGAGGAGTTTCCTGAAGACAATAACACAGACCATGAAGGTAAACTCCCCTTCATTGCTTAACATATTTTTGGTGGTCATGTTTTAGAATGGAAATAGAGTGAAAGGAAGGGGATTTAGCAAGAAATAAAATAAACAGCCATGTAGTAAACACTCTAAATTGTATAGAAATGTTAAAATCAACCAGTTCATTCAACTTTTAGAATGAAAATTCATGAAAAAACAAGGCCACTGATTGTAAAGACACCCCCCCCCCTTCTGTCTATTGGCATGAATGTATTGTTCTGATTCAGATGTAATTAATTAATAGCATTTACTTCAATTATGTAATTTAGAATGAAATCTTTTTATTGCTTTGAATCATCTGTGTATGATTAGGTCCTGATTTATATGTCTGATAAAATATAACATTTAAGATAGATCCGCATGATAAGATTTAATGAAATTTTCAGTGTTAAAATGTTATAATAATTGTTCAAATTGGTAATATTTGTCATTTTTTATGTATACTTTCATCCAAAGATCAATTTTATCAAACTCTTGTGATTTAATTTTGAAATAATATTAATTTTTTGTTTCAATTAATATCTGTCAAAATGCGGAACTACCTTAAATTGTGTTTTTAAATCTTGTCTAGTCCTTATAATAGTGATGATTTGTGTTACCTTGTATGTTATCTTACCTTATGTATTATTTTTCAGTAGCTTGTTACAACTTGCCATAAGCTTGTATTTATGAATTGTTCAGATTTGCTTTTCTGCATTTCTGTGTCAAATTAGTAACACCTATTGATGTTACCTATTTGACACGTCCTAGTGCTTGTTTATTGCCAGATTCTGCTTGTGATGTCACAGAAAACCTTTCCCAGGAGGCACCACGGCATACTCGCTCATTAAGACGTGGTAAGATTTGAATTTAAGGGTTAAAACTTACAGGGAATGTTTGAGGGGAGGATGGTTAAATTTGGGGGAGGTAAGGGGTGAGTTAAAGTTAAAGAGGGGATTGATTGAAAACTTGAATGATGATGCCATCTTTTTTATTTAACTCCACATGATGAATGCAGTCTTCTTCTCCTGATTCATTGGTATCAATAAATCAAGGCTATGTTGAATGAGTAATCATACTGATAAACTCGAATATGTTACACAGTAGGCATGGCTGTTGACATCATGGGCAAATACTGATCAAGAGGTCATTCCTCTCCACCTACCTTAACAGGAAAATGAATGGCAAAGGAATGTTAGGAATTTTCATACGAAAGTTCTATATTATATTTTCCTTAATATGCCTATCATAAGTCAGACATCCTTATTGCTTTTGTAATTGATTACATAGACTTGTATATTTCCTCGTACGGTCAGCCTTTTTAAGTGAAGTATTCCACTTTATATAATTTGAAGAGCACAAATTTCCTTAAAGATTGACGTCCAACGTTCAAATGAATAATTCATTTAGATTAAGTGTGATATTTAATCAAAAGAAGAATTCAAGGATTGATATGAACATTCTAAATGAATGATCGTCACATGATCTGAAGGAAATTACATTTGAACATGAATCAAATATCAATATTTGACCCATCCCTCAATGAATTGTGGGTAAAGGGGTAATGTCAACTAGAGTGGGTGATTTGGGTACTCCTTTATATTTTAAACGGGAGATGTGATTCATATTTATTTGTTCATAAATCAACAGTCAGATTTAGATTGTTGACTCCTATTTATGACAAAATTAATATTTTGATATGGATTAAAAAATTGGTGTTGATTTCACTGGTTGATTTAGAGGTTTAAATCCCCAAAGGTGCATATTTTTTTAAACTAAACTGGGTTACTTCTTACAATCTTTGTATCCATTTAAAAAATCCATAGTAAGAAACATCAATTCTAAATTATAACCTCTCTATTAAGTAGCTTTCATGAAAATCTAGATCAAGCTGCTTCAAAAAACCTGCTGCCCTTTTTTAGATCCCATACATCTACTTGATAATGATCGTTAGCAACATGGACGTAAAACGGCAAAGCGGTCATGTTTTGAAATTAAACATGTAGTGAAAATGAATGGAATCTGCAAGGAATTAAGTGAAGAAACATGAATTACACTCTAAATTGTACAGAAATGCCAAAATATCATATACTTCATTCATTTTTTAGAGAGATATTGAGTTAATAAACATTAGCAGACGTACATTTTAAGTTTTGCAAAAGTATGCAATTCCAATAAAACTAAGTCACAAAAGTAGAAACCAGTGTCATAAATCATCAGATCTGAAGTGTATGTCATACTTGAGTCTAGCAAATATTGTAGCACTTTCGCTGGTTTAATGTTTAATTTTTTAATATCTCGTTGACCTTATGTTTTACTCGATATGCAATGTGTACTTCAATCTTTTGCAACCGTTATTATATCACGGTCACAGTTGTAATGTAGATTAAACAGATGGGAACAAAATGGCTTTGAAAGTAGAAACTTTTCCTCGTATTGGAAATTATAGCTCTTTGACAAGTCCTAGACCATTTGGAATTCTGCAACATAAAAGTGTTGTCTCACCAAGCAACACGAAAAAAGTCAGATTTTCAGACTCTGAACCTGAACATTTTGTGTTTGAAAAGCATGCGTCAGAAATAAAGGGAACCTTAAGGAAAGTTTCAGGAATAAATGGGAAGAAAAAGCTGACCCAAAAACAAAAAGAAATTGAAAATGATTGGGATGATATTGAAATCGAAATTGGAGATGATGAGGCCTTTAACTTTGATATTATCGTTGACGTGAATGAAAATGTTTTAATGTTTAACATTGCAGATCCAGTTCTCCGTGGTGATGATCGCCTATTAGAAAATATTACCCATGATAACACCACAGAGGAATTCACGAAGAAACTATCTGTACAATCACAACGAAGTAATGAAGACTTGGTATCACGTCATAATAAACTGCAGAATAGAGAAACAAAAGATGACACTAGTTGGAGACGTCAACCGAGTGAGTCTCCCCCGAGACAATCAAAAGAAACAACATACAAAACTCCCACAAAATTCTCATCGCAACAAACAAAACCCATATCCCCAATTAACCAATCTGAATCCCCATCTACACATGTGGATGACTCCACACCATCACGTAGAAGCAGCAATAGATTTAGTGCAAGTCTGAAGAAATTTGAACAGCCCGAAGCTGAAGAGCCAACTGCCAGCGCCCCCTGGAGGAAGTCTCGGGTCAAGTCTAAAATTGATGAAAATAGAAATGACACTGGTAATAAGAATGATAATAATTCTATTGACAATGATTCTATTCTGTTACGACATCCACGTGGTGACAATAAAGAAAATATTACCCCTACAGCTGGGGAACAACAGCTGTATGACCCAAATACAGCTGCTCAATCAGATAGTGTCATTACACACACTCGTAAGGAACGAGTCATTAGCAGGGTACCACATAATGAACATTCTGTTATTGATCAAAGTCCTACAGCAAAAACAACTGTTACCATGACAACTACTAAAACTATTACGGAAGAAGACTCCTCCAGGAAAATACCAAGGGATGACCCTCCTGTAACATATTCACAACCAACACAATCTGAAAGTCTAAAATCATACAACCAAGAAATCCCATCTCCAATCTACAAGGTGAGTTTGAAATACAATAAAATGCAAGCTGGAGTAGAAATGAATTAACAAGGAATAAAGTAAACCATCAGCACACAATATGCCAGATATTTTGTAATTGTATTTTTACTTTTTGTTTGTGTTATAATGCTTTCCTCGTTGTAGCATTGATTTCAAATTTCTCTAACATTATTAACAAAGTTTATAACCTAACACGATTTGTTGCAATGACGCTTTGAGAATTGTTTTTTTGCATGCATATTTGTATATAATATTGTAAAATTTCAGAAAACCATTGAACAAACAGCTAAAATCGAAAGCCCAAAGATATCCACACCATTAGAACAACCAATCAGACGACAGCCAGACATTCAGCCCTTGTCCATTCATATAGATCCACAAGAGGTAATTGTTTGATTACATGGCAGTCGATCCAAATAGGCTATTTCATATTTAAAAGCAGGTGTTTCATTCGAAGTTAATCATCTCTCGGTCCAAGGTTTTCTTAACAAGTGCGTACGTCTTTTAGGGAAACGCGTACATTTCAGATGGGCGGGTGTGGGGTGCCACATAAATTTTTCTAATCTCCGCTAAATTTTAATGGATGCAAGAGCAGACAGTGCCAAGATTTGATTTTGGATTTTGGGCATACTTGGTAAATTACATGGCACTCAGTTTGCTATTCAAAGTGTGATATTTATTACTGTATGGCTTGTTTAAAAATATAATATACCCTTTCTGTTATACACAAAACTTTTTTATGAATTCTACAAATACTGTTACAACTAACACATGTTTGTGGAATACTAGGTGTGAACTTAAAACGTCAAATGTTTTTGTTACAAGTATATTAAATCATATTAAAGTGCCTGAAAGGAATTTTAATATTCTATTTCACTTATAATGTTTATACACTTGAAAATAGTTTTATTGAATTATTTCAAATATTTCAGATTGCAACATCCTATTTAAGAGTTTGCAATAACAAAAGTATTGAAAAAACATTTATTTCAATCTTAAGTTCTGTCAGTGAGACCAATTTATTTTTAATTAATTCAAACTTGAAATTCAATGATAAAGAAATTAGGCCTTGAAGGTTAGAAACAAAAATATGAATGTTAAAGTACTTTATTTATAGTAATTTGCAATGACTCTATATTGAATTAATATATTTTTGAAAATTCAATGAAATGCTATTAGCAAATACTTCTCAATCAAACTGAAAAAAAGTTTTTAATTTCTTGACTGAATCCAACAGTTACCCTGAGTGCAGAATTGTTACATACAGATGAAGCCCTCTTTTAAGAAGTTCAGTTAAATGAATGCAAATGGTAATTTACAATTGGGCAGTTGATTTTCCCATCAAATTTTTATTGATGATTCAATTGGGGTAGACTGATTTTTCATATCTGCCTTTGGCACAGGATTTCATTCTGTGTTTTCATTAACCATATAAATATTAGATTGTTGGATGTATTGATACACTTTTGGGTGTGTGCCTTGGTATTTCACTAATTTCACTTTATTGTTGACTTTCATGTTAAGTGTCTATGTCATCTTGCCGTTTTAATAATGCTACCCCAAAGTATTACGATGTCACACGACTCTTGTCTTAAAATGCAAAATAGAGTGGACAACCTGACATAATGAATTATTTGTGAGAACACCTTATCATTTAATAGTCCACTTAGCTTATTTTTAAACCCAAATCATGTAGTTCGGTGTAAATTGATTATGAATTCTATTTTTATTTCGAAATATGGCTGCATTTTAGGTCACCCTGTTGTAGAAATAGTTCTATATCATATGTAAAAATGTTGATTGGGTTGTATTTAGTTTATATTTCTTTATTAAGGTCTTTGTTAAAGTATGTACTTAAAAATATAAAAGCACATTCAAGACCCTATAATGTCGTGTTTGATATTTTTTTACGTTGTCTTGTATCATCAAGCTCCCTGTCTAATAAAGTACATGTATATTGTTTGCAATTAATTCAATCTCAGGGACCATGTTGTGTATTAATGTAATGTTCACTTTTATGTTTTCTTAATTTATTTTTATTTCAACTTATGCATGCTGCTTTATAATAGTGCTTTGTTTATTCTTAAATGATTCTATGATATATCATTATGGCTTATACATAAACTCATGATGTCATTTTTCCAGGATTTCTTCATGAAATTCTGACATGATTTGTCACTTTACAATTACGAGAACATTGATTTACTGGTCTTCAATCGAGTATTTATGACCGCTAAAATTCATAAATGCAAATTTTTGTTTTCTGATTTTCTGGTCAATTTTTGGCAAATATATGACCTCAGATTTTAAGCCATATTGATATGATAGTCACAGATTTCTATCTAGTGTAGGCATTTCCCACTTATTGGCACTTGGGTAATTGGGTTTATGTTGGTTTTTATTTTCTACAGGATTATGGGGTTGAGGCTACTGTCCAATCAGAATTTATACGCGCTGAACCTGAAATAGCGTCTCCAGTCCGTATCAATCGAAGCTCTTCAGAGCGAGAGTCCACCGCTAGTCCACCTCCCCTTCCAGGTAGCGCCCCACCCCCTCTTCCTGGTGCTCCACCCCCAAGCTTTTCACAAATGTCACAAGCCCCGCCCACATTTCAAACTCCACCTAGTACTTCACATCAATCACAGGATGTCACTATTACCCAGCATGCCTCACTACCTTACAAAACCAACATCACATTGAAGGAAGATATCGACCAATCACAGGTTGAGGATGGTCTGAAGACACCACCCAAAGCACCCTCTGATGACAAAGTTGTGCTCAGGCAAGACTCTACTGTGAGGATAAGGAAGGAAATTTTAAAGAGGCGATCAGATTTCTTTGGTGTAGATGACTCCGAAGAAAGTCAAACTATTGAAAAAGGTATGTCATTGGCATTATATTTTATGAAAATGGAACAGATAACCAAGAGAACTTTGGAATAATCATTTTATTTCAAATGGGTTTTATAATAATCAATTCACTAACCGAACATCAAAGAAAAACCATTATCAATTACTGACTTAGATTTTGGTCACACTTGGAGCTTCTTTGTTATCAAATTCTTCTGAATATCATCCAGTAAATTAAGAAACCTGAGAGAAAACCAAACATTTACCCAAATTACATGTAATTATTTTATAATTCAGTTGTTGTTAATGCAGTTGTTAAATACTTTTCCAATTGCAGCCCAAGTGTTCAAACCTCCCCAGAGAGAACTGGAGCCACTTAGTTGGAACATGGTTGACATCAGCATTGATGGGGGATCTGGTAGCCATAGCAACAATGTCAGTATCCAAGGGAATAGCATGACACCAGAGCAGATTGAAGAACAAGAACGTCAGATTATTGCAAATATCGAGCGAGAGGAAATCAGGAAAGATGCTGAGTCTGGATATGCTCCAAGAACCTCTAGAGGATATGATCCTGCCCCTATCAGGGGATATGATCCTTCACGTATGCAATATGCCCCTGTTCAACTCCCTAAACAAGAAAATTACAACTCAGAACCAGCTAAAGGTCAATATACTGACACAGAGACTGTTCATTCGCCTGTAACATCCCAAGTAAAATCCCCACATTACGAACCAGAGATGTATACCCCTAGCAATGAAACTACCATTACCACAGCAACAGTTGTCACAGAGACTCAACCTGGTTACCATGGGAACCATGTGGAGGGGAAAGTAGTGAGTCCCAGTGGTCGGAAGTCCTTTAGTTTGGAAGAAGATCGCCAAAAGATGGAAGAGTGGAATAGAGAACAGGAGAGAAAAATGCAGGTGGGTCTCATATTTCAGAAGTACATGTATTATATGTCTTTCTATCCTGTGGTTACATAGATTTAGTTATTGCTATTTTATACCTCAACACTTCATTTTGTGATGTTTTTACAGTTCTCTCTATTGATTTAGATGTACATATTTTATTAGGTAATTTCTATTATATTAGAATCCATCTACTAATAATTAAACTGTTTACTTTAGCAGCCCAAGGAAAATCCAAAACAAGTATGTAGTTGTCTTTTTTGGTGGTGGTCTCTATATTATTATCTCAAACTTATCTTACTGCGTTTTCTGATTAACAGAAACTTTGTGAAAGTTACTGTGACATCATTATAGCACGGTTACCATAATTCAATGGAAAATTTAATGAATTTATGAAACTTCACAAAGTTTCTGATTCCTGGTTGATAGTTATATCTTCTTTGCTTTAATCTTGAGATAGGACATAACACACATTATAAAAAAATGAAGAGCACCTAATAAGGCACTAAACTGTTGGGAAGAGGAATAGATTTATTCAGTTACACATATTGATATCATACTTTTTAGTTAAAAAATCATCTACTAGCCTTACTTGAATCTTCTTTCCATTAGTATATCACACTTATGTCAAAAATGGGGTATTTAAAGGTGTTAGTACATAGAAATGGTCACTTCGTTTGGTTCTCAAATGATTATATGTGTCAATATGACGTGAAATATTCAAAATTATAACATGGAAATAAAGACCTCTCACTAAATTCTAAATTAAGAGTTCGTATAAGAGAATAATGAACAAAATAAATATACAAAATCACATAAAAACGTCCGTTATAGTTTTCCCAATTTAGGCCGACCTTAGGAGGTAGAGTAGAATTTGATAATTTTGGTAATCATATCATAAATATTTTTGAATTTGATAGATATGTTGTTTAGAGTACATCGTACATATTTGAATAGTCATACAAAAACTTGAGTACAAAGATTCTCTTATGCACAAAACTATCGCTTTAGTTAGTTGGGTGTTCTTACTTCTAGATTATTTAAGAATTTTGTCTTACCTTTGTCAAAGTTTCTTCTGCTTATTTAGTAATTTTTCACTATACCCTTTATATTCGTACAAAACTTGAAATTATCCCTTTTATGTTTTTTATATGTAAAAACAAGCAAGAATGACAAATTTTTTTTATATTCCATCGTATCTTAGTAAAGTGGCTATTTTGAGTAATGAATTTTAGCAGTCTTGTCTGACACTTGGGTATTTTTGAAAATATTACACTATTCATGTTATGTAATGTTAATTGTTACTGTTTTTGTTTAGGAGAAATTCACACAGGACCAGGATAGGTTTAGGGCCAAATGGGAAGAAGACATGAGACGTGTGGAGGAAGCTGAACGAGAGATGAAAGAAAAGGTAGGTGATTTGGCCAGTTTTAATACACTGAAAAAATAGTCCTCCAATAGAATCAACTACTATTCAGGCATTTCAGGATTTTACTAGAGATTAAGGAAATTGAATCATTAATTGCATATATGCATGTCTGTTAATGTGTGATATTCTATGTATGATATCGTAATACTCATCTATTTGGTGGTTACTATATTGTTGCTATGTATTGTATTGGTTGCTAGGAAGATGAGCAGTTAGACAAGGAATGGCAGAAGATTAAAGCTCTGGAAGAGAAGAAGAAACAAAGACTACTTGAGCTGAAGAACAAGCAAGAGGGGAAAACTGAGTAAGTGAACAATAGTTGCCTTTAATGAGACAAGCGTCTGCTATTTTGAAAATTACAGTAAAACCTGTCTAATCCCAACTCCACAGGGACCAGCCAAAAGGTTTTGTTAATGTTTTATATATATATATGTGAGTAAAAAATTTGGGTCTGCAGAGAAAAGTGTTCACATTGAGAGATGATGAGTTTTTACTGAATACATAAATTGCATTCTGAGGTTGCCATAGTGACTGCATATCTGTTTTACTTTAGATTTCATTTAATTTGAAATTGTAGCACATTGAACTGAATTAAAAGTTTAGGAAATCATTACCCAGAATAACGCTAAGCTAGTCACAGTCCCCTCTGGCTGTTTTATGATTTTAAAGCTTTGATGCTGTGATGCGAACACAAATGTAAGATTCACAGCTTTTATGCTGTACTCTTGTATAAAAACTTCACCGACATCTTAAATAACACTAAAGATTTCTATCATATATATAGTAATACCAGTCTTATACATGTATATTCAAATGCCACTTGGACAGCATAAAACCACTCAGATTAGGTGTTCAGAATAGCTAGATTTTCTGATACTCAGGTTTCACTGTATTTTCAAAATTAGATTAAAAAACATGTAATTTCTCATGCACATAACAGTACATTTGATGTATAGCAATGTATTGTGTTCTTAATAAGTGAAATGATTAATAACATTTAACAATGCATCATATAGCCTCAAAGCAATTTGAATATCCTGAAAACACAACCATAAATGTAGCTTAGTACCTCCACTACAGGAATAAACAATGAATAATTACTGTCATTAGATACTTAGAGTAGAATATTTTGTAGGGACCAAATCAAAAGTTATTTCAATTTACTGTTCTATGCAATTCATTTGCTCATCAAGATAGACAAAGTTTATTTGGTTCTGCAATATAAGGTATCATGTATAAGTTGAAAGAGGAAAATGAAGTGGAAATGAAAATCAGTTTAAATACATCCTTTTAAAAACTTAAACTTGACTGTGTATGATCTACAAATTATTCAGATCAAGAGAAGCTGGAACTATTGACAAATATTAACATATAAAATGTTTAGTCCATGTTTATGCGCTAATTGGAAATTCGCACTCCTGAAGAAAATCATACTCTGAAAAAATAGTACCGTAAAAGAAATTAGTTGAATTAAAAAAATATTTACATTGATATTACTAAGACATGTTCCCTGGTGCTAGACTGTAGTGCTAAGTGTGTGTCATTAAATCGTTGACACTGCATAATGAGACAATTGCTTAAAGTGAGGTGTAAACCTGATCCTTCATTAACATGTTTTTGTATTTTGAGTGTACATGTATTTAAAGCATTCTAGTTTATTAAACAACAGGAATTTACAGTGGTATTTGATATAGGACAGTATTTGATATAGGACAATACTAGAATTCCATTAACACAATAAGTGTGTAAATGATGACTGAAAATGGAATGACGGAAGGAATGTGTCATATATATCATTTTTAGGAAACTTAGTCAGGAATTAAGTCAATGAATGTAGTGACTTCATAAATATTTTGTAATAAAAATAGGAGAAGGTGTTATCACATACATGATTCCAACCATCATATTGATTTAAAAATTCCTAGAATGTTCTAAAGAATAATCATTGAAGCAAAGAACAGCATAATATAGAGTACTACGCCACTCTAGATAGCCATATCTGGGATTTCTGTATAGAGAATCTCATGAAAGCATCACATAAGACAACAATTTAACAGGAAACAACTAGAGAGAAATTCACCAACTCTCATATAGAATAAAGACCTACAACAACAGAATATTTATAATTTGATTTGAAAATATTCTTTTAACAACTTAAGGAAACACCTAAAGATTTCAAAGAACCACAATGAAAATAGGCTTAAGGATTTGGAACTAAAATAGCCCTATCATCAAACAGTAAAGCAATAAACAACCATATAAGGAACAAGCAGTTGATTTAATATGTACCAACACAATCGCTACCCCTCTTCGAGATATAGTTTTAGTTACCCTAATAACTACAGACCAATACATTGGAGGTAGGAACAGTGCCTATCACATGGAATTTAGTATAGCTGCAAGCTACACCCCCCTCCCACTACTTGACTTCATGGGTATTAAAATGTCTCTTTGTGGGGAGATGTGTAGTGGGGGGGGGGGGGGGCATAATGGCTTGTAGCTAGACTACATGGAATTAAAGAGAAATAAACTTTCATTAACTTCTAGTGTTCAAACCGGTCTTGCCAAAGTGTAATTATAATTGGGTTGAACAAAGTATTTGAATATATGAGGAATTTAACCAGTCAGATGTAATTCTCTAATTCTCTGAAAATCTAGTGAAACAAATATTCAGAATTGAGCTACTAAGAGAATTTAGAGGCATAACTTGTTCTGTCCCGTATACTATATTATATATACAGTGAACCCTGTCTAATCTGAACACCCCTTGGACGGGACAAAAGTTTTCAGATTAGCAGGTATTCACATTTCAAGTTTTTTGATTTGTGAGTCTCTTGGAGATAAAAAAGTGAGACAGTGAAAAAGTGTTCACATTGGAAGATGTCCAGGTTAAAGAGGTGTTCAGATATACAGGTTTCACGCATGTTGCCTTTTGTGTTGACCATTGGCTTAACATGTGTATTATTGTACATTTCCAGGCCTGCCCCAGTGGCTGCTCCTGTAGAAGAAGATGAACAGGCTGTTTGGGAGAGAGAGCAGAAACGTTTGGAGGAGATTAGACAGCAAGAACAACTGGTATGTGAATAAAATGAAACTCAATGTAAAACTCTTTAAATGGCACAACAACCACCCTCCTTTCAACATTTATACATTTTTGAAATATGCTCTCAATTTATAACATATCATGAACCTTTCGGAGATAAATTGAGCTTGTAAGGAATTTATTGGTTACCAATAGGTCAATTTTAGAAGTACATTGCTTGTAATTTTGCAACTTGCTTGCTGCCTTGGATCATATTGTAAACTTTGTTCACTGTGTACTATTTGCCACTTGATGATATTTAGATATGTGGATGTGATTTATGTTTCAATGTACTGATATTTGGACATGATTCATGTCATGATTTCTGACATGCGAGATGATTCATGTCATGATATACTTTCAGCGTCTCCAGGAAGAACAGCGTCGCATTGAGGAGGAGCGTCTTTTGGAGATGGACAGACAGCGAAAAATGGTTATGGAACAGAAAATTGAGGAGCAGCGACAACTAGCAGAGGATGCACATTTCCAGTAAGATTATGATTGATCATTTAAAGCATTTTTTATGCCTAGAATCGACTTGTTTCAACTGGGGCTAGACTTTGTATGGTTTTTAACTTATGATTCATAATTAAGAATGATGTTGAGATAAAATATGAATTTGAACCATTGAGTTTCAACCTTACATAAACAGACCCCACATAGATTGAATTCTTTTGTGTTTTTAGATAGAAGTTAGCTTAAATGCTTTATATTGTAAATGTGAAATTATTTATTTATTGAAACAAAAGAAAATCCTTGTATCTACATGGGGTACAAATCTCATAACATTTTATGAATTTCTGAGTTTCATGTTTTCTTATTATGACATCATGATTTCCACGGTTACAACAATGGATTCAGAATTTTTCTAGTTGAGAATAATTTGAGAATTGTACCCCAGCTTTAGTGAACTTTAAGGGATTCAACTGCTATCTTTCTAAAAAAGGCATAAATAATATTGACTTAAAAAGTGGTCTTTGAGAAAAGGGAATCTAGTTTTAGAACTTCTTCCAATCCTTGTTACTTACTGAAAAAGTTTTTAACACAAGTCCATTTTTCCCATATTATACTTTTTGTGAGTTTTTAGTAAGATAAGAGCAGTTGATTACTTTAAGGGCAAAATTAGCATAGATGTGTATTATTCCTATTCTATAAGTGTGTTATTTTAATTACCTTTGCTGTAGGCCCAAGACGGCCAGTACTCCCAGGTAAGGAGGCTTACTGAACACTGTAGTAGACTAGATTATGTGTAACACTGCATGGTTTTAGTACACATTCTGCAATATAGACTAGAATAAGACGGCAGTCGCCTCCTTTTCACTGAGGATTTTCAAATGGATTGCAAATGCATGCAGTGCAGTGACAAAACTGAAAATATTTTTGTTCCATTCAAAAAGCCCTAGAATGAGTTATTAGAATACTTTTGATTTAAACTTTGATACTTTACACAAAGGCTTGCATATTCCAACACTAGCTATGAAAGACACTCCACTTAGGAATTTGTTTTAAATGAGCATTTTCTCCATGACTATTTGAGGCAGGTCAATGTTTGTACATATATGTTTGTATATAATGCATGAGTTACATGTGTGGATTTACATAAAGCATGAAGTACATGCGTTTGTTTTTACATTAAATTACAACAGTGCATGTACATAATACATAAATATGTGCATAGACATAATGCATAAATTAACTGTGTGTAGTTACATAAAGCATGAAGTACATGTGTTTGTATTTACAGTAATGCATAAACTACATATGTGTTTGTATATAATGCATAAATCACATGTGTGTTTGTTTATAATGCATGAATTACAAGGTGCATATACATAATATACGTAAAGTACATACATGCATAATGCATAAACTACACGTGTGTTTGTATATAATGCATCAATTCCTTGTGTGTTTTCTATAATGCATGAATTACTCGTGCTAGATAACAAGATATGGAGGCTTTACTATGTTATTTGAATTGAATAAAGACATTCCTAGTTTTTTAGCATGGTTATGTTAGCTATGCATGAAGCTCGTGAATTCTTGTTTAAAGTTATATGTATAATATCAGGCCTCCTAGACTTCCACAAACTGATGATCATGTTAGTGGAAGTCTAGGATGCCTGTGTAGGGTGCAACTCATTTTCCAAGTTTGTTGCCAAGAATGGAAAGTGATTGCCAAATGCCATAGGTAGTCAGTCAGCTGTGAGTTTTAAACTCTGGCTTAAACAAGCATATACCATGGACTCCCTGTATTCTGTGCATATGGAAGAAGCATAATATAGAATAAGATTTTAAACATTTTCATGCATGTTTACCATGAACCAAGCATGACATGAACTATGAGCTCTATTTTGTTAGTTAAACTTGTTGTATGAGTGTACATATAAAACAGAATGTTGATTTCAGAATTATAATCAAATGAAATTAGAATGATCAACATTTTCTCTCAATAAAAAGACACTGACACTGAAACCATGAAAATGTTTTGTGACATGAAACAATGTACAGGAAATCTCAAGAGTTCTTGAAAAATGATTTTATTCAAATGTTGAGAGGACCTCAAACAGAAGCCATCGTAGTTATTTAGATAAATATAAGCATGTTGAATATGTTTACAGATCTTTGGAGGATGAAACCCGAAGAGAGCAGGCTTATTTGGATGAATTCATTATGGCCAGTCCTGAGCAGACACAGTATAAGTATAAGGTAAGAATATTTGTTTGTTTGTTTATTTGATTATAATTTATTTCATTTACTCATACTGAAAATAAATAACAGTTTGAGCATCACCTTTCTTACTATAAATTATGAAGTATCATGCTGTTTGATTGAGATGTTAACTTCCAAAAGGTCATCATTTATTTCCAGTGAAATACATATAGCATTACAGCTATACATGCAGTTCAATAACAAAATTCCATTTCACATGTGTTTAGATAATTTATCTAATATAATAATGTAATAATTTTTTTCAGGAACGGGAAGAAGTTCCAGAAAGAAGACCCCTTCAACAAGAAAATGTTCCAGAAAGAAGACCCCAACAACAACAACAGCATGGTAACTATAGAGACAACAATATTTCATTCTGTTTATGTTGACTTCACACTCTTTATCTCTAGATCTGATTATCAGATCTGAAAGACATGGTTGGTTTCTGGCGTATTTATACAGTTACATTTACATTTATACAATAAGAAGGTCCAATATGTGGTCACATTCCTCAATATGTTGTGACCATTCATTCGGGTTGATCATTGTTTGAAAGAGTGCCTGTAAAAATTTAAAAAAATAAAAGATTAGGCAAAAGACAGTACAGTAACATTGTATATGATCCTCAGAAACCACATGTTTTCATTGTGTGAAATAACATGACCATTTTGAAAATTTAGATTTGAATACATTCCAATATATAGGCGATATTAATAAAGTATTAATATTATAATTTGTAAAGTTTCCATAAGTAATGTAATTTAATCAGCATCCTATTAAGTGGCATATAAAAGTATTTAATCTTAAATTATGTAAATATATTAAAACCTATAAAATGGAACACCCCTGTAAGTGGAACACCTTTCAAAATCCAGCTCCATATTACTTCAATGTAGAATGAGCCTTTGTAGCCTGAACACCTTCCAATTAAAAGTTTTGAGGCACAAAAGTTGTTCCACTTGCACAAGTTTTCTCATTAAAATATCTGCTAATTATGCTTATTGAGTCAGTGATTTAAGTGGGTTATGCTTAACTGCAGCGTTGCCTTTAACATATTATAAATGGGTATTTCAGCAATCAACATGGTATATTTGGGTATTTCAGCAATCAACATTTTTTATATGGGTATTTCAGCATATCGCACACAGGAAATAGAAGGTAGAAGCTATGATCCCAGGTACGATCAGGCTGACAGTGTCACACCACAGTTTACAAATAAACCCAGCACATACAACACCACAGTTATAAAACGACAAACCATCCAGGCCAGTGAACCCAAAATTGAATCAAATCATATCGAGCCAAAACATGACAATAGACCAGAATACCAGTCCCAGGGTGACATATATGATGTAAGAAGTGAAACTACAAATGTCATAGAAAGTCAGGATCGACGACAAATTATGCAAAGTAACCGCAGACCAAGTGGTAAAATAGATAACCAATCAGTTAGCTCACAGGATTCACAGCAAAGGAAATCGGTTATCCAGCCTCGGGAGCCTATCTCACGTAAAAGTTTAGCAGGGATGAGTGCAGTGCCTAAACCTAAACTGAAGGCTGAGCAGTCGTGGGTCGTTCCAGAAGACACCCGGAAAAAACAAGAAAAGGAAAGAAAGTCTCAGAGAATGTCGGAAATTATGCGATCTGAAAATCTAAATGAACATTGGATGGTGCAGGAGGCAGAACGTCGACGATTAGCGGATCAAAATGAGCGTGAAAGACTGACAAAACTACAAAATCGCACGGCATTAAAGCCGATGGATTTCAGTGCAAATCAAAATAAATCACCACAGATTTCCCCAAATGGGGGACACAGAGAAAAACCTCAACCCCCACAGTCTTCCCCACCCCAGGGTTCCCCATCCCCCACACAGCCCCGCCCACAGGAGTACATAGAAAGGCCCAGATCTGATCGTCAGTCCAGACCCATACCTGACACTATTAAACAGACACTCATAAATCGAGTGAATTCCCCAAGAAATTCAGTGAATTACAGTGATTACCAAGAAATGATGCGTTCTGAGCCTAACAGTCTTCCTGGTTATGGGCAGCGCGCACCCCCTGCCCCCGCCCCGGGCCCTGAGCCCAATGGTCACCCTGGGTACTCACAACATGCTGCCCCAGCCTCTGGGCCTGTTAAACCCCCAAGGCTTCTGGCAGATGGCTCTTCAGGAGACACAGATTCAGTCATTTCTGTCAGTGCAAAGAGAATGTGCTCACATTGTGGGACAGAACTAGGTATGTTATATCAAATATTCTATATGCTATAACTTTTAAGGATACAGACTATGGCTATATCTATGGGCAAAATGTAAACTCAATGAATCTCGTTTTGTAAGAAATTATCTGAGGAAAAAATACAATTTTACAAGTCAAAAATCTAGCTTAGCAGCATTCAAATTTTACATGCGATTATTATCCCACCAAACAAAATTCAATCGGGATATAGAGAATATTTATTGTTCTTTTTGTTCCTGTGTCTGGGCATTAACTTGATTATTTGGTTCAAATATAATAGCCTCGTGGGTATAGGACTCAAGAAGGAATTTTTAAAATGGCAGCTCAATTCAAAATGGCTGCCATTCATTGCTAAAGATGTAATCATTGATAATTTGAATACCATTTGGTTATATCTATCATTTAATGTACAAAATGACTTGAGATTTAATAAAACATGTTTTGTTTTGTGGAATTTGCTACTCCGCAGAGTTGCTGTTTTCTAGTCATTCAAGATTTAGCCACTGTTCTGTATCTTTAATACTTGAACCTTCATTGAATCTTTTAGGCTGACTTTGCATGGCATAACATTGTTAATCTCAGTCTAATGTTTGACAGTAAATTAAGATAAATAATAATAATGCATAGATAAATAAGTCAAATTTTTTATATATCTTTATGTACTTGCATACGTGTGTATGAGTAATTAAGACTTCTTTTTTAAGACATCAATTAAAGGCAGTGTCATATATATTTTTCAAAATCCTAACCTTCATCAACTATGGATGAATCAAAAGATGAAATAAGATACATTGATTTGTATATGGCACTGTGGAGATTGAATTCTAGTTTATCTTGCATGTTTCACTATTTTTTGTTATTACATGTACCAATATTTTTTCACAACAAAATTTGATGCAACTCTGGCATCACAATAAAGGAACCATTTGTTAAGAATCTTTTTTACTAGTTAGGTTTCCAGAAGTTATGAAATTTGTTATTATTTGTTCCAAGTACAATAAAACCTCTCAACTTGAGCAAGTTGTAGCTCCTTTCAAGGCCACAAAAGCCTAGAGGGGTTTTACAGTACTTGCATTTTATGTCTGTAGATTCAATTTAACGATTCCTCTTTTCTCCTATGTTAGCTTTGATGACTCGGAGATGTAGAAACTGTGCTCGCTTAACAAGTTCTGGAGGAACTAGTCCTTACACAGCAAGTTCAAAATTACAAAACAACATCAGTACAAGATCTAATGTAACTAGTTCAAATTATACACAACCATATTCAACCAGTTCAAAAACTGCTAGACCACATATGACTAGTTCGACCCCTCATACAACAAGCTCCAGTATGGCCTATAGGTCAACCTTGTCTCAAGAAAGACCTAAAAGTGGGGGGTTTCTTGGATCTGAAAGAAGAATTGCAGACTTTTCTAAACCTTATCCAGCTGGCTCTTCTATGGCCCCTAGATCTACTTTGTCCCAGGAAAGATCTAAAAAAGGGGGGTTTTATAGCTCTCAAGGGAACATTTCTGAATGGACTGATTCTACTTTATCCGAAGCAAGACCTAAAAATAGAGGAATTTCTGGCTCTCAAGGGAGTATTTCTGAATGGACTGATTCTACTTTATCCAATGAAAGACCCAAAAATAGAGGGGTTTCTGGCTCTCAAGGGAATATTTCAGAACGTACTGGTTCTAGTTTGTCTCAGTCAAGACCAGGCTCAAATCCAACTAGTTCACAGTGGAAGAGTTTATCTCTTCCTCGATCAAAGCCACAATCAGACAGACCTACTACAAAAATGTCTATTTCAACCTATAACCAATGGATACCAAGTCCACAAAAAGCAACATCAAATAGGACCGGTTCGTTACCAAGACAACATGCACGAAGCAATGTCCACTCAAATTCCCAAAATATAAATGATCCCAATTCTTCGTTACCTGGTCAGCGTCCTCGGAGTGCCATCTATCCAAATTCAAATTTAACTAGTTCACAATCACAAATGACTAGCAGTTCAATAAGGACTAGTTCCCTACCGAGAACTCGACTACAAAGTTCAATCTACACAGATTTTTAGGTAAAGTTTCAAAGCTCAATGGGGTAGATGTAAGATGCCTATGATCATGGTCTGACATGCTGCAAATCCTGTGTCAACTTTATGTCTGTGAACCTAGTTGCTTGACATGCTTTCATGTGGATAAAATCACTAGTCTTTCAAAATTGATTAGAATAAAGGGAAATTTATATGCATGAAATTAGTTCTGATGTTGGTTTAAAGACTGAAATGGATAGCTGTATTAAATGAGAGATAAAAGGGTCAAGTATGACCAAAATGATCAAAAGTGATTTTATCCATGGAAAATTGGACTAGATTTGTCTTGTCTAATTATAAAGTTTTACAAAGGAATCACGAAGGAACCATTGTTTCTGATTTTACCTTTATCTGCAAGGTCTCAATCTTGTGCTTTCCTGAAGACATTTGCACTTAAAGGCCTGGTCATTCAAGTGATTCAAAAAATTGCAAAGGGAAGCAAACAGATGAAATAACAGGGCCTCCTTATAATGAAGGAGACCCCTTGAATATATTGCAAGTAATATGATCAGAAAACTGAGGGTAGAATGTTCAATGGCCAGTCCCTTTAGACTTATCCTTGGAGAGCAGTGCTACATCAGTAATCTGCCCCTTTGCTCTATCTTATGATGATTTTCAGAATGGGTTCATATTGTTCCATTTAAAAGGGGTGGGGTCTATAAGGGATTTTAATGGTCCTCTTGTATGAAATTCTTATAGACCCCATTTGACCTTATTAGTAGGATCGAATTATTGTGCCTCAATGTTGTCCATGTACATGAGGGGAGGGTCTATAAAGATTGTTTTTTTTATAAGGAAGGGGACTCAATATATTTTCACTTGTATTGCCCCTCCAAAGACCTTCATTTGTGATTTTCTATCATTTTGCCTGTGTCATTTTCATCAACTTCTTCATGCTTATTTCACTAATTTCTCTCTAAAAGTAAAAAATGAAATGACTGATTTTGGAGAAAAAATCTGAAATAAGTGTGATTTCTGATTGATTAATTAATTAATGATTGTATATTTATTATAGTTTGGCTTACCCTCTTCTATTTTGTTCCTTATATAAACTGCTTTACTGAATGCTTCTTTTCCTGATTTTTCTAATGCAGGGCTCCATTTTATAAATTATTCAGTGAAACGGAGTCCTGGACCAGGGGGCCATTAATCAAATATATTGTGGTTCATGTAAATGTTTTATATAATTTTCATCATTCAAGCAAAAATGACAGGTGTGTGAGAAAGCTATAATTGAATTTTACAACGAATCATGAACCATAATAGATTTTTGAGTAATGGGCCCCTGGCAATAGCTTGTTACACTTAAGATGCTTATGCATTGGTTACCATGGTTACAGGACAGGGGGCTGCCATGATTATAGAATCCCTACAGCTGTACTATCACATGACGTGTTTCCGCTGCACCGTTTGTAACTGTCAGCTTGGGAATGGTGCAAAAGGCGCAGACGTTCGAGTGCGGGTCTCGAAACTTCACTGTCAGAATTGTTATAGTAATGATGAAGGTACTGGTAGTGGTATTGACTTTTTGGGATCATTTTGAATTGTACACAACAGGAGATTGACAGCAATGGTTAGGTAACAAGGCGATACGATGATTTCTATCTTCCGCATGAGCTCTCTTTGTTCATGGGTGCTTTTTAAGTCTAGCTAGTTTGCTTGTTGCTGTAATCTGCTATGCTCTAGGCATATATTATAGTTCTTCATGCATCTATTTATATATTAGGTACAGTCCAAGCCAATGTATACATTCATTTTTTTTGTCCAGTATATGGTGTTTTAGCATTAAAGCCACGGAGTGAATGTTGCTTTCAAGCCAGGATTCACTAATATGTGGTTCCATTTGAAAGTTACTTTGGACTGATGAGTTCAATTTCAACTGAGCTTTTATCTGTTTCATGAATTATTTTGGCTTGAATTGTAATAATTTGTAGTTTTGATAAATATGATCCCTAAATTGTAAAAATGCTTGAAACGCATCAGGGATAATATATTAATTGGTGACGTTCGAGTGCGGAATTCTCGTAGAATGTAATATGCAGTAATGCAATAGTTTGGTAACTAACACTATTGTTCATATGTCAAATTAATACATTTTTTAAAACTTGAAATTCCCCGATTTCTGAATCCCATATGAATTTGATGTTTTCTCTGAACCTCCTTCTTAACATCCCCCCTCTCTTCAACTTTATATTGTATGTAATCCCATTTTGAAACTGACACCACAGTATCCTTTTACATTAGTTTTTCAATTATGAATCCTATTCCTCCAATCATATTCCCGTTGCATATTTTGATTTTAACTAAATGAAATATAAAATTATGATTACAGATTGTATACTAACATCGCCAAAAGCTTTTTGATCTGTTAGTAATTTATATAAAAATGGTTACTTTTTTTGTTTAACTAAAACTGCATGATTTAAGTATATTTTATATTTAGTATTATAATTATAATTAGACTATAGATGGTGATATATGATTCTTAATCACCTTGTTACCTAACCCTTGCTGTTGTAATAGGTTAACACCCTCCCCCAGTTTGGTGTGGAGCTGTTATATTAAGATAACCCACTTATGACCAAACATAGAGTTGTACGTATAAGTAGTACCATACATTAGTATATTTAAGACTAAAAAAGGTAGAATAAAATAACTTGTTTTACACTCTTGTATCGTAGGCATCATATTAGAGTAACATATAAATAGTATTGAATTTTTTTTCAAATTCATCTTCTAAATATTTTTTAATGTAGATTATCATTTTCAGTGAAATACTAAACATCATGTTAAAAGAAACACAATACAGAAAGTTAATCGAATTTCACAATTTTTGCTTAAAATTCTTGTTTTTAGTCTCAATATCTATGCTATAATTATATTATATAAATTTTTGTTTTCAGTCAAGTACAGCCAAGTTTGATTGCAGTGTGTTACACACCTGTGACATTGCCATGTGTTACACATCTATGATATCATCAAGTGTTACATATTTGATATGTCACACATCCTTGATATCATTTTTCGCATCATTTTCGATGAAGTGTTACACATTGGATGTGATGTCACAGATAAGATTGTGACATGTTACCCCACTAAGCCTGGACAGATAGCAACAACAACAGTAACATCACTAAGTCAAATATCTGGATATGTCCTCAAAATGAACAATAACTGAAAAGGACACTTCAAAATGAACAAAAGACTAAAAAATATTCCTATACCTATACGACCATGTGGAACCATTGTTTTTGCCAAAAAGATCAAACAATTGTCAATTTACACAAAATTATAAGTAAGATCTCCTAAGAAACTGTTTTGATGATTGTTTCAAAGTTTCACTACCATGATTTCATGCTGAAGTTAAGGTAGGCATAGAAGTATGACTTTGGGTCCAAATTGTCTCAAGTTTACCTTACTTTGCCTTCCTTAAAGCTCAAATGTCTCAATAAAGAAAATATAGCTTATTTTATGTTTTTTCAATGGGTATACCAGATTATTCAACTGATTGTGTGGCAATGCAGAAAGTGTGCTTGTGATCTTCATTGTGAATCATTCTGGTATGCCCCTTGGAGATGAACAGTTTAATATCATTGTAATTATGTTCATGTTGTATTTTGTTACATTTCATCTGGATTTGCTGTTTATTATTAATTATAAGTGACTTAATCTCTACCTCTGTCTCTAAAGCACACTTGAAGAACTGCCTGCAATCGGAATAATCACATACACTTGATACAATTTTTGGGGAAATATTAAATTCTTGAAAATGTACCTAGATCAGAGTTCCAAATTAAACATTCTTCCAATTTTTAAATGTGATTGGTTCACTTACAATTTAAGCTTGTTTTTACTAAGTATGCTATTAACAGAAAAGAAGGTTTCAACAAAAATCTTTTCTATTTTTGTGTTTTTGCTTTTGAGTTCAGAGTTAGAAACTGAGTCACTTTAGTTCCTGAGATATTCAAATTATGATTATATCAATTTATATTAAACATATCAGTGTACAGTTTGTAATTTATAAAGTTATTATTCATAGTTTATTGTTTATATTATTGCTTATTATTACAGTGTTCAATAATGTACAAAAGTTGGATACAGTCTAATGCAAAGTCCCATTAATTGGAGGCAATTCTGAATCCAATTACATGAAGCAATTGTGCTTTTGTGAGGCTGTGCACTAAACTGTGTAAAATACACATTTTATTAAATATGTTTCATTTACTGAGTTCGTAACGTTATGTTTCACTACATATGAGAGCAATTTGTGTTTTCTCAAATAAAAAATAAATAATGATACTCTGAGATTAATTACATTTAATTTATTTCCATGTTGTTATTAACATATCATTTAGAAGTTAGTTTATGTCACTGTTGTGTTCTTTTGAAACATGTAGGATCCTTTAAGTCAAGAGTGTACAATTTAAGAAGTCGAGCGTCTCTTTAATTTAAGACAAAAGTTTTCTAAGAATTTATGTTGAGGATAAGGCAGCTCATTTAACTCTCCACCAAAATTGAAAAAACAAATGTTCTAAGGTCTTACTGCTCCTTGCTTTCACTTTGAAGTTAGGTGATGAAGGGACAAGGGAGGGAGGGGGGGGGGTGAATCACTCTAAAGTGTTTTTGAAAGTTACCAAGTTTCTTTACATTTAACATTGCATCAAGATGATTTCTCCATCTATTCATAATAAGCTATTGTGGGGGGGGGGGGGGGGGGGCATTGACACAATGATCCACAAAATATGTAAAATACATGTATAGAGGGATCTATTTTTTCTAATCTTTTAGATTATTCCTAGCAGCATCTGCTTCCCAGTATTTTCATATTGTTCAAATTCTGAAAGGACAACTAAATTTAAGCATCCTATTTTGCAAAATAACATACACATACGTTTAGTCATTAGAGCTTTACGAATGTATGTATTTATTTAATCTAGAATCAATTCTCTAGACCCCCTCCCCCTCATGACCTCTTGTGGGGTTGAAGTTTCGGAGGGGGTGTGTGGTTTAAATAGAAAGGTACGAAGCAGGACTTGTAGTTATTTTCCCCAAATATTTGTTGTAATAATAATCATATTTTACTAGAAATGCAAGTAATTTGTGAGTTCAGATAATTGTATATTAATTGTATTTATTCAACCCAGTCATCTCCCCTTGTACAGAACAATTTATAATTGTGTATAGTCATAATAGGATGACATAGATTAATATTTAACATACTGTATAGTGTTGGTATATTATGATTAAGAAATGTTGCTTTATTACACTTTCTATAGGCCTGTCATATATATCATATAGGCCTGTCATATATATCATATAGGCCTGTCATATATATCATATAGGCCTGTCATATATCATATAGGCCTGTCATATATATCATATAGGCCTGTCATATATATCACGGTGAGAGAATAAAAATGATAAATTAAAATTATGAACTTTTGATTTTTGTGAGTTTTGTTTGTATGAGATGTGGAAAATGGTTCTTTTTCAAAACTTTTCACCCTGATTGACGTTTTTTTGTATTTCCTTACTTGGCAATAGGCTCATCACGTTCTCATTGCAAGTTATAATTGACTGCCATCCATCTAGTATTGGTTAGTTTTTGGTGTCAAGTCCTAACGATTGAAAGTTTCCACGATGTATTGGAAACGTAATGAGCGTAGTGGCAGGTGGGGAAGTACTAAAACGTTCACATACGAATATTATAAACTACATTTACCCAGTTTTGAAAAGTAAAATGTCGTTTTTGTAATTAATATCCTGTTGTACTCAACGAAAATACTCTGAGCGTTTCCACCTCTTGTCTGTAGTACTATAGCGAGTCTGATTTTGCGAAACTGTATAAATAACATAATATAATTTATACAACGTAACACGATATAATTTATTAATTTGAAAATACAGTATAATATTATTAATGATGATACAAAAAATAGAACAAAGAATTTTTCAATAGATAATGAGGTATCTAATGATAACAGTACTATTTGTTATTGGTATCCCAGACCTAAAACTAAATCAACCTGACGCGTATAATTTAAGACAATCAGTACTACAGCCAAAAAAACCAAACAAATGTTAATAACTCAGTCCTGTAGCTTTGGTTTAGTGTCACATTTGACACAAATAAACCTTGTTCAATGTTCTCTCATTCTAAGTTTATTTGGTCAATGATATTTTCAATAATCACCATCTTAAGGCCATTTTACAAATATGCTTTAAAATACAGGTGTCGTGTTTGGAGGTCAGCTTGAATGTATCGGGCGTACATGTAGTTTGTTCACTACACGAACGCATACGTCTTGGTAGATACAGAGATAACCTATACTGAATTCGAAATAAAGTCAAAATTGTGGAACATTCAATATGTTTTAGACAATGACATGACATGGAGTGAAGTGAGAAAAGAAGCATCGTAAAGTTTAACATTTTTACAGTCGTTTACAGTCTCTCTCACTTTTGAGATCTTTCTAAAACGGTACTGGAGTTTCTCGCGAATAGGCCCATGGGAACGTTTATTTGAAAGGGGGTGTTTTTAAAGGGCCATTTGCGTTCTTTTCGAGAGCTTTTAAATAAACACCGAGTGAGGGAAACATTCAAAAAAGGATTCCTGTGCATTCCGTTTCCTAGAATCATTAAATTCCCTGCTAGCACGGCTTAAATCATTGTTAAAATCGTGTTGTCCTGTTGATCCACGACGCGCAACTGCTAGTTTATTGTCACGGTACGAGCGTCACCTCTTGTAAAACAGAAGTCGGCAAATATTACTCGAGAATATTAATCATATTTAAGTTGAAGCGTTGCTTGTCTGGATCAAGATATTTCAAAATTTCTTTTCGGAAAGAACCTCAAACTCAACAGATCGGCCATTTATACAACTCACTCAGCAGAAAAATGGAGGCCATTTTGAAATGAAATCCCACTTAGCTAAATTAAAATATATATAACAATCGATTAGAACCGGGATATATGCCGATATTCTGCAAATGTATACATAAAGGTATGTTTCGTATAATTGTGCCATAACAACTGTCCGTGTGTCACCATGATTCACAAATATTGAATATCAGGACGGCTGTAAACAGTCACTCAAAGCCAGAATACAGAGAAGGCGTTGGACCTAGTTTGAAATGAACTAGCAAATACTGGTATATGTCATCCTTCAAGATCGGTCCTTCACTGCTTTCATAGCAGATCATAATGTAATGCAATGAATTACTCTTGGGCCAAGGATGGTATATGTTAAACGGTAGCATATCGTTCCACGTTCGTGATACTACTGTGTGAAGAAGGTGATCGATAATATCCCTCAACATAAACGCCCACCCCGTTGGAAAAAGAATGGGCGTTCATATTTGGGACTTTCAAATAAACGCTTATGCGAAATAAACGCCCCGTTGGCCTATTCAGAGGAGCTCCGGTATGTTCCGAATATAATATTGGGTCATACATTCATTCTTTAATATTTTACGAAAATACAACCTTGGCCCTCTTTAAATACAAATACATTTCATAACACCTGAGGAAATACTATCTAGTACATTTACAATTGTTAGAAAAATAGAGATGTACAATATTACGGACATGTACGCACATAATTAGGTTGAAAAATATAAAGGTATAATCGAGCCCTAGATTTAACACTTTCCGATCTTTTCCTCTGACTTTTCATCAACATAATAACACATCAAGATGGACATAGCCTGGCAAAATTATAGCCTTAATAGACATGTTTACGATATGATGAAAACAAAGACCAACAATATAACATTATTAATTTAACATTGCCTTGCCTATTTTCGTCTCGCCTAGTGTTTTCATATACCAACTACGGTTAGCTAATAGCTATGCCCCGGGAGCTATGCCTCGATCTGATCTAAAACTGTACAATACGATAATAATGATCAAAAGTAAAAATTTAGTTGAAAATAAGTGTCCAATATCACTTTAATTGATATTCTCGCATAGGCATATTTACTATAATTATTTTACTACATAAGTTAAATGTGAATTGTGAGCAAAACGCTAAACAGCTGTTGTTTTAAAGTAAATACACACAACAGCAAACACTTTCTGAGAGATACTATACTAGTACTCTTCCCGTTGGTGCAAGATAATTTTAACACTCTATCCTGGTATCCACCCCGCCCCTTTGTATGCAGTCCTTAATTATTGACCATGATTGGAACGAATGCTCTTAAAACAGGTTAATTACACTGAAGAATGATGAGGTGTCAAAATAGGAAAAGACGAGTCGAAATGAAAGAAAAATTCAAAGAAAAAGCATCACTAAGGAAATCTTATGATAACATCAATGTACAACTAAAGATACATTGTCATTTAAGTTGTTTACCTTATAAACAAAAAATCCAAATATATCACCCCAGAATATATAACAAATGAAGATCGAATGAGGGATTGGGTACTTAAAGGTCCATTTATCCCCTACAGCGGGAAATGTATTCCTCTCGTCAACATACAGACATGGATATATTTGATCCCTTTTCCATATCTGAATTTTCTTTGCTGTACTCCTGGATGTTGTAAGTTGTATCTCTATTTAAGGTTTTCATCATATCTTTGATGTCGGTGATATTGTGCCTGCAACAGAGAGTATTAGCCCCGAAATTATTCAGAACCATTTTACGATTAAATTTCGATTACAGGGATACATTCTAAACCATGGTCTACAAATCGAATGCTTATGACCGTTTTCCTGTGAATGCACATGTTCCAGTTGGTATTTTTTAAACAGGATTTAACTAACAATTTATAATCAGTTGGACAGATCTAAGCTTGGAACAAAGAGACTAAATGCGCTTTACAGCATACCGTGACGGTGGCCACGGTGGCTATCAAGGCCCCGTATATCGCGAGCAAGTTCCCGCTGACATTGCGAGTTCATTACTCACGTTGCCAGCGGGCATGCAAGAAAATATAAAAGGTTTGTAGGCTCAGGCGTACTCTATTATTTTTGAAAAAATCTGCGAAACCAGAAATCCGTACGATCACATCCACCAGGTGTTAATGTTTAAGTTTCAACGAACGAAAAATATTAAGAATACAAAAGCTAACTACATATGCAAAATACAGCATTTATCAGAAGCTTGTATAATATCCAAAATGTCCTTTGATAATATAAAATGGTATTTTCCTGTCACAATAGATGCATCATAAGCCCAAGCCCGTCTGGAATGGATGTGGGTAAATTTTTGAAAAGCTCGCACGATTTAAGAATGTGCATTTTCAACATACAGCCATGTAATTGTTTGTTTCACGGTTTTCATTTATGTGTCTCAATAGTCCTGAATGTTTTTCCTGTTCAACCTGATCACCATATCTGTGGACTCCCTGATAAAATGCCTGCAACATTGTAAAATAAGGACAGTTTACAATGCAATAATGAAACATGTGTATATCTCTTTGGCGATTCCTATAGAATCCTTCCATGACAATGGGGTTTGAATATGTATTTTTCAAATTTTAAATGATAAACTAATACCCGTCTATTTCTTTATTTCTTGGTATATCTTTAATTTTAAAAGTTTTAGATGATTAGCAAGATTTAAGATCAGTTTCAAGTATAGATTGACAGTTTTTCTTGATTTATTCAAGGCATTCGACATTTTTATTTCATCATCTTTTTGCTAAATACATAGTTGCATATGATGCTACATTAAGCAATTAGTTATTTCATACATGATTTCTTGTCTTTCTTTTCGCAAGTTAAAACAATTATCCTTCACACATTAAAATCTTGCATTTTGGGTTTCTCCAAGAATTCACTTTATGGCCCTTTTGTTCCATTACTATCACATTCAAATCTATGTCGTGCATGTGCTAAGTGATACACTTTTGCCAATAACATCTTTAAAAGTCAATTTAAGTTATTATAGAATGTTAATCCGCATTTATTATGAAAACTATTACAGATAAAATGCCGAAATAAACAATGGCTAATCTCATGACTTACGACTCCTCCTCTTCTTCTGTAAATACTGGGAGAGGGCGGTGAAAGTCTCTGTGTCCTTCTAGCCAGTAAGTTACAACCTTTCCCTTACCCTGCAAGAAGAAAGTATTTAATGAGACTACACCATGCCCTATATTAGAACAAATAATCAAATAAACAAGAAGTCAAAAAGACGTCTCGCCATCACAATGCACTGCGTAGAAATACGAGGCCTATTTTTGGCAAAGCCTCGGCCACATTTGCTCCACGGCCGGCGACCATAGCTTCACAAACTCGATGGACATGTATAGAAAATCTACATCGTATTGCTTATCCCTGTATTCATATCTTGATTTTTGGAAGCTACGACCGCCATTTGGGTATAAGTTATAAAGCCAAAAGTGGTGCATTTCTAGTTACCATAACCAAGGAAAATTAAATTAGCTGTACATATTATATTACCTTTACTTCAACAGACCCCCTCTCAGATGTGCTGTATCCTATGTGCATCTTTAGTGCCTTGTGAGCAGTTGGACTTAGTTGTATCTTACTAGCTACAATGAGGGGTATTGTGAACATTAATTAGACATACATACCAAAGCCAAAAAGGGACTGAACTTCAATCCTCAATGAAAATCGAACAAAATAACAAACAGCATTAGAAATAGAAACCAATCAAATTTTGTACTGTTTTAAGCACTTGTAAAATGTAGTTGAAACACCTTCTAAAACACATTTGACCTCTGGTTAAACATAAACCCCAGGAACACACTCCCCTAAAATAACCTATTCATGACAAAAAGTAGCTTTCGGAGATACGGAAAGCAAAAAATATTACGTAATCCTGTAGATTCCATCCTAGACGCCATGTTCACTGTATCTCCGAACAGACAATATCTGGGCATTGTATGGCCAACTACACCTGCAACAAATATACACAATCTATAAACAGGACTAGTAACATTATAAAGCAGAAGGTATAGAGACAGAGTATGGGGGAATATAATAAAACACCTTCAATTCCTCGCTTTGATTTTCTTTACATTTGCTTAACCAATAGAATATTTCTCAAATTCTCATGTTGTAAAATGTCACAATGCCAAAACTATTTTAAGGAGGCACAGTCTGATTCTTTATCATACCTGCTGCACAAGGCCCAGAGTTAATGCCTATCCTCGCCTTTAGTTCTTTTCCAGGAACATGGGAAATCTTGAATTTCATGATAGAGCTTAAGAGATGTAGAGACATGTTGGCAATCTCAACAATGTGGCGGTCACCATTCCTTACTGGAATCCCACTTACCACCATATATGCATCTCCAATAGTTTCAACCTAAATATTGAAATGAATATGTAACATATTGATGAATCCGCTGTTTTGCCTTAAAGGAACATTCCTTGCCAGACTATTCCTCTCCTGATATGGTAGCTACAATCATATATATACTTTACATATTTAGCAAAACACGGGAAAATGTTTTCATATGGTCAATATTGATCATTTAAAAATGTAGTACTCATTCCCAGTACGCTGCCATCTTTTTAGATTTCTTTCAGGAAGTGATGTCATCGATTCAGCTGGTTTAGTAATTCTAATAGCTCCTTACCTAATGTTATATGCAAAGTTGAGAGTCGATGACATCACTTCCTGAGTGAAATTTTAAAAGATGGCAGCCTACTGGAACTGAGCACTACATTTTTAAGTGATCAATATTGACCATTTCAAAACATTTTTCTGTTTTTTGATAAACTTGCAAAGTATGGATATTGTTATAGCTACCATATTAGGAGAGAGATGGTCTGGCAAGGAATACCCCTTTAAGTAATGCCATTTTACTTCTAAACAGTATGTTTAAATTTGACATTGTTTACATAATAAGAAAGAAATCTGTAGTTCAGTCAATGATAAACAAAAACTTTTAAATGGTCTACCTTGTAAACATCATACATCTCTATAATTTCATCGAACATTGTGTAAAGATCATTTAAGAATTTCACAATCTGAAACGGTGTACTTTTGGATGATAGAGTTGTGAATCCAACTATGTCACTGAAGAACACTGTACAGCTGTCCACCATTTCAGGCTCCACTGTCTTCCCCTGTTTCAATTCGTCTGCAATCACCCTGAAAATAACAAAACCAAGAATGTAAAAACACAATCATACAGTTTTTTGTATATTTATCATGGTGATTTTTATCTTTTATTGGTTTGATTCATTGATGTCATTTATGCCCCTAATGAGAAATGGCTCTTTATCTCCTGTTACTATATATGTGTTGAGCTATAGGTTATCCCTCTTCTCAAAGTTCATGATCTAGTTTTTTTTCATGGTCATAATATGTTAGATGATTAACTTGTGAGAGATACTAACGCAGGGAGCATTTTGTACAACAGCTTGTCTGTCTTTTTCTTTTCCTCCATAAGTTGTGACGTTCTTTGTTCAACGATTTCCTCGAGATTGTTTGCATAAGCTTCCATTTTCACCAACATTCTGTCCACGATGTTTACTCGCCTTTGGGAAACAAGAGAAATTATATTATCATAGGCGAGGAAAAGCATTCCCAATTATTATTTTCATGAGCCATGCATGATTTAGTGACCATTTGAAAATAAATATTAATATTGGATAGTTGGAATTCATACATTTTTTCAAGTTTTGACCTTTTAACCTACAAAGGATAAGAAAGGTTTGTACTAACTTTCCGTTGTTCATTTTCATGACTTGTTTCTTTAGTTCATTTACAGTAGGTCTGAATTCAGGGTTCTCTTGCCATGAATCGTACATAAGATCTTTGATGATTTCATCCAAATTTGTTTCCGGGGTCACCATTGGACGGAATGGCGGATTCTCTGCTCGGGCGACTCTTTTCACAATTTCTGAATACAAGAGTTGGTTTTATTTAATATATTCTTGACAATTTACAATCCTGTTTACAAATGCCCATAATTCCCATCATCCTATGTCAATGTTGTGGCTCACAAGTATACGGGGTCTACCATAAAGTACGGTCAGAACAAAGAACCTGCCTAAACTCAGTTTGCTACCGGTCAAACTAAAGAAAATATTCGTGTCCCTCTACCCTTGAAAAGGGATGTAATAAACCGTGGATGAGTTTTTATTCCTTTTATGACATACAATTATTATGCAAATCGGAATGTTTTCTGTAACTAAAACACTGGACATGGGCGTTACTTGTAATTCAGAAAGAGTGGAATGTTGTAATTGTTGGCATTAATGATAAGGATGCACCATATTCAGTTTGTTTATACTTATTACCCTTTGGGGAGGAGTCACATTGTGTGTAAGGTGCCTCACGCAGCATCAGTTCATGCAAGATGATTGCAAAGCTGTAAACGTCCCCTTTTTGTGTTCCACTTGGTGGGGGATTGGTCATTCTTAACAATTCCGGAGCTGTCCATAACTTGGCTGAAATATAGTTTATATATATATTGCTTCACATGATCCATGTGATGATCATTTTGTATTTTATACCTATTTAATGTTAATATCAAAATATAATATTTTCCCGTGAATATGACTATATGACTATCGATTTTGATAGCTTCTAATATTCGTCTTTCGCGTTACCATAGTAATCCGAATCTTCCCCAGCATCAATTCTTGCCTGAAGATGTACTCTACTAAGACCATAGTCTCCAATCTTCAACTGCCAACGTCCGTCTACCAAACAATTGCTGCTCTTAAGACTGCCATGTGACCCCAGTGGGGAACTGTGTAGATACTTCATACCCTTAAAAGGAACGGAAATTAAATGATGGAAAGAACATCAAAGAACAAACTGGAGCATAATCTACTAAATATTTTTGAACTTCTACTGACGCCCAGCGGGTAATACCAGATAAATCTCGGAAGTTAGTAGAAGTAGACCCAAATGTCACCGATCCTTGGTTTTACACGGGAAAGTGAAAGGATCATGAAAAATGTTCCTTCAATGAGTATGTACATGTAATACTCAAGTTCCAAAGGGAGAGGACCAAAATTGTTACAGACCCCATCAAGAAAAAGAAAACATCTAAGTGTACATAAGTCATAAGGGACAATCACAATTAAAACTGAATAAAAGCAAATTGTCCTCCAACCATTCAAGTTCCATCATCACAACTCAGGACCATAACACCAGGGAACATTTCATTCATGCTGAAGCCATTCCAATACACGTTGATGAATAAATATAAATTGATAACGGATACTCATAACATCAAAAATAGTTGTAGATACTAATATAGTATTCAAATAACATAGGGCGTTCAGTCTCAAATGATGTGGGACATATCCATTGGTCCATATCCATTGGTCATAAAGTATAACCCCCAAATACATATCAATTAAGAATTATCTGTCAACACACTAACACAACTAGCTTCATTGTACATACCTCTACCAGGTCACACAACATTGAATGCTTGAACATGAAGTCCAGTTTGATGTCAGAATTGTTGATGATATCCTACAAAACACCAAACACTTAAAGGCCCCATGTAAAGTTTAAACCACTTTGGCTTATATTGTAGTCTTACCCAATGTTATCAAAGTGTGATATGTGAAACTTTTTTTTTAAATTTCAAAAAGTGTTTTTTGATAGACTTTTTGTTCCAAAATTTGTGAATTTATTCAAAACTAACTTTTAGACGTCACTCATATCTTCTAATTAGCCACAATTCATACAAATGCATAGCATTCATCCTCCCATGTTTTTTGCCGAAAGAATTAAGAAAATAGGTTGATAAACAAGCGAGAAATGAACTTATCAGTGCATGAAAATGGTTCTGAGAAAAATGCATTTCAAAATTTTAGTTCTCATAGAAACCAATGGTACAATTATATCTAAAACATAATTTATTCTTCCTTTTAACCTGGTTAGACAATCAACATTGTTTTTTATGAAAGTCTAGCATATTTAGAAAAGATTGACATCGAAAAAAAAATTCAATTTTTTTCAAAAAGCTTTTGTTGCCTTAGTGCACTAATGTTTCAAAATATTTTTGATAAGCTAAAACATTGAAGTGGCCCATTAAATATGACATTTTATTATTGAAATAGTGTGTCTTTTGTTCAATCTTTGCATTGGTGATAAAAAGATAATCTTTTTTGAAATGCATTAAGAAATATTTGATGATTAAGAAATTTCAACTTTTTTTGAAAAATGGCGGGAAATTTGAATATTTGAGAAATGAAATGCTCACAACTTTTTTTTCCAAAATTTTTTTGTTGTTCAAAAATCTCTAAAATCACTCTTTAAGTCCTGACAAATAGTAAATGAATGATAAAAAAATATTTTCAAACTTTAGACGGGGACTTTAATAATATATTGTCACATAGATTATTATGTTATCCCAATGTTAATAGGGGTGATTCATTATAAAATAATACGTTATTCCCATATCATATCGAGTTGATGTTTATCAGGGCTAATGGGTTATTTGAAACTATTTCTCTATCCGTTTGAACAATTTTTAGTTACTTTGGTTGTCTTGTTTTTTGCTCCTTTTATATACTGTGTTTATGTTTTTACTTTTGCCATTGTGATTACAATTTTAAATTCAAACATTGCATCGTGTGGTGGTTTCCGAATGAATGACTTGGGATCTCGAGGTTATAACTAGTGCTACCAGTTAATATTAATATTACCTCTAAACTGTTTTTAGGACAGTGGAATGACACAATAGCAGCGTTCACATTGGTCACGGTCAGTCCAAAAAACTTGTTGATGTTCTCATGATTCAAATCCTTCATCTGAAACGATATATGGCTACTTGTAACAAATGCATTCATTTGAAGTTATTCGTCAAATAATCAGGCTGTTATGATGCAATAATATACATTTAGGGTATAGAAAAGGCGTTGGACGTGAGGTTATCCCCCATGCATAAGGATAATCCATACGCTTATATGCATCCCTAACGACCTTTCAACAAACCATTCAAATTGCAGATTCGTTACAAGTTTTTTATTTGCAATTCTCGAATTGAGATGAAAATATTTGTATGCTTACATCCTTCATTTCCTGATGGTCCTCCTTGGTCAAAGACATCAATACAGAAAGGTTCAGTGGCTTTAGATACACAGTGTACCCCTTGTATATGCCTAGAATAAACTTTATATATGAATAAGTCTGTACAAGTGCTTTACTAGTAAGAAAAAAAACCTTTGAGAGTATAAATGGTTCCACAGAAGGAGATCCCCAGCATCCCAAGAAATGATCTAATTTACGTTTAAACATTATATAATACCCCTCCACGTAATCCCATGCAGCCTTTTTAAATGCAGATACATTGTGTTATAACATCCGAAGACACGAGGACTTGCCTCAATGTGAGATTTCTTTAGGCATACGCAGTAGACTGTGTACTTACCTACTTTAATGTTCTGATCTATTATTGCAGCACCTGCAGTTCCAGCACCCCCTGCCGCAGCCAAAACTTTAGATGGGGATGCGTGCGCACCCTGTTCACTGTGCTCATTCGTGTTCATTGAGACCTACAAGTTATAAGCACTAGATGCTTAATCTAACTACTTTGCCCGTTTGCAATGTGTTTGGGATCCTTGTCCATACTCTTACAGTCATTATAACCGTCATTTTACAGTTTTGCTAAGTACACAATAGCAGTCTTCCTAAGTCGTAGGTGTACAGAAAAGGTATTGCTTCATTCCCACTTACACAGGGAGATATGCCGAGAACTAAAATAGTACTCATGGCATTTTAGCGCTAATTGAGTACTCATTTCGGCAAATGAGCACTTGATATGAGTACTGATTTATTGCATGTTTTAGTACTAAATGAGTACTCATATGATGAGTGAAAGAAATAGCAGCAGTATCATTGATTTTTCATTACTCAATGAGCACTCATACTATGAGCACTAATTAATTGCAAGTTTTAGTACTAAATGAGTACTCATATGATGAGTGATAAAGTAGCGCTAATTTCATTGATTTTTCATTACTCAATGAGCGCACATATTATGAGTACTAATTTATTGCTCATGTTTCACGAGTGATAGAATAGTACTCAAAGATTAAAATGTTGATAATTTTTTTTAACTGATGAAGTGAAATATAGAATACGTAATAAATTACATTTTAATTAAACGAAAAACATGGATAAATATATCATGAAGTTTTTCCAAAAATTCCCATTCCTGTAGCTATTTCATGTAATGGGTTGAAGCTAGGAAACAAAATGACAGACACCATACTGTTCCATTCTTGAGAAAAGTGCATATATATACACATTGATTTGTCACTTAGAACAAGTAAAATATGAGGTAAGTTGTATTAAATGTGAAGTTCCTACAATTACAAGGTAAGTGAGTTCTATATGTGTTACAATTATAAGCTTATATGAGAGTTAGTCTAAATAACAAAACTAAAGGTGTCATGTGAATTGTATCCGAGCTACAATAATACCTACTGAGTGCTTATCATTTAGTAAATGAACAATATTTTAGTGCTAAATGAGCAATTTTTAGTACTAAAATAGCACTCAATTAGTACTAAATCATTACTTAAAATATTGTTACTAAAACGGAACTAAAATAAACCCTTATTTTTCACAAAATTAGTACTAAGATAGCACTCAAGTAGTAATAAATTAGCGCTCTGGCAAAAGTGCACTCATGAGTACTCATAGCACGAGTGCTAATTTAGTACTTATTTTGTACTAATTTAGTACTCGGCATATCTCCCTGTGTACCAATATATCACAACAAAAGATAAGAGCAGTAAGTTGTCATTAGAATAAACTTAAAAATAATCTCAAAGGCAACTCTCAAAATACACAAAACAATGCAAATCTGACAATCAGTCACAAACTCTACCTTAGATCCTATTGTACTATGACTCTTTCCTTCAGGTCTTTTCTTTGTAAGGTTCGCTGGAGTAATCTGCTGATATGGGATTTTCCATATGCTCTGTAATAGTTCAGCTTCTGCCTTACGCTTCCTTTAACACAGCAATACATTCAAATGTATCATTTAAACAAAATATCAATATTTTGAACATCCCTATTCACTTCCGCTACATCTACTTCAATTGATTCAGTTCATGTACAATAGGAAATGCATCTAGATAATTTATGAATTGTGTGTCTCTCTACCGGAACAATACAAGATAAATATGTATATTCCAGAAAAAGAAAATTGCCATCATTGTTTGAAAATGATATGAATATGATATGAAAACATTTTTATTAAAAAGATACATGAACATCTTAGCATACCTTTGAAGGAAAATGATGCCTCCAATAACACCAATAGTTAGGATAATTGCTATGGATGATATAATGCCAGCTATCTCGCCGTCTAAAAGTACAAGTATTCTAATGGCATATAGTTACACACATAATTACTTAGCTATTGGGATACATTTCAAGGCTCATATAAAGTAAATTATGAAGCAGATTTTAATTAGAATGATTGCGTCAACATTGAAGTCCATATGCTGATCAATCTCATCTTGAATTACCCAGGTATGTTTTCATGATTGAAAGTCAAACTTGCAAGCGAGTATGGACCAACCCTCCAAATGTTGTATGTAACTACAAGTGCAAAATGTGTACTAACGAAAACGTATGAAAAAGTCAGCTAGAAAGGCAATGTTTATCGAGGATGCGTATGGTCGCATGTGTTTAATAGGAGGTTTACTTTTACTGATGCCACGCCAGTCCTATTCTCCATTAATCGCACAGGATAAATTGGACAGAGCTTGATTTTTTCAAACGTTTCATGTTCATTAAAAACCGCTAGCGCTAAACAATACCGAGAGGGCGATCGGAGATACCTCGCCATGCTGATATGGAAGAATGAAATCCCTCATCGCACTTGTACTGTACCTTGTAGTTCTCTTGGGCACAGTGTACCACTGTAACCACACTTTGGTATTGCCGGGGGAGGACTTTTATCAGACGTATAGAAATTTGGTGACACTATCTGATCGAACGTCAACTAGAAACAAAAGACATTATTTTTTCAATCAACAAGCAATCTGGGGCATTTATACATTATACATGTATTGTTCTGCATTCCATAAGTTATTTACTATTTTTTTCTAATTTTGCCCGTGCCTTTTTGATTTGATAATACACCTTCATTACTGATCAGATTTTTCATATTCAGCAGTTATTAAGTAACTAATTAACTAAGTAAATAAGTAATTAGAGTAACTGAAAAACTGAAGAAGTCAGGTGATGGTAGACGATACGTCATACAATCATATCATACGTATTGTTGGTAGTGTAAAAAACAACTAATTTTAAAAGCATAGTATTGTTTCAAACTTATTAATGTATTTACAAAGAATCAATTATAATTGTTATTACCACTCGATGCTTATTGATTTTAATTGTACCTGTTTGTTCTGGTCGTTGGACAGGTACATATATGCAAATGGTTCAAATTTATCTCTGCCTTTGTGTAATATCGTGAAGTTTGGAAATCTGTCTCCATTACTTGTATCGAAAGACACTTCTCCCGATCGACCTTTGACAGGAATATAAGTTTATTAGAAAACTGAATTACCACAAACACATACATTTTTCAGATTTTTCCATATTCATGGTGGTCACAAACAAGTTGAACATTTGTTGATATATACGTAGATTTTGTTCACCTTTAAGATACACAAGTTTTGTTCAGTGAATTATTCATCTTCTGTACAATCCAGAAAACTATACATTTCGAAGCTTGAGAATATAGACATGAGATACATTTTAGAAAGGTATGATAAGTATCTTTTCCGTAGATTATCTGTTACATTGTTTTCATTTTAGCTTATATACCTATAATTCTATGTTGAATTAAAGCCTAATCATTTTTATCTCCCCTTTTCTAGCTGACCAGCATGGTTGATCTCAAGTTTTACTTTAACCGTTGCGTGAAATTTTGATATCAAATGAGTCGACGAAGCATTTGTAGTATAGAGCAAGTGTGTTTACGAACCTTTTACATAAGTCTATGTCATTTAAGGACTTACCACTAAATCTAAAGTCTTTTTTTCGAACCTCACTGAGTAATGTATCTCCGCTGAATGGGTTCACATTTGGATCATTCTTATCATTCTTAATCACTCTGTTCACGGCAGTTAGGTATGCGAGTACAGTGTCATACAAGAATACTGAATATATGGACCCCTAAAATGATGATTTGGCAATATAACGGATTATAAAATGCATCTAGTATTTTTATTAAAACGTTTTCGTGCTATGCTATAAGTGATAATTATTGATAGCACAAGGCATAATATGACGGATATATTATTTCCCATTTGTTATGGGCCATAGAGTAATAAATACGTTCCTTTATATGATCATACACATTCATCATTTACACATTATTACCAACGAGAATGTATTGTTTTTGTAGCCTCAAGAACTGTAGTCATTACCATGTTAAGAATTTGTAACACATTAATGTTTCTACTTGTCTACAAACGTTTTTAAAGCTTTTGTCAAATTAGGTACACTTTATCCAGCCTCTTCTGGATGAAGATCTTTATTCAGAGTGCTTGTTCATGTTTTAAAAACTGCAAAGTCTTTAATTCGATTACACAAATGATTCCTGCAGCGTTAAGAATATCTTCCAAATAGTACAAATATGGTAGATCTTGTAAATCTAGTAAATCTTGTGAAATCTATCGTATTTTTCCCATTTAGCCAAGTGGTAAACTTTACACACGAATGTATATTGCGCATACTTCAAAACATAAATCGTGTCAATTAAATGTATGAATGAACTATAATTCAGGATTGGAAGCGATATGCTGAACTAAATTCAAAATTGAAAACAACCAGTAAAAAACAAACACTGTATATAATGGTCACCGATTGACAATTCAACAATTCAAAAAATAGTTAAATATTTTTTAATAAAAGTGTTACCATTCATTGATGACCATTACATCGACAATGTGTAATTTTTTCAGATTTTTTTAATGATTGAGAAAAATGTTTTCAATCTAGTTCACCATATCTTAAATCCCCTGGTGAAACACTGCAGTTACAACAGAAGACAATGCATTGGACGTACTTCAGTCACTTTGTCATTGCCGTAATTGTACTGCTCTCTCATTCTTTTAGTCAATTCTACTCTGAATTCCTTAGCTGTTAATTCATCCTTCCAAGCTATATCATCGGACATACTTGCAGCCGTTACCTGTAATGTATAAATACGATTGCCAAGTGCATGGACATAGTAGTATGATATCCAAAGACCAAAAAAGAGACCAAAGGGAAAAAGAGCCAAATGACAAAATTACCACACAGGAGAGCCAAAATGACAAAGGAAAACTAAACCCTCAAAGAACCAAAAACGACAAAGGAGAGCTAAAACATCAAAGGGCCAAAATGACAAAGGAGAACTCAAACGTCAAAGAGCATAATGACAAAGGAGAGCTAAAACTTTACAGAGCCAAAATGACAAAAGAGCGCTAAAACCTCAAAGAACCCAAAACGACAAAGGAGAGCTAAAAAGTCAAAGAGCAAAATGACAAAGGAGAGCTAAAAGGTCAAAGAGCAAAATGACAAAGGAGAGCTTAAACCTCAAAGAGCAAAATGACAAAGGAGAGCTAAAACTTTACAGAGCCAAAATGACAAAAGAGCGCTAAAACCTCAAAGAACCCAAAACGACAAAGGAGAGCTAAAAAGTCAAAGAGCAAAACAACAAAGGAGAGCTAAAAAGTCAAAGAGCAAAATGACAAAGGAGAGCTAAAACATCAAAGAGCAAAATGACAAAGGAGAGCTAAAACCTCAAAGAGCAAAATGACAAAGGAGAGCTAAAACGTTATTCGCCAAATCCTAAAGTAAAAAGTCAAATGTATATATTGGCATACATATAACTTCATTACAATTTTCGAAAATGAAAGGACATATATGCCTGTGCAATGAATGATGAATATTGGTCTGTACTCCTTATGTATTGGTCATTACTCTATCCCCCAGCGCGTGTCCAATTCTATCGTTTATATCATGCTCTGCGGCACATGAATTCATTTTTCTAAAACTCCTGGTTAAGGATTGAACTGATGAACGGGTAAGGTCAATTGAGACAGAAAAATGAAAAACGTGAAAAAAGCAAACCTGAAACACGTTGTCAAACAATGACTCATCACCAGCTCTGCCCTTACCACGTAACCATGGCGTCCCAACTTTACCCTGCGTTGGTATGAGCTCATACGTCACAAGGAAAACAAACTGCTTCTTATCAAACCCAACTTCTGCTGATGTCCTCAATACATCCAACATTTGATCCTCATCCAACAGCAAAATAACGACTGAAATATATAGTCGTAAAAACGTTTTTCAATTTATTTTTTTAATTAATAATGTCATTTTATATTTTAAGGCACTTAATAACAAAATTCGGTTCGAAATAGTAAAAAGTCTATCTTGTAATCCTCTAGTAAAGCTGTCATTTTGACACTGGTTTTTCAGGGCTGGATCATTTAGTAGATACTAGAAGTCTCATGAAGAGAAAATGGTCTAATTTTCCACATACTAACATACATTACTCGTGCAATAATGCTTTAGCTAGTTGGACAAAAAATGATTTAACATACTTCTTCCCCTTTTTCTGAATTTTTCCAAGATCAGTTTAATCTGAGTGGTGCTATAATCATCATTAGGCAGTTGTTCTTCGTCAAATGAAAAGTTATTTTTAGCCTGCATTTCACCCAATGTATCTTTCACCACATCTCGGGCAAATGTCTGGAATCGATACTTTTGATCCTCACCTGAAACATAAATTATGAATTTTCAATATGTAAATTGAAAATGATGGTGCACATGCTCTCTACTAAATAGGGTATTTTTCAGTGTTTAAAAAGATAAAAAGACATTTTGAATATTAGGTGGACTAGACGAAGTTTCTAATGTTGCTCTATGGTTTTAGTTGATTTTGTTTTTTCGTTATATCTAAAATAGACGTAAATATTCTTAGTTGTTCACATGGAAAATGAAATAGTTGACTTCATATCAGGGCACTCAATTCCCCACTCTTTAATTAATTAAAATATCATGTTTACTTACTCCGATCAGTTTCGATACCGATGCTCTTATCAATATACGTTGTGTAAAGTAACTGAACGTTTGTCCATGCATAACGATTAAGTATCAAACGGTAAGCCTCGCCTAGTCGAGTATATGAAGGCATCACACGCACAAGGGTCGGGTTCTTGGACAAGTCGGGTCGACTTGCTGCGTGTGAAAACACAGGGAAATTCCAGTATGCGGCTAGACTCGTTATTCCGTCCGTAACTATTTAAAATGTAAAACATATAATATTAATGGAGAAAGCCCTTCGTTTTTGTATACTTTCGTCTCGATCTACTGACCTCAGTTTAACCTACTTTACATACATGAACTGGGCTTTAAACCACATCCATATCCTGGTCTTGAATACGTTGAGGAATCATAATAGTTACTAGTATGTGGTATAGCAGTTATATGGGCGTCCCCAGGGGACGCCCCTGAGCTGCATGTTTGAATTTTACTTTCTCAAGAATAGCTAAGTTAAGCTTGTTGATATGCAAAGTCCACCGTGTGCAAATGGTAAGACAAACTTACCGGAAGAGCAGGCGGGACCTATAAATGCATCAACCTTTTCAACATTTCTCAAATAAACGGCTCGACCAAGGGCAACCTTAGAATTGCACTCTGTATCGACATACTTGATCCTGAAATATAAAACGCTCTTATTTTTTTTATTTTGATAACGTGGCATTTTCACACATTTTAGGCACGATACCTTTGTGGGTTGAACCAAGAAAGACTTATCCCAGGAGTCCACCCCCCGGCTACGAACCTGAAAGAACTGAGTCAAACAAAGGTCTCTCTGTCGTTTTTTTGGCTTGCCTTCTCATGTTTAGATGATGGTATGATATCATGATTAATCATAATTAGAAGCCATCGTGCCTATTACTAATTTTCACAAAGCGTTTGTTAGCGAGAACCCATGTGTCTGATTATATTTTGCAATCGAACCCTATAAGTGCTATTAATTGACTGAATCCATATGAAAGCAAATAAGCAAGATTTCAAAACACAAAATATAGATAAAAATAGACAAAAAAAGATAAAGCAAATGAGTGATTTAAGTGCATTCATCAGCAAATACTGATATCCTCATATTCATTAAAGCAAAATATATCCGTTTAGATCTTCTAGATGTTTACAAAATATGTGAAAATGCAGTTTGAAAGGAATTGAAAGACAAAATTTCCTTTAATTTAATCACTCCGGTGAGGTTACGATTTCTGATAGAAAATTCGACAAATCTGCTAGATTTTTTTTCAAAATAAAGTATACGGAAAAAGTTGTGCAATCTTAAATAGATCTCACATATTAGACGCACATCAGTTCAAAAAAGACCCAACAGATTTCACCATACCGCTATCATTTAGCAATTAACAAGTGAAGTTTCTCATGAATAAATAAATCTTGCAGTGTTGTTGACTTCTTAGCGGAAATCGTAACCTACACTGTCCACGCATTAAATAAGATATTTGCAATGCACAAGAAATGAAAAAGTCTACCAGCGAATTTCACTTTTTTAGTAAAATATTACTTTTTATTATAAGATGACAATATGCTTTCCTTTTCTAAATGATTAGCATATTCATATGAACGTGAAAATATACATAATGACAATACTATTGATGATTCAGTGAATTACATTAGATCGAAGTTCATAAAGTAATTGCGACCGCTTCGTCGTATATGTATAAGAATAAAAACAAAATATAAAAATGCATGTTACGTGATGTTGTAGTCTGACACTTTTGTCAGATTAAGCTTATCGGACATTTTTTTATCCATTGCATCATCGACCGCCCATTGTACGGCTGCGTAGTTAGTCGCCCATGCTGCGAAATCGTATTTGGTGTCATTTGGTAGAAGTACTCCTAGAGTGATATACGGACTAGACTTGTTCTTTTTGGCATCACCTACTCTTAAAGGATCGTGGTTTTCGTCAGTTTGCAAACTAACTTGTTTAAAAGTAAATGAAAGAATAACGCAAAACCAGAAATTTGTCATTCTCGAATCTATATTAAAAATGAATTATTTCCTGTTAATCCAATTCGCGAATAATTAAGCGACCATATCTAAACTGACATCGCATACACTAGTAGTGTGCCTATAATTTTTTTATCTCTGGTTCTTGGATACCTAGAGTGGTTGTTAATATATTGGCATAGTCTCATTATATTATCATAATTTGCTATAGTTATCCGAAATACTGTATATACCAGTTCCAAGTATTCAGCGTGGTCTGTTATCTAATTTGGCATTTGATTGAAACAAATGACAGTTTTAGTCCAAAAATAAGTATTTACAAGATCAAGGGTATAAGACAAAATGTTAAAGGATGCATTCGAAAAAATAGAAGCAATGCATGAGTAGGTTTACAGTAGTTATAGTTTTACAGTAGTTATAGTCGTGGTATCATCCAATCACCTCTGGATCAAGTTCAGTGGCATCATGATGATGCTACTCACCTTTATGGAAATGATGTTATATGATGCAATTATCGGAAAAACAATCCATCTGGAAAAATGATATAGTCATAGTTTCATGTAAAGCAACACATACGAGTATGGTAACAATGGTAATGCATGGGGATTTGGGGACTTTTGAAATCAATAAACTGAAAAAATTAATTCAACATACTGTACTAAAAACAAAAATTGTCCCACGTAGGTGGGTAGGTGGGTATGAGGTAGGAGGTTTTTTGTACAAAGCCAGTAGAAATAATCTTGATTAACAAAATTCAAAGTAATGTCATACTTCGTTCTTATATCCAATTAATATATTTTACGCACTGCTGATAAACAAAAATACTATGCATATTTTTAGTATAAGGTACATGTATCTGCACCATCATTCTAGATTATATAGTAGCCCGGACAGAATTGTTCAATGGTCACTTTTTCTTTAATAACTTTTTTAATTTTCAGTATTATCACAGTCTGATCACATATTTGAAAACTAGAGTAAAATTCTGACATACAAAAAAAATATTTAAGGAACATCTCTTAATTTATTGATATTATAGGCGTTCATAATATGACTGACGCAAATACATAATTCATCATTTTGCCTCATATTTGTTCAAAATGGCGGCATATTTTGTGAATTTGAATGTTCAGTTGAAAGTTAATATTTAAAGATTGTCATAGGACTATAGGGCCATGCTGCCAACGTTACAATCCTGATGTAATGCAGCAGCAACTGACCATTCATCAAATACAAGAAATCAAATCCCTCCAAGGGTATATGAAATCAACTCTATTGAAATGTTCGGGGTTGTGTTCAAAAGGATGTGAAAAGGTGGCGCCCCAATGTGCGGAATGTGATGAGAGTAGGTCCTTAATCTTTTCAAGATCTCCAAACAGCCATCTCAGAGGCCATTGAAAAGCTGAAGAACAATTCACATGCATGCCAAGGATGGGTTAAGAGGCATGTGACTGGGAATGATATTACAAAAAGTGGCAGTATGACCCTAAAGTTGCACAGGTTCAACGAACTAGGGTTGCTAATCCACTACGAGTAACAATGGAATGGCCAAAAAACTTCTAAGTGCTACGACCTTACCAATATTCTGTACATACAATGTGCAACCTTTTTAAGTGCTGGTATACATACAAGTCAATTTAAAACAAAAGGTTATAATGCAGTCATTACCTCATACCAAGGCAGCAGTCTACATGATTTCGTAGGCCTATGACATTTCTTAAATATTAACTTTAATTTCAACTGAACATTCAAACCTCAAAACATGCCGCCGTTTTTGAACAAATATGAGACAAAATGGTGAATTATGTATTTGTGTCACTCATACTATGAACGCAGATAATATCAATAAATTTAGAGATGTTCCTTAAATATTTATTTTGTATGTCAGAATTTTACTCTAGTTTTCAAATATGTAATCAGATTTTGATAATACTGAAAATTAAAAAAGTTATTAAAGAAAAAGTGACCATTGAACAATTCTGTCCGGGCTACTATTATAATTTATGTTTCAGGTGGTGATCAAAAGTATAGATTCCAGACATTTGCGCGAGATGTGGTGAGACACATTGGGTGAAATGCAGGCTAGAAACTTTTCATTTGACGAAGAACAACCGCCTAATGTCTCCTATCTTCTGCAGCAGCAAAAAGAAGGTTACGTGATGATTATCTCCCGTGTAATAAGCCAACGTGCACGTGATGATCATCGCATCTCTTTCCACATCAGTCAGTTGTAAGAAAGGATACGCCATTAATGTGCATGTGTGACGATGATCAGAATGCCTAAAAGCCTAGTTAGTAATATTTCTACAGATGTCATTTTACTAATCAAAGCTTTAGAGGTAACATCGCATTAGCCCAATATGTATCCTTTAGTACCCGGATATCGATGAGGTACTGTCAATTAACTTCCGTTTGAAATATGATTTACATACATGTATATCCGCACTTCCCCATATGTGGCACTACATGCATTTAATACAAATGCTTCTCCTTGATCTGTCGTGAAAGTACAGTCAAAACTTCCACTTAGTGGCAGAGCTCTCTATAGCCCCTATACTATGAGCCTGATAATTATACAAATGAAAATATGTCCAGTAAAGGAAAATATCATCTGTCAAACACAAGAAAATATATTTTATTTTTTGTGATTTTGTAACATGGGGTCTATGGGGAATCTACCCAACCTAGAAATAACAAATACCAAAGCCCTAGTCTCGAAGTTAATTCAAAGGGTCAACATCCATTTGCAAAGCCTTCGCCATAATTCATGAAACACAACAATTCGCAATGGTCATCAGGAGACAACTACTTGTATGGCTGGTTTCGATCCCTAATTCTCAACCATTAATCCCGGGCCATTAATGCCATTGCCGGGATCCACCTTAAAGGTGCCAAGTGAAAACATTGTGAGTTCAATCTAATATCCTAACCAAACCCAACAGCATTTAACATCTCCTGTGGTAGAACTTGAAACTTAAATTGAAATTAAAGATTGACTAATATTTTTTAGCAAATCCCAGAAAGGATTTTTTACGCTTTTTACAAGTATAACCTTGATCTAACAGTTTGATCACTAAAATATATGGTGTCTCGATTTAACATCTATATACTTTGAAGAGACTCTAAAATCTGATAAGCTGGAATTCATTAACCACATATAATATGCTGGGTTTAGTGGAATATTACTATCCAACTGTGGAAAATTAACAATGTCAAAATTAATGCGATCTCTTTTGTCATATTACTTACAATATTAAACTATTGTCTAGTTCAATGAAGATCGTGATAAGATGCGCTAAGAAAAGTTGATCAATACTTTTTAAAGGCCCCGTGTAAAGTTTGAAAAAAGCTATTTTGGGAATTTTGAGACGGAATTAATTCGGACGTTGTAATGGTCCTTGCATGTAAGCCCCATAGAAATCACGTGGAAATATGACAGGAACTTTCAAAAAATTTATTCAGCTTTTTGTTTCTGAAATATTCAAAGACGGTTTTAAACTGTGTGCGAACTGAATGAACGCAGCTACAACGTTCTACGGTCTGTTTACGAACTTCATGGACTTTCCCGGACGGGGAATGTGATTTAGAATTTTGAATCGATTCAAAATTCGATGGCGACCATACCGTTCTGTAATCAGGTCATGATGACCTTCTAGACTAAGGGACGCGTTATACGACGTTGCACACCGACTTGGTGCGACCTGAACGCACTGCGAATGAGATGGACGTATTGAAGACTGTTTATGAACGAAGTAGCTAATTATTTTAGACATATTTCCCGATCACAGCCAGATTGAGCCCGTTTTACGACGTTTTCGTAGGACTGGCAAGAACTGGTAAGAACTAGTTTGGTGTGATAGGGGGGGGGGGGGGGGGTACAAAACACATTATATTTTTAACACCATTGCAAAGTTTAAGTAAAAAACACACCGTTTAAGTAATTAAATGCCGTATGTCTAATGTACCAATCTAATGTACGTTTTAATGAATATCAAACATATTTTGCGACCTTAGTGATCCCATACATCGTGATTTCACTCAGGCGTCACTCAGATTTTTTTCTGAAAAATAGAACTAGGAAGAGAATATATTATTTTTTAAATATTATTGTACCATTGTTTCTATGGGAACTAATAAATTTTGAAAATTTTCTCTACACCACTTTCATGCATGGAGTAGATCATTTCTCGCTTATTTATCAATCAATTTTCTTAATTTCTCTTTCCAAAACACGTGAGGATGAATGCTTTGCATTGGTTATTTGTGTATCACGCGTGAAATAGGATAATTCATTAGACGATAATGTCTTAGATCTCAATCCGTAAATAATCGAATGAAGTTTGTGTTTAACGTAATCTGACTGTTGTTTCTTATGTAAGCTTTTATGTATGTCGTATTAAAGAAAACACGTTGGTAAGCTAAACACTCCACTCTATAAGCATCGCAACCAGAATTTTGAGGCTGAGGCCTGTTAATACCTGGTGTGTCAAAATTATCACATTTGTCGCTTTTCTGAGTGCTTTTGTTGACAAATACATTCCCCAGTTCTTGATCTTGTTGTTTATTTAATTCTTTTTATACAATATGAGTTTATTTTGAATAAATGAAGTGATTCGTACACACAAAATTACCAATGCAAGACAAAATGACTCAATGAAACCTCGAAGTGTCTATCAGAATGAATCCGAAAATGCACTTATCAATCAAAGTGTCTTGTAGAGATTAACAAAACATCTACATATCTATGTAATCTGATTCTATAACTAGGCTCATTCGGAGGTTTGTTTATTTTTTATTTTTTATTTTTTTTTTATTTATTTATTAAAATCATATTAACATATCTACATAATAATGATAAAGACACCCCAGGCGGTGAATGGCTAGAACATTGAATTGCTAAGCATTGTATTGTATTGGTTTCATGATCAGGAATTATTCATCGTATAACGGTTTAATTTTTAATTGAATCTGTAAGTAGCATGATTAAGTATCTAAGGTAACGATAAGACGTAGAGATTAGGTTTCATAAAAAATATTGTTTTATTTATTCATCATTTATCATTCAAGACACAAAAACCAAATACATAGTCTGCTTAAAAGACCCTGTACTTCCCCCCTTATCCTTCCCTCTGTATATTGCCAGGTAAAGAGAGTGAAGGTGACGGGGGGGGGGGGTGGTGGATACAGTCTTTGAGCAAGACTACCAAATACACTTCCATAAAGAATATGGTGGCATCCGAGTTGGATGTTTGATGGTATTCATTTATCTATCGTTATTATCCACCACTCGATCGTTAATTACTTGTGTTATATTTCAAACATCAGTTGATTTAATTAATATGATTAATATTCACTGTTGTTTCTCGTGATACAATTTCCCATTGGTTTACATGGGAATGACGATTTATTATAAATTTTCGACCTATTATAATTGAGGAAAAAAATTTAAAAAATTTGGGGGTATCGGAAATAAAGTCAAGTTACGTTTCCATCAATATTATAAGTTATTCTATTGCAGGTTAAATAAATAAAATTCAAACGTAAAGAGGCTTTAACACGTAGTTCAATGGGGGAGCTAAGGTTGCCACACTTATGGAGAGGAGTGTAAACATCATATGATATATGTAAACTCGTGGCATGTATTATATATCATTTTAAAGATAAATCACTTTCCAACAGTATGAGACCATTCGATTGAAAAACTGTTGCTTTATTGAAGAGTTAGAGGCTAAAAATGACACCAGGGATGTCATAAGTGACAAGAAACAAGAAACATGATTTTAAAATATTTTATTACTGCACTCAGGCCTCAGACACATTAATTACATTCTGTATTCGTATGTATATGTATTTCATAGAAAGTCTACATATCAGTCTACGTATACAATCATGAATTGTTGTACGTTTTAAAATTAATATTAATCTTCGACTTCAAAGGTGTTGGTTGGAGCAACTGTAATCTTGTCAATCAAGATGAGCAGTATAATCGTCTTTTTAAATTTTAGGAATTTCGAAGACAACTTCTCAGAGCTGATCATGAGGTCTACAATAAGTCAGTAATCTATTCCAGAAAGTATAATCACTCAACAGTAAAATTTCGTTATAAGGAGAGAATTGTTACTAAAGATCTAGAACAACAGTACTTTACACTATGTACATAGTTTTTGCTTGGTCCTCAACATGAAGCATTGGACTATTTCTTTCCGTAGTCAGGAATCGTATCTCAGTTGAAATTTATCATCACATTGTTGATCTCCTTGCGTGTGTAGCTGCAACATGGATAATAACATGAGTTTTATGAGGTGACCATGTGTTAAGGTACATCTAGTAAATCTGTATGATGAGAAAGGGTTGACATATTTCACAGGTTTATCTGTTTGATGATATTTAATCAATATAGTATAGTAGAACTATTAACTATTTCGATTACATGGAATTGTAATCACATTTCCCCAATTTTTCCAAGTTTTGGTGAAAGCCCAAAATCTTCTTTAATTGAAGTCTTTTTAAGGTCTGACTTTCATGATTCATTATGTAAAAGGCAATCCACGGTTGTACGAACTGGGGGTGCTGTTGGACACCTTCAGTTGCTACATTTTTATTATATTCATGAGGCCATTAGAGATAGATGATAATGTTATTAACCTACGTTTCCTCTTCATCTATGCATACTGGGAGAGGTCGGTGAAAGTATCTATGTCCTTCGAGCCAGTAAGTTACAACCGTTCCCTTACCCTGCAAGAGAAACAGAAATTACTTTGCCACTTTTGTGCAATATGAACGGTTGTATACAAGTTGTCATAAATGTAGACCGACGAGAATGAAAAACGCAAGAAAATGGAACATCAAAAATGACAATGAGATACAAGTGAGAAAAATGTGGATTATGATATTATATAAATAAAGAATATCAAATGTTTGGCAGAAAAACCCAAACCATCTTCCTTAAGGTGATAGTCGATGAGTAGTCTACATGAATGGTTTCAACATGTTCGAAAGTGATATTCGACGGTAGAACTTCTCATTTAACCTTTTATTTACTTTGTAGCTTTCAGGACCAATAAGTCACTTTCTTAGCGAAATCAACTTCTTAAAACTAACTTCCCATGAATATCATTCAATATTCTCAACCATTCGCTACGCCCTCTCTTCACCCTATGCAGACAGAGCCTGTGGGAAATATTGGGTGCGGAGCAAATGAGCGGAGGGTGCGGAGCTAACGGTCTTTTTTGAATTTAAATTTGGGATGTTTCTGAAACTAAGCCGTTTTGGGACTTCAAATATACCAAGATATGTGTATTTAACACCAAATATCAATACAATTGTGAAAATAGTAGCGCAATTCATTCTATAGAGCAACGCAGTGTGCCTTAAACCTTTCCCAGACCTATATATTTTGAAATTATCCTTTTAATACGGAGTCCCCAGCATTCATAAAAAATGGTGTTCAAGGTACACTATCTATACAAATTATTTTTGCATCTTGGAAGCCAGGCAGTATCTGTGTGATTTTATAAAAATTCGAAATGTTTTTCAGATATGAGCCCCCTCTAAATATTGGGTGCGGAGGAGCTCCATAAACGTACCTCCGCACCCAATATTTAGAGGGGGCTCATATCTGAAGAACATTTCCGAATTTCTATAAAATCACACAGATACTGCCTGGCTTCCAAGATGCAAAAATAATTTGCATGGGTAGTGTATCTTGAACAGCATTCATAAAAAATGGTCTACTTTACTGGCCCCCCTTGCTGTAACAAGGAACCCAAAACACATTAAAACGTAAACATAAACCAATATTAGTCACTTCACTATGAAAGTGAGGGGTGTACGCTGTGTGCATGGACTAACACAATATCAGTGGTCATTTACTGTGTCAACTTAGTAACCCTTGCATATCGTGCTCACTCAAGTATTGAATAATTTTTTTATGATCTAAATGTTTGTGGTTTATAAAAAAGTGATATGTTTTAGTTAGAAATACATTAATTAATATATTCATTCAAACAGCACTAGAATGCGGGAAGAAAGAGCAATGGTGACAAAATGCAGACAGAATTTTCCGTAAGGGTTTCAAACATTTCTAAACACAACCATACATGTACTTCATGTGTACTGTTATTTTTAGTGCTATATTTATAGATATAATTTCACGTATTAAAATCATATTTCCAGCAATGACTTCAAATTCGGAACCACACCCATATTACATTTTCTTCAATAACTCCAAACATGTGTAAACATTGACCATGTGCATATAAATTCAGATTTCACGAGCTCTTTCCTATTCGAGTACCTCATACAACCCTGCAAGGATTTGAGTTGGATTCGCCTTTTATACGTGAACCGACACACTCGCAAACGCCGATTGGATAAAGATTGCTCCGCACCCTCCGCTCATTTGCGCCGCACCCAATATTTCCCACAGGCTCTGTCTGCATAGGGTGCTCTTGATTACATTAATATCTAGTCATGGATATAAAGTAACACTTTTCAAAGCCATATAGATTCATTAACTATTTCTCAGTGAAGCCCAGCGAGTGTTCAAATATAAATATTTTAAGTATGTCCTACTGTACGTTACATTTTAATAAGCTGAGAAATAAAGGCCTTATAATGCGGGGTATGAAGGACATTTTAAATGATAGATACCTTTACTTCAATAGCACCTCTCTCAGATGTTTTATATCCCATGTGCATCTTTAGCGCCTTGTGAGCACTTAAACTCAGCTGTATTTTGCTTGCTACAGAGAGAAAAGAAACTATTACAGAGCGCAATAAAACATATGTTGATAACCAAATTAAAAAATAAAACAAAGTGAGAACTTCAGTGTATAATCATGAATACCTAAGCGCAAGTGCCAATGGAACCTGGCAAGAACAATCAAACTAAGTTTATACCAGTCATAAGAAAAAAATATATCCCAAAATCTAACGTGAAAAGAAACAATGTCTAATACTCCCTTTCCCCCATATGTATCATCAAGAACTAATTTCAAAATCCATGACAGAACACCAAGGGAAATTTCATTCAAACTGAAGTCAGTACAAGATGTATTCTGGTGTATTCTGATCAAAAGTTATTATATAAGAGATATAGTTATTACATAAGAGATATTTTTGTGATGTTATTTGAAATATAGGTCATATATATTACGCAATCCTGTAGATTCCATCATGGATGCCATGTTCACTGTATCTCCAAACAGACAATATCTGGGCATTGTATGACCAACAACACCTGCAATAACACGTTAACAACATTAATATTGTAAAACAATTGAGAGAGCAGACAAGAGTCGAGCAGACAACATAAGTAGTTTCAAATCTGAACCTATCATACCAACTACCTCATTACATTTTCCAAGATCCGAAGAAATCAGTCTCCAGAGGACTCTCTTTATTGCCTTTGTAACAAAATAAGATAATTCCGAGATCAAGTATAACAAAATGTAAGACTCATCAAGGAATTCGAAACTCTTCCTTTATGGCAGCTCGAAACTTAGCCTTGATACGAACTTCACTTCACTAGAAACTCATGGAAACGAGTGCCACAATTATGTAAAAAATGTCACTCTACTAATCCTTACCCCTAGAAATGCATAAGATACTCTGTCTAATTGTATTGTTTAGTATATTTTTGCAAGTAGCTTATGTTACATTTAACAGTCTTGCGTTAAACCATTCATAAGGAACAGACAAATAAAAACAAATAACATTATCATTACTATTAAGCCAAATGGGTTGCTTATGAACACTAAATTTAAGGTATAGTAGAGTGATGTGAAGTGAGGGTGTTTTAAACAAACCTGCAGCACAAGGCCCCGTGTTTATGCCTATCCTAGCCTTTAGTTCTTTACCAGGAACATGGGAAATCTTGAATTTTAGGATAGAGCTTAAGAGATGTAGAGACATGTTAGCAATCTCAACAATGTGGCGGTCACCATTCCTTACTGGAATCCCACTTACCACCATATATGCATCTCCAATAGTTTCAACCTAAATATTGAAACAAATATGTAGTATATTTATGACTATAAGGATTAACTTCTTTTGCACAAAAGGATTCAATTGTACTCAGCCCCAGGCTGTCTAATTGTGTATGTGACATCAGTTGTAATATAGAGCGTTCGATATAAATTTTCAGCCAAACTTATACTGCAACTTCAACTTAAATGACTTTAACACCACTGGGGAGGAAGGTTTCTCAAAGAAACCAGGAAAGTACATTTTATTTTTTATAATTGAAGGAATTGATTTGTGAATATCCCAGCAATGGCAGAATTAATTTTTAAACTGTTATCATATTTTGGAACCGGAACACACGAACTACAAACTTGCCAAATGTTTTGTTGTGGCACCCTATCTTCGTTTTTCGTTTCCAGAGTTCCTCCCCGTGGTGCTAAACCTGACTTGTACATGAACAGGTTTGCGTATACGTTAAAATCGAAAGCTCTCTATTAAGAAAAAAATACTCTAAAATAGTAATAAAATTACGTAAGAATAAACATATATACTTTACCTTATAAACATCAAACATTTCTATAATTTCATCAAACATTGTGTAAAGATCGTTGAGGAATTTCACAATCTGAAACGGTGTACTTTTGGATGATAGAGTTGTGAATCCAACTATGTCACTGAAGAACACTGTACAGCTGTCCACCATTTCAGGGGCTACCGTCTTCCCCTGTTTCAATACATCTGCAACCACCCTACGTGGCACAAACAAACATTTGTATATATTTAGTTGTTTTATGGTCATTGCGTTTTATTGTTTTAAAGGTAATTACATATTTTGGCGATAGACATTTAGACACTGTACCCTTGGCTAAAGTTACAAGAATATATAAGCACAAATGCCAAAAGGGAAGGGTGGCTAAAAACTTTAAGGAAACCCAACAAGAAAAGCAAACTGTAAGTGTAAATCTGTCAAAAGAAAAGTAGACCCTATATATCCCAAAACCATGATCTAACGAGAAAAGAAACAATGTCTAACATCTAACAAGAAATGGATTGTTCAATGGTTTTCTATTATTGCCCATTGTGCTTTTTCCTGAGCATATACAGGATAAAATTGCGTTAATTATTAAAATAGAATACTGACGCAGGTAGCATTCTGTATAAAAGTTTATCTGTCTTTTTCTTTTCCTCAATAAGTTGTGATGTTCTTTGTTCAACGATTTCCTCGAGATTGTTCGCATACGCTTCCATCTTCACCAACATTCTGTCAACGATGTTTACTCGCCTTTGGGAAACAAAATTTCAAGATGTTTTAGCAATAACTATGGTTCATTGAGGGCATAATTTCGCACACACATATCATTATCTCACTACCATATTTCCCATTCTAAAACGCGCATAACATGACATAAAACTATTAACTGATCAAATTCAGAGTCGTCCATTCTTGATAGTCTTTCGCAACTCTTCGTAAAAATGAAATAAAGATTGTTGAATATGAGTTAGACATAGTAATCTGACATATATACTAACTTTCCCTTATTCATTCTCATGACTTGTTTCTTTATTTCATTCACTGTAGGTCTAAAGTCTGGGTTTTCCTGCCAAGAATCGTACATAAGGTCCTTGATAATGTCATTCAACCCGGAGTCCTGTGGCACAGTGGGACGGAATGGTGGATTCTCTGCCCGGGCAACCCTTTTCACGATTTCTGATAAAATTAGAACGATCAAATAAAAATCTATAAATAAATAAGCACAAATGCCAAAGGGAAAGGACCAAAAACTATATAGAACCATAGCCACGCCTGACCATCGACAAGGTACAGTCACGTGACAGTGACAAAATATGCCGTAGTACACTTTTGATGTACTATGTCATTTCTGCCATTTTAGATCGCCATTTTCTAGAATGAGGAATCGAGGCAAGAACTAGCATTGATTTGATCAATATTGTGTCAGTTCATCATCAGGTAGTTGTTGCATTCGATTTGTAATTAAGTTGCAAATGTGCATATCTACTTCAAATGATCTTCAGCAACTTCAATATCTTGTTATAGATCTACCCAGTACGTCAGGGATCTCTAAATCCTGACTGAATTTCGCAAAATTCTCTCTAATTTTTGTTTTGCTATATGCAAATAACAGCCAAACTACGACTAACACAACTTAAGATAAGTATACAAATATACATCCAGAGTTAATGCAAAACCGCTTTTTACTTTGGATGCTACTACGAAAAATAGATAATGTATGTTGTCAACTCGAATGTATGTTGTCATATTGGCCTTACAGATCTCAATTCACAGTTAATTTTACAGTGAATGAAATGCTATAATGTACGTGTAATAGAAAGAACATATTTGATAATAAATAATTCTTATGCCTTAAAAGGGTTTTATGAGGATAACAAAACGCCATATCCCTATTTGAAGCCTGTTTAAGGTCATATATGGAAAGTATTGCTGCTGTTTACATGGCGGCTAAGGAGACACACCGACTATTGTTTTGGTGTAAAACTGACTTTAATTTTGGCCAAACACTAACTTTTGAAATTCCTGTAACTTTTTTCCACTTGTGAGTTGAACCATGATACTCGGCAAATTAATGTAACTTTGGATGAGCTTTAAAATGATATATGACACATACTATGGAGACATTGGTATATGTCTGCCTAGGGAGCCCATACTTTCGGGACACCCTGTAGCATAAATTTTGAAAGTCATCTTGGAATAGCTAGTATAGATCTCTCCATGCAACTAAACATAACGTAACGTCAGTACCGACGCCGAGTGGTCAAAGAGGTCGGAAAATAACACGCCATGGTCACATATTAATCACCATATTAACACTTTCATAAAATAAAATAGCATTCAACGAAAAAATCACTTTTACCTGTTTATCTGTACTAGGGATACAGAAGCATGTTCGTTGAATTTCAATTACAGGGACAACATACACTGTGAGTAGACAACGTACATTTCTGATTTTTTAAATCATACCAAATGCATGCATATTTATTAAATCGTCACCCGTCTTAAACTGTGTAGTTTAGAGAAACACATTCTCATAAATATATCCGACACTCTGAGACGTCAGTGGAGAAAATTATCAAAGGAAATGTGTAAAAAACAACATTTTTCCAACTGAACAATTGTATGGGTAGACTTACAACGAAAAAAATCGAGCACTGCTCGAAGATCTTTTAACGTGATTAGAAAAATAAATGTCTTTGAAATCGAATACACGCGAAATCAAACATGAAATGCTTTATGTATTCCTCAAATTTATTTTTGAAAACCTGCATCAAACCTACATCATAGTCTTTGCTTAAAATCAGTTAATAGTGACATAGTACATCAAAAGTGTACTACGGTATATTTTGTCACTGTCACGTGACTGTACCTTGTCGATGGTAAGGCGTGATAGCAATAAATTGCAAACTCTAAGTGTAAACCTGTCATAATGAAAATAGACCCTTTATATCCCAAAAACATGATCTAACGTGAACGGAAATAATGTCTAACATCACCCTTGGGCGTTCCCCTCCAATCGAGAATCAATACCACGATCCAGAACCAGAACAACAACATCTCATTCATACTGATGTCATTACAATACTTGTTAAAAAATGGAAAATTTTATAGCCAATACTCATAACATCAAAAACAGTTGTAGATACTAGTATTCATAAAAGATGGAGCACTCAGCCTCAAATGAAGTGGGATAGACGACATCCAGTCATGAAGTCTATAGGCAATTCAAAGGGTCAACATTCATTCGCAAAGCCATCGCCGTAATCCATAAAAAACTATAATTCACAATAGTCACCCGGGGAAAACTATGACTTGTTTAGATCCTTATTTCTCAATGATTAGTGTCACAGCCGGCATCCACCTCAAAAGGTGTACAACGGTCATCAGGAGAATACAACTATTACTGGTTTCGATCCCCATTTCTCAACCATTAATGCTCAAGCCGGGATCCACCGCAAAAAAGGTCATGGTAAAAACTAACGATCTATTGGATGATCATGATATACAATGTTTCTCCGTATTTCCCTCGCTGGGTGCATTCAATTCTCAATCTACATCGTTAAATGTTTATGAATACGATATACATTATAATTGGAGCTCATAATTAACAGATACAATTTTTGAATTTTTTGAATTATATGTATAAATATGTATATGTGTTGACCACTTTTTATAATAGTATTTAACAATAATGTTTATTACCCTTGGGTGGGAAATCCCATTGCGTATAGGGGGACTCGCATAACATCATTTCATACAATATAATTGCAAAGCTGTAAACGTCTCCTTTTTGGGTTCCACTTGGCGGGGAATGGTCATTCTTAACAATTCTGGAGCTGTCCATAACCTGGCTGAAATACATTTTAAATACTGCTTTACGTAATCTAGATAATCATTAGATGTGTTTTTATCTTTAAAGATTAACTTTCGATGAAGTTTGATGTCTTCTAACATTCATCTGTTGCGTTACCATAGTAATCGGCGTCTTCCCCGGCATCAATTCTTGCCTGAAGATGTACTCTACTAAGACCATAGTCCCCAATCTTCAACTGCCAACGACCGTCTACCAAACAATTGCTGCTCTTAAGGCTGCCATGTGACCCCAGTGGTGAGCTATGTAGGTACTTCATGCCCTTTTACAAAACATAAATGATGACAAGAAAACACAGCGTGATCCGAATTACAGAATATCAAAACCATTAACTATTACTTAAAAATATAAAACAATAGTAAATCATTGAATATACATCGTACATACCTCTACCAGGTCACACAACATCGAATGCTTGAACATGAAGTCTAATTTGATGTCAGCATTGTTTATTATATCCTAAAAAACAACACAAGTGAGGACAATACTAAGGTTGCAATTGTACATTTATTTATTCAGTATTTAGAGGTAACCAAAATGTTCAAAAGGGCCTTATAATTAGTTAAACTTTAATGTTCTGTTTAAGAATCCCTATTCATTATATTTAGAATGGATTCTAGCAATGATCTCTCACATGAATCTACGTGTTGAGACTCAATAAACTTGAGTTCTCATGAGATAATCTATCCCCATGATGACATCAAATACATGATGATATGCAGCTTTTTAAAGTTAATTGCGTCCCCGTGTTAAATCAATTCATCTTTGCTGAAATTCTCATTTTCTCAGAAGAACTCAAGTTTATCAAGTCTCAACAAATAGATTCATTCAGGAGAGTATTGGTTGAATCCATTTTCAATTGTGAGAAGAGGGGCTCTTAAACAGGACAGTTGGCTGGCTTTTTAAAACATTTTGTTGGCTCTAGTTCTACGACTGCTGGTTGTTTTATATTCATTCTTCTTTAATATATATATTGCAAAGTATTTAAATCTAGTGTTAAAAGTGTAACCTCCAAGCTGTTTTTAGGACAGTAAAGTGACACAATGGCAGCGTTCACATTGGTGACTGTCAAACCAAAGAATTTGTTGATGTTTTCATGATTCAAATCTTTCATCTGAAAAAGGAAGAAAAAATCGTTCATTTACTATTAAGCATTAATAAAGGAGTGTTTTAATGTTGCATGCTAAGGGTATTTGGTTACATATTCTAATGTTGAGTAAAGCTAAAAGGGAAATATATATATTTTCTACTCACAAATTTCATTTCCCTGTGGTCGTCTTTTGTAAGAGACATCAATACAGCAAGGTTCAGTGGCTTAAGATACACATTGTACCCCTTGTAGATGCCTAGAATAAAAACATAACCATAACATGTATCTAATTATTCAATTTTATATGCATTTATTCCACCTTGTGATATTTCTGATATTATAGAGATCATTGTGATATTTTTTTTTAGAAAACTGTTAATCAGCCTTCGTGAGCTCGTATGATAAACGAACTTGAATTTTGATTCTTTTTTTTGGGATAAACCCAATATCAGATCACTTTTCGTGATATCAGTTTATCGCCACGTAGATATAGAATATCAACTTTCTTTGATACTTTTCTAAGTCAGCAACTTCTTGAAAAAATATGCACCCTTTCTTATCAGGGATTTTCCATGATATGCGTTAGTCAGTACTAACCAATTTTGATATTTCGCTCGATGTTTGTGGCACTACTAGCTCCGTCCCCTCGCACTTCCAAGACGTTAGATGTCAGCGCATGCGCACCTTGCTCAGTATTTACATAAGAGTTGGAATTCATTGTGGTCTACAAAATAGTGGGGTAAAATGTTACCAGTTAAGAGTAGTAATGGAAGAACCAATTGACACATGTTGGCTTCATTATATCCAGCCCGATTATTTAAGTAGAACTATATTCTTACAAAAACCACAATGAGGACACAAAATGAGGAGAAGATTAAAAACAAATTAAAATATGTTGAGACGAATAATACCTTGGATCCCATATTGCTTCGACTCTTATCTTCATTTTTATTATCACCTATGTTGGCCGGTTTTATCAGGTGGTATGGTATCTTCCATATGCTCTGAAGTAGCTCTGATTCTTTCTTCCGCTTCCTTTAAACAATTTATAGGTTTATTATATTGAGTTTTTTCGTAAATTGACATCAATGGAGAAAAAATCAAACGCAGGTGAGCGAGTCATGTATGAACCTGATCCTAATTGATGAAGAATGTTATCAAAAGTTAAGGGATACAAAAGTGTGGAACAAGCCTACCTTTGAAGAAATGCGATACAGCCTACACCCGAGATTATGATAATCATTGATATAAATGATATAATAGCAGCAATTTCACCACCTGCAATCATTGTAAGATAATAGAAATTGTCTAGAATAACATGTATTTATGATGAGTCAAAAACAATCAGTTCATTTCTTCAAACAGGAGAGCCATCTTTTATGTAAATTCAAATGCTGTTACCCACAGGGCCAATAATGCTTTGGCTTAGGCCCTGTTTATGCTGTATATTGATATTGTTTAAATAAAGGAACCATAAAAACTAAAACCACCTGCAATTGTAGTATTTCTCATTTTGTGTAATGTAACAGAAAATAAGTCAGCCCTTAGAATAGGATTTGATATATATTTCAAATTATGTTATTTAAAAAGATCTACTTTCGATATAATTTAGTGTCACTTGCAGCTTGGCCATCTAATAACGGCACTGAAGGAGACAATTCGTTGTAATAGTGAATTAATGGGATTGTCCCTGCTGTTCCGTTTTGTTGAGTACATCGGGACATTGCTGTATCTATAAGAAAATAATTATCATGCTCTACGCCTGAAATGTATATCTGACCAGCATTGCATATGTCATGTTAATGATAAGTCGCACTGTACCTTGCAGCTCCCTTGGACACTTTGTATCACTGTAACCACACCTAGGTTCCGCCGGTGGAGGATCTCTCCCCGGAGTATTGAAATTTGGTTTCGATATCTGATCGAACGTCAACTGGAAACAAGTATCATTCGTTTTTTTCAGACCATGATTATAAATTCGAACATGAAGTAATTTTCCTTTTCTAAAGTTCACATTGATGTTATCTAGAGATATGGCTACGAAGGTTTCGCGGTTTTTGGCTAGATTTTCTTGTTTATCATTTTTTGGAGTTTATGTTTGTTCTTAGATAATTAAAATGTTTTACCCTTTCCTTTTCGTCATTGTACACAAATGCAAATGGTTCAAATTTGTGTCGGCCTTTGTGTAGAATCGTGAAGTTTGGGAACCTGTCTCCATTACTTGTATCGAAAGATACTTCCCCAGATCGACCTTGGGACGAAATACATATTCATGAATAAAAAACGGAATTCCAACTAACAAGAGACGAGTAGTTACAGGGTGTTCCACATGTTTCAGGAATGATGCTGTGTTTTATTGGTTTTCTTTTCAATCTAACTGAATTTTTGACACAATGTGTCTAAACATGTTTTGAATAAGTTGGGAAAGTGTCATATCGTGAAGTTCAGTAGTCTTAATTATATGGTTGCTATAGTAACCTAGGGATAGGGTAGGTGGAGCAGGTATAACAACGCCCAAGTTTATGAAATATTTGTAAAAATAGTTTTTTTGTACGAAGTGTGACTAAGTATTAGGTTGTCAGAGTTGGATCAAACTTGTCAGTAATTAAACAAAAATGAAGGTTGATTCCAAGAAAGTAAAAAAATGTCATCGCCCTTGATCACATCACAATTTAAACACCTGTCATGTCATGAGTCACAAAGGAGAATAAACACAGATCATGTAAGACGAGCGGCCATCTTGAAAAGTGAAAAAGTCATTAGCAAAGGAAAACCTTCGACTTAGGCAATACACAACAATCAGTGACAAGACATGACATGTGTGAATAACAGTTTTCTGCATCAGACACAATTAAACTCCTGACGAATGCACATGGGGATTCGATGATGGTAACCTCTAGAGTGTATGAGTGGTACAAGCGGTTCAAATCTGAAATGGAACTGAGACAGATTATCCAAAAAGTGGACATCCGAGAACAGTGAGAGCGCTAACTAATGTGGAAGGGATAGATGCTGAAATAATGATGATGGCTAATAAAGGATGTGATAACATTTTTAATTTCCAGGAATCCACCTTTATTCTTTTTAATTTCCAACAAGTTTGATGCGACTTTGACAAATTAATACTTTGAACACTTAATACAAAAACTACTATTTTTACAAAAATGTCATGTTTTGCGCGTTTTTACACCTGCTCCACCTACCCTACCCCTAGGTTACCAAAGCAACCATATTATTCAGTCTACTGAGTTTCATGATGTGAAACTTTTCCAACTTATTCACAACATATTTGGACAAATTTTGTTAAAAGATTAGCTAATTTGAAAAGAAAACCAATAAAATACAGCATCATTCCTGAAACATATGGAACACCCTGTACATGGATGAGTACTTTTCTGAAAACTTTCACAATTTTACAATATTTTTTTTGGCTTAGCACATTCTATATGAAAATTTTTCTTTTCTGAAAAATCCGTTTATTTCAAAATGATGCTCTTAATTTCTTGTAAAGGAGGACCTCCATTAGTTATCTGTAATCTGAGATTAATGTCAAACAGAAAAAAGTATACGATAGGTTTAAGTAGAGCGAAAGCATACTACTAATTTGACTTACCACTAAATTTGAAACTCCTTTTCCGAACTTCATCAATAAGCATTTGACCGCTGAACGGGTTCAAATTGTTCTTAATCACTCTGTTCACGGCAGTCAGGTAAGCAAGTACAGTGTCATATAAGAACACAGAATATATGGAACCCTGAAAACCATCAATTCTAGCTTACAGACACTTACACTTAAAGGTATGCTATTAATTGTTTAACTAGACTTAGACTGCTATGGTGCGCAGGAACGTGGCAAGGATTTACCAAGGGGGGAGGGGCGGGGGTCACTTTTTGAAAAATTCGAGGGGGGGGTTCACTTTTGACAATTTTGGTCCAAAAATGGCCAAAATCACTCAAAAAGTGCTTAGAATGGTGAAAAACTGCATGATTTTGAAAGAAATTTTGGCCGGGGGGGGGGGGGGGCGCTCGAACCCGTTGAACCCCCCTGGCTACGGGCCTGGCTGATTTCCATGAGATTTAAGTTATGGACTCATCAGGATGTGTGGCATGTTTTGTATATAAAAACATATGTGTGTGCTTACCATTCACAACATTTACAAATATAACTGGGACAGAACACTTACAGATAGCTTTATTTAAATATAATTTTCCTTCACGTCTTATTCTAGCTTCTTACTTTTACTCAAAATCAAAATTACAATTTGAATTGGCCATTATATTAAATTGATCGATACAACGTATTACTTCTCTGTCGATGTCGAAATTGTAGTATTGAGACATCCTCTTCGGCATTTGCGATCTGAATTCTTTTGCTGTTAAACCATCCTTCCATTTTATATCATCGGACATGCTTGCAGCCATTATCTGGAAAATAAGAAAAATAAACGAAGAATTTGAAACAGTGTCTAACTAGATAGATAAGGATTGCAGGTGCTTGTTGATTGAATCAATGTTTAGGACTACATTAATGACTCTATTAACAGAAACGGCCATACCGAAGGAAAACTGACCATAATTATACAGTAATAATAATAAATATCAAAATCCATTTACAAAGTGAGCTAAAAAAGTAGTCCTTTAATTTGTATTTTAGAAGAAAATATCTATCCTTTTAAAAAAATAGATGAAATTTATTAAATGAACCTCTGTTAGACATGATGTTAAGATTGCTTGAAAACACTACATTCTTTTTTTTACAAAAAACGCACATGATGTTTGTTTCACCAATTACAAACCTGAAACACATTATCAAACAATGGCTCGTCATCAGCTGTACCATTACCACGTAACCATGGCGTCACAACTTTGTCCTGCGTTGGTATGAGCTCATACGTCACAAGGAAAACAAACTGCTTCTTATCAAACCCAACTTTTGCTGATGTCCTCAACACAGCCAACATTTGATCCTCATCCAACAGTAAAATAACGACTGAAATAGATAGTAAATTGAAGTCAATATAAAATGAGATTTAAAATCTTTGTATGTTTGTTAAAACCTACTAGCTCTTCAAATAAGTTTGCAGTAATGCCTTGGTCACATAGGCTCCGATTTTCACTGCGGCGCCCGGCCGATGAGTATTTTGTTCAAAATCGGCCGGCGAACCCGGGCATCGTACGGGCGCCGGGCGATGATCGCCACTCATCGGCCGATTTTTAGACATCGTACGGGCGCCGGCAGAGTTTTATCGCGGAGATAAAAGTTGCCGATGTCTTGGCGATTTTTTCTCAACCAAACTCATCGGTACCTACCCGGCCGTGTCCCGCCCGATCATCGTACGATTATCTTACGGCGCCCGGTGGCATCGCACGGTCATCTTTGGATTTTGCGTGCTGATTTGTTGGATAAATCTTAATAATGATTACTTATAAAGTGACATAAAGGTTTTAAAAATAATGAGGTAAGGAATTATAATTACTACACACTGTCAGAGATTTTTATAAAACATAAATGGAACGATTAAGCTTACTGTATATAAAACAATGGCACACATTTGAATGGCTGGGTGGGTGGGTTGATCTAGTCGTTCTTATATTGACACTAATCGTGTATGTCTGTCATACACATTGAATAGAGTGTTACATTTTTATGCGTATATTCACTCATGCATATACCATTACAAATCATTTATTTTAAAAACCTTCGGTTTGTTTTTGTGAGTACAGTAATTTCAAGGGTCACAATTTTACTACGATTAATTACGTCTCAATTACAACGTAATATGCCAAAGGCTAAGGATAGAGGGGATAAGGCCAATGGGCCATATATGAGGAAGGCCTTGGGAAGACAGGTGGAAAAGACAATAACAATGCTACTGAGCTGGTGGATGATGAAGATTTAGATGTGTCTATAGGGAAGCGGGTACTCCACTTGAAACAGAAGAAATATGCCAATTTCTTTGAAGCCATATTTTTATGACCAAACTAATTCTCTTTACAAGAACAGACGAAAGAAAGATGGAGAAATAGGGAATTTTGCTAATAGCATCGGATGGACAGGTAGACATAGTATTTTTTATATGAAAGATCTAAAAATGAATTAAGATCAGGGTTCACTTTGATGAAAAGACTACGTCCAGAATGGCAAGTGATTTTAGACGGTCATATCTTTCACCATGAGTACCTTCTGGGCACAAATAGAGTGTTTTTATTAAAACAATATGTTTTCTTTCAATTGAAGTACCCATGATGATAAAAATATCAACCAAACAATTCGAAAAATGATGAATAGGGACCCCAAGTCAACATTTTTTCTAAATATTGAACCTATTTACTCAAAAGAGGATCTTTTTCTGATTTTTATTGCATGAAAACATTATTATCCTGGAAGTCCTGTTTATCAAAGTATTTCGTTTTCAAATGCTGCATTCACGCCATGTGGAACAGTCATACTGGGTAATACAGGGATAAAGTATAAATCTAGAGGCCTGTAAATCGACCGATGTCCTGGCGGGTCCCGTACGGCCATCGGTCAATAGCCTTGCGATACCCGTGCGATGTCTTTCAGATTCAATTGATTGCGGGCGCCGTACGATGCCTGTACTAATGTGACCATACTCACGATTAGATCAAGACATCGGTGAAAAGTCACCGGCGCCCGGTCGATTTATAAATCGGCCGATGACTACTCATCGGCCGGCGCCCGGCGGCTATGTGACCCAGGCATAATAACAGCTCAAAAGTCTGGATTGAATACAAACAGAATTACAAATCAGGATAAGTTTTTTCTTAAAAATTATACTTATAAATAAAATATAAACTATTTGAATATATTTTCAATATACCAGCTTGTGGATAAAAGCATGCACATGATGCCTCACTTGAACTAGTAGATACTGATTTAAAAATTGACCATCTTTAAAATGATTTTACATACTTCTTCCTCTTCTTCTGAATTTTTCCAAAATCAATTCAATTTGAGTGGTGCTATAGCCAACATTGGGGAGTTGTTCCTCGTCAAATGAAAAGTTATTTCTTGCTTGCATCTCTGATAATGACTTTTTCACTGCGTCTTTTGCATATTGTTGAAAACGATACTTTTGGTTATCCCCTAAAATAATTTCATAATTCCATGTTTATGTACGTGTAGGCTATAGTAGAATAGTGTAAGGATTACCTTTTATGTATTTCTAAATGTAAACAACGTCATTTGCAAGGTTTTAATAATTATTATGAATTTATGGCCAGTTCCGAGGAGGGTACATACATTACTACTAAGTAATAAGGTATATTATATTTTTATTTAATGTAATTACAGCAAATGATTCGTTTCTCGATGTTGTATGTATTTGTTAACGCTTCAAGGGTACAATATTTCAAAATTATAAACAGAACATGCAAAGTATCAATCGTCACCAGTGTTGTATTTAAAAAACAATCAAGCTAGAACAACTTGGCGACCATTAAAATACCCCAGGATAACTTTATACAATTCAAAATTGTAACACAATTACAATTAGCAAATGCATTGCCAACATTGTCTCAATTTAAAGGTGGGAGATAGTTGCTACTCACCTCTTTCGGTTTCAAGGCCAAAGCTATTGTCAATATAAGTGGTGTATAGTAACTGTACATTTGTCCATGCGTAGCGATCGAGTACCAGGCTGTAAGCCTCGCCTAGTCGAGTATATGAAGGCATAACACGCACTAGGGTTGGGCTCGTAGACAAGTCGCCTCGACTTGCTGCGTGTGAAAACACAGGGAAATCCCAATACGCAGCGAGACTTGTTATTACGTCCGTCACTTGTAACAAAATATAAATAGGGGAGGGGGTTGAGTTACAACGTGAACGTGTTATATTATGTCCCCCAGGGAGTATTATCCCCCTCAATTGCTTTTTCTAGGGACATAATTGCTAGTATTTTCCTTTCAACTTATACTTAACATGTAAATGCTAGGAAGAACTAATCCCTAAAGGAGACAGTTATGCTACATGTTCACGTACACGTTCCTTTGAAACGTGTAGCTTAACCTTACATGTAATTGATATTAATACAAAATATTAATTCATGAAAATACCCAAAACCCCGTCCAATAATTTGACTGAGACTCCGGCGTATTTTAAAAGCCCCTAGGGAGTAATTCATACCACAGCTTAGAAACATCAAACATCAGAAAATACATGTTTCATCAGAAATATTACGCAAATATTTACCAGATGAGCAGGCGGGACCAATGAATGCATCGACTTCTGCTGCATTTCTCAGGTACACTGCCATGCCAAGGGCCATTTTGGGGTTACATCCTGGATTCACGTATTGAAACCTAAATTATGGAAGCAACACTAAAAGATATCAGATGAGGTTAACATTTTTATAGGCAGTTGAGTGTAAAACTAAAAAAATTAAAGTGAAAAAGTATAAATAGTATCATAATGAATAGCAGGGTAGGACGGTAGGTGCTTGTGCAGGTTAAAATAAGGTCAGGCCTTGCAAAACCCTTGCAAAAAACTTTTTTGAATTTGATTATTTTTGTAGATGCTGAAATTATTTAAGCAAGTGGCTTGATAGATTGTTGGTGATTTTATTTTTTCATTAATCATTTTATTTCAAATTCATTTATCAATGTGTCATGTTGTACAATGAAAATTCAAGTTAATCACGCATGTATTTTATTCTAGCCTTTGAATTCGGGCTTGATACGAGACATTCATTATTGATATCATCCAAAATTTATCGAAGCCTGAGTTAAAATCCTTTAATCTAGCATGCAAGTTTATAGTTCACATATTGATTGTAAGCGAGACTTTGTATGGTATGTACCTATCAAATACTAAAAGCTATTTTATGAGTAATATAAGTTTGCAACTCTAATAGAACTGTGCATGGTGGAATATGTATGTCCTCTGCGAAACATTATTAGCATATGTGTCAGTCACATAATACATTACTTGGTACACATGGTATAACCTGAACAACTTAGATGAACCCCTTTGCCCCATCATGTTATGTTATGCAGCACGGTGTACAGGGTGTCAAATAAATATATTCTCCCCCTAGCTTATTACCATCCACATAATGTTGTGCAACTTTTTTGTCTGCAGTATATCTGGATTGTTCTTTGGCACATTGAAACAAGGCTTCATGGAACAACTCCAAAATAAGTTTTGATGACTAGTATATCACTAGATAAAGTTTTATCGCAAAAGTTCATACTACTATATCAGGGGGGAGGGGGTATATAGTGGTTCGAATAATCTTCATCGATTGCCAATTTTTGAACAAAGACATGAAAAACTATTTTGCTACTCAATAGAAAAGACAATTATCAATTATCCGCTCAAAAAGGTGTAAATTTTTTGCACGTGACACGTATGTACTCTTTGCCAACAACCCAGAGAAAATTTGGATGCAGCTTGCGATGATTGTTTCTGAAACTCTCAAAACTCCAAGTGCATGTGGTTTCAATGCTTTGACATTTTGACCAGCACAAGCATCTTTCTTGACAATCACTCAACTGACAACTTATAAAACGAAATTATGAAATTGATAAGGGTTACCAAAATTCATTGAATATAAAAGGTGCCATTTTGTTCTAAAATATGCAATATTTTGAATGATGTGATTGGCTGGCTTTGTGTGGATTATTACTACCAAACATGCACAAAAGAATGATATCGATATGGCGAACTGAATTGAACACACTTTTCTCTTAAACCGTTACCAGTCATCAACAAATTCTGAACATTTTACACATCGTCAATTTAATGATGGCCTTTTGAATGGTAATATAACACTTTAATTTGAAAAATATTGTTCTAGAAAACACATTTTATACTTCTTTTATTCTTGGTATCGTATCTTCGGAATGAAATGAAACATCTATCCGAACCTCATTTGAACAAAATGACATATACACAACGTTTTTTAGGTCTCTCAATATTGTAATAATACAAAGGAAAATTTGGTTGATTTAAAAAAAGTATCTTGTTAATGAAAGAAAATGTTTACTTACTTACTAATTTTTTTTATCTATTTTTGGGGTTTTTGTTTTAATTTTTTGAACACTTTTTGCTAAATCAACCAACTTTGTATAACTATAATATTGAGAGGTCTAAGAAAATGTTGTATATGCTATTTTGTTCCAACAAGATTCGGAAAGATATTTTATTTCATATTATTCAAAAATTGGTAGAAAGGAACAAAAAACAATTGCACATGTTAAGAAAAACAGTTAAAAAAAATATATACGAGGGTATATCATAAAGTTCTCATAATATCTCTCTAATTTTTTTATTTTTCAATATATTCTAATGAAATTTTCATGAAATCTGCAGTATAGAACACTGTATTAATCTATCAAAAAACATTTGGTATAACAGAAAAATTAAATAAGTAATGGTTGCCATAGTAACCGGAAATCAAGGCACCCGGGGCAAATAAAAATAATTGAGAAAATGAGCTTAATTAACCATGTTTACATACATAATAAACTCTCATAAATTATCAAACACATTAAAATGTTATGTTAAATATGTTGTTAAATGCTTTACTATAAAATACATTGATCAAGTGAATTATGTGATGTCTTAGGGGATTCTTACATGCTTCATTAGATGTGATACCAGACTCTGAGAATCAAAGCTTAATGATCAGAAATGACAGAGTAAGATAATGCATAGATGCAGAGATCATCAGAAAAATAAAATTCATACTGACAAATAGTTTGGTTAAGTTCGAAAAGTCCTTTGATCATACTAAAGATGATCTAAAACAAATATGTTGCAAAGATATCAACAAAATTACCCCCTATTTGTGGTCTTAACATATTTAAGATTAACTAAAGGGGGAAAATCGACTTTCCTTGGAATATTTGACAAAACAGTTGTAGTGCCTAACAACACCTCTAATGAAGCATTACAATCATCCATTATGAGATCACACTATTCACATGATCATTATAATTGTTCAAAACAGTCAAGAACACATGGCATTTAACAATTTGATGTGTTTCATAGCTTATTTGATAACTTATTATGCATTTAAACATGGTTAGTTGGGGCTATTCTTGCACAATTTTTTATTTGCCCCGGGTGCCTTGATTTCGGGTTACTATGGCAACCATTTCTTAAATAATATTTCTGTTACACCAAATATTTTTTGATAGATTAATACAGAATTCTATACTATACATTCTGTGAAAAATTCCTCAGAATATATTGAAAAATAAAAAAATTAGAGAGATATTATGAGAACTTTATGATATACCCTCGTATAACATAAAGGACCGTGGTTTTACAGAATAATTTCAATAATCGGTTTAGAGAAAAACAATGCTAAATTCAGTTCGCCATATCGATACCAATCCTTTAAACATAAAATGCATATTACGTGATGTTGTAGTCTACTATTTTTGTCAGATTAAGCTTATCTGACATATTCTTAGCATCATCGACTGCCCATTGTACGGCTGCGTAGTTAGTCGCCCATGCTGCGAAATCGTATTTGGTGTCATTTGGTAGCATTACTCCCAGAATTATTGAAGTGCTCCGTGGGTCCTTTTTCGCATCTTTTACTCTTAACGGATCGACCCGTGCGCCGTTGATTGTTTGCGCACTAAGCTGGTCGTAAAAGAACAAAATCATCGCACACTGCCATATATAAGCCATTGCCGATGGAGTTATGCGATAATGTTTGAAACAAAATCGCTTGTTTCTGATTCAACCAAAATACTCGTTTGTCAAATGTGTTATTGAATTTACATGTAGTCTGTAAAATGACTATCAAGCATCACATTTATAGAATAGCGACTGCCTTGCAAATTGCAGTTTTATGACTTTATTCATTATTATAATACACATATAGAATGTCTTGTTTCAAATGTGTCTGCATTTAGTCTCGCATGCCATAAATCCATATCGTCCTATTACGTATCCTATATTTAATTCGTTCATTAAGGAATATATAATTACAACTTTTTTTTAGTTTTTTTTAATAAATAGGCTACCCTGAGTTATCATTTTTTCTAAAAACATATTCGTTATTAAGGGTTTGCTGTAAAGCCCTGACATCTCGTCTAAGTCTCGCTTTATTGAGATTTTAGGTGA